GCAGGGTCTCCCGCAGCAGCACCCCCAGAACCAGCACCTCCAGTCCCAGGGTCCCCAACCGCAACGTCTCCAGCAGCAGCACCCCCAGAACCAGCAACTCCAGCACCTCCAGTAGAGCCCCGGGCTCCAGCAGCGCGACGCTGACGGCGACCGTACCAGTCGTGTAGCTGCTGAGGGGTGAGAGGCACACGCGGACGAAGGCGGCCACTCCAAGTAGGCCGCGCACCAGCAGTCCCAGTACCCTCAAGCGTCTCACCGCCAGACTCAGCACCCCCAGACTCCGCACACACAGACTCCGTACCCCCAAACTCCGCACCCCCAGGCTCAGCACCCCCAGACTCCGCACCGCCAGGAGCACCACCCCCAACAGCACCAGAGTCAACAGTAACCGGCTGCAGAGGCGGCGAAGACGGTCGCGGCGGGAACCCTGGAGGGGTCTCCAAGCGTGGTGCACGGCCGAAGGCCGCCGGGGCGTCAGCAGCAACGTCACCCCCCTCAGGTGGGCCAGAGGTGTCAGAAGTGACCTCCAAAGGCTCAGCCAAGGGGGGGGGGTCTACCTGAGACACACCTGAAGGAGCCGTACCCTGAGGGGGGAGGGGGTCTACCGGGGGGGGACCTGGCGTAAGGAAGAGCGGCGGGGGGGGAAGGGGGGCAGCGCGGTAGGGGAAGAGACGGTAGTACGGAACCGACTCGTCAAACGTGACGTCCTGGGAGGACAGAACACGGCGCGAGGTGGGGTGGTAAAACTGCCAACCAGGCGCGTCAAGGGGGAAGCCAAGGAAGACGCAGGGAATAGCACGGGAGGACATCTTGTCCGCAGACAAGTCTCGGACAAAAGCCCGAGATCCCCAGACACGGAACGCAGACGCATCGCCAACCTTCCCCGTCCACAACAGAGTGGGGGAGGTCCCCGGCATGGAGACCCGGGGCTGAAGGTTGATCTGACGCGCCGCGTACTGAACCGCAAACGGCCACAGAAAATGGGGAGCAGCCGCATGGATCATGGACGTACGAGCGACATCCATGACCATGCCAATGCGGCGCTCAGCAATCCCATTTTGCTGCGGAGAGGCCGGAAGCGTGAACGTCTGGCAGATGCCCCTCGCACGACAGAAGGCTCGCAGAGGGCCGGAGGAAAACTCACCACCTCTGTCTGAGTGCAGACGCAAAACAGGAAAGTCCGAGCGGAAACTCTTCCTGAGCTGGAGACGAGCAGCGCGGATCCAGTCGATCAACACCTCAGTGACCTCATCCTTGCGGCGCAAGGGGAAGACCGTGGTGTAACGCGAGTAGTCGTCAACTACCAGCAGGAAGTAGCGCTCGTGACCCTGTCCACGGACGCGGGCTGGGCCCCACACGTCCGTATGAAGAGTCTGCAGCGGAGCCTCTGTCGGCGGAAACTCGGAGGAGTGAGGAGCGGCGCGCTGCCGCCCCTCGACGCAGGGAACGCAGGTAGGGGCAGGCCCCGGGGGGAGGGGAGGGAGCGACCGGGGGAGACCAGAGACCAGGACACGAGAGGCCATGCCTCGGAGACGAGGCAGGGAGGGGTGACCAAGACGGTGGTGCCAGAGAAGAGTCTCGTGGGACAGGAGGCGACACGAGCAGGGGGCAGACTCAGGACCAGACCGAGACGCCGCAGCAAACACCTGACCCGACGCAGCTACCTGACCAGGCACAGCAACCGGAGGAGACTCAGTAGTGAGGGTGTACAGGCTCGACCCCGGCCGACGGGTAAACGTGGCCAAGTGTCGGCCCGTGTCTGCACACGTGCAGTGGGTCACCCGCTGACGCGCAGGGGTGAACTGGTCAACCCCCCCGTCCTGTAGGTCAGCACCCGCCACCAAGTTCGTAGAGAACGAGGGGAGGTAAAGACCCGACAGGGAGCCAGACGGGACCGCTGGACACAGTAGTACAGTGGAGTAGTGGGCAAGAACAGGACCCCCAGAGGGGTCTGCCAGGGAGACCGCAACCGGCCGACTGAGCGGCGTGAGAGTGGTGCAGTCTCGAAAGAAGGAGCGGGAAGCACCCGAGTCAAGGGTGAAAGTGTGCGACGCCGGAGCAGACGTGGTACCTGAGAGAGCAAACTCACCAGCACCTGGAGCAGCAGACTCACCAGCACCTGGAGCAGCAGACTCACCAGCACCTGGAGCAGCAGACTCACTAGCACCCGGAGCAGCTGACTCACTAGCACCTAGAGCAGCAGCTGCACCGCCTGGGTCGGGCGGAGCACTCAGGGAACAGTCACCGACATCACTAGTAGACAATGCATACATGGCAGTGAGGATAGCATCAAAGTCAAGAGCATAGATATCTACCCTCTGCCGGAGCAGCTCCACCCAGTCGGGGAGCTCAGCCGCGTCGCCAAACTCCGTACGCCAGGCGTCGCTCAGACTGGCGAAGCAGCGGGACTCTGTGTGACCAAACGTCCCGCAAGGCTGGCCAGTCCGAGCACCAGTGCGAATGACGTACGGGCAGCGAGCAGAACCCCGTGACCCCCCCCGCTGAAAGTACCACTCATGAAGCTGCGGGGGCGAGGGGACCGTGCGTACACGACGCTGCAGCTGCACCTGGCCACTACAAGAAGCCCCGAAACTACTCACGCCAGAACGACTCCCACGACGGCCACCCCGACAACCCCAACTAGCATACCACTCATGAAGCTGTGGGGGCGGGAGAGGCTCACGTGGACGGCGCTGGAGCTGCATCTGGCCACGCCAGGAGCAGCAGTGGCAGTAGGAAGGGTAGGAGCCGTAGGAGCAGCACGAGCAGGAGTAGCGGCAGTAGCAGCAGGAGCAGCAGTAGCAGCAGTAGCAGCAGTAGCAGCAGGAGCAGGAGAAAGCACAGTAGCCGTAGGAGCAGCACGAGCAGCAGTAGCAGGAGAAAGAGCAGTAGCAGCAGGAGCAGTAGTAACAGCAGTACGGGCAGGACAGTGCTCACCAGTGGCAAGAAGGGCCGGCGTACAACGGCGGCAATGGTGAGGCCGGCACCACTGTAGGGCTAGGGCTCCGCGGCAGCTGCAGGTGGCGGCTGCTCCAGGGGCGGCTGCTGCAGGGGCCAGGGGCGGCTGCTGCAGGGGCCAGGGGCGGCTGCTGCAGGGGCGGTTGCTCCAGGGGCGGCTGCTGCAGGGGCGGCTGCTCCAGGGGCGGCTGCTGCAGGGGCCAGGGGCGGCTGCTGCAGGGGCGGCTGCTGCAGGGGCCAGGGGCGGCTGCTGCAGGGGCGGTTGCTCCAGGGGCCAGGGGCAGGGGCGGCTGCTGCAGGGGCGGCTGCTCCAGGGGCGGCTGCTGCAGGGGCCAGGGGCGGCTGCTCCAGGGGCCAGGGGCGGCTGCTGCAGGGGCGGCTGCCCGAAGGGCCAGGGGCAGGGGCGGCTGCTGCAGGGGCAGCTGCTCCAGTGGCAAGGGGCAGCAGGTGTAGGGGCGGCTGCTCCAGGGACCAGGGGCGGCTGCTGCAGGGGCGGCTGCCCCAGGGGCCAGGGGCAGGGGCGGCAGCGGCTGTCTCAGCGGCAGTGGCGGCGGTCGTCACGGCAGCAGCTGCAGCGGCAACCAGCCGTGGCGGAAGCTGCAGCGGCAGGAAGTGCGACGGCCGCTGCTGCGGAGGCGGCTACGGTGGGGCGACGAAGCGGCAGGGCGGCAGAGCCGCGAGGGCCGCGTAGGGGGCCCCGAAGGGGCAGCGGAGAGCCGCGGACGGCCGCGAAAGGGCCGCGCGAGGGCCACAAAAGGACCGCGCGAGGGCCGCGAAGGGCCACGAAAGGGCCGCGCGAGAGCCGCGCGAGGGCCGCGGGGCGACGCGACGAGCGTAGCGCGCGCGGGGAAGAGCAGGCAGGGCAGCGCGCGAAAAAAAAGAGGAAAATGCGAGCTGCAGCAGTGGCGCGCGGCCAGCAGGGGCAGCGCGACGCGTAGTAGGGTAGGGCGGGCGCGGGGTAACGCGGTAACCGCAGGTGATTTGTAAGGTGGGCCCAAACAGAACAGTGTTAGAATATATATTTATATATATTTATGTACCTGCCTGTAGCTGTAGCTTTAGTGTAGTTATAAACTCTTTGTATTGGTGGTGCACCTCCTTTGTCTCCTATTTGTACCCTCGAGCCTATAGTGAACCCCCCTTCTTTCTCGACATTCCACTCTCTCGCCACTCTCCTAGGTTCCTAACCTAGCCTAGCTTCTTGACAAACAGGTACTAAGGTCCTAAGGACCTCCTGCTCTATACCATGTCATAATCCCAGCCACTAACCACTAGGATAAAAGGGCTTGTTTATATAGCGGGTGAGTGCGCCCATAACCCCCCAGGCCGACGTGCCTGTAACCCTTCCCTAGGATCATCGGGGATCTCCAGTGGACCTTTGACACCCCCCCGCACTAGGATGCCCGAAGTGCACACACCGGGAATCGAACCCGAGACCTTCGCTCTGATACCATGTTAGAATCTAAGGCAAGGATGATGAGATTAGGTCAAGGTGGGGTACAATAGTAGAGTGTCGAGAGAAATGTGTGTACCCCCTAAGGCTATCCCCAATATAGCCTAGATATAATATGCATATGTTTTGACAGTAAAAGAGAGTGCGCAGGTAAATGAATATCGAGGCTGGGACTGCATGAATGACTGAACAATGAAGTAGCGAGGCCTAAATAGGGGAAAACCTAGCTAGGCGGGGGGTTCGGGATGGGATGGCTCGGTGATGGCTACGATTGGAGCGGAGGCCGACTCGGGGGTGGTTCGGTGCGACGAATTAGGCAAGGCAGGTTCGTCGCGACACCCTCGGGATGTACTCGCTAAAGTGCGAGTACTGTAAAGAATTGTAATTCCTTACACATCCCATTCGTTAATTGGTCATGGCTTTTAGGGCCTCTGGGTGCGAGGGGGGCTCCTCAAAACGAGACCAGCTAAAGGATACTATTTCCGTGCATCTAAATAATAGACAATGTACTGACATGAATACACAAACGAATTAAACAAGGCCTTCCTCAGCCAAGCGCTCTTCCCAATCAACGCACCCTTGTCCCTTTTCATCGCCTTCCTTTCTTCCCCTTGTCAATCGCACTCCCTGCCGCTCTCGCCTCCTCTTCTGCCACAAGCTGCTCTTCACTCAGCGGCTGGTCCAAACACTTCCTCCCATCAATATCATACTGCCAGAACCCATGCCGCGCCAGCCGCCTCTCCTTGCTGCCCCTCCCGCTGATCCAGTTGTTGTGCAGAATCACGCACCCCGCCTCTCGGCACGCCTCGCTCACGTTCGCCGCGTCCCAAAACCCGTGCACGGCCCCGTTGGGATACTTTTTCCTGTCGAGAAAGATCGTGCGGACGGCGACCGGTGTTGTCTTCTGCTTGCCACCCGCGCTCGTCACACTGATACCCTTCCACAAGCACTGCGCCTTGCCCCGAACCTTCTTCTGCCCTTTCTCCCCACACAGCACATCATAGAAACTCGGCTGTTCTGACAACTCCGTCTTAGCTGCTGCTGCCACTATCGCCTCAAACGCAGCAATTGTCGCCTCGTCACTCCTCCCAAAGTAAAACCCGGAATTGATCCTCCTCTTCCCGTGCGGAGGCCGCGCCGCGTCCGGCTCGTTGCTCTGGATCGGCAGCGTCCCGGGCCCGAACCTGAGCAGGTCCCGGAGAGGATCGGAAAACCAGACGATATCCACGTCGGTCCATAACACCGAGTACCCCGCTCGCAGCGCACGCAGCACCGCTCGCGACTTAAGCTTCGTGAACCTCTTAAAGCACAGCGTGCCATACTCGCACGACTCCTCCCCCACCTTCACCCCCCTGCGCTGCCGCCCCCAGCCCCTCCCGCTGCCGGTCCTTCATAATACACCGGAAGGCCCTGGGAGAAGGCAAACCGGTAGAGATCGGCATCAAGGGCTGCCACTACAAGCCGGTTCCCCAAGCCGAGTCGACGGAGGTTACAGTAGAAATTCATGAGCATGTGTGCGTAGCCAAAGGTCACCGCGACAAGCACAACGACTTTCACTCCGCCCGGTTCCCGCAGGGCCACGAGCGGTAACACATCTTCCATGGGTATTACAGGGGTTTGCTTGAGCAGCGACGCAGCAGCGCGGTCGTTTGCCGGGGCTGCGGCGGCTGCTTTGGCGGCGGCAGGGTCGATGAGAGCGGTTGGGTGCGGTGCGTGGGAGGGGGAGATGGGTGAGGAGGGGTCGTCGGGGGAGGCGCAGATCCAGCGGTTGTGATTGTTTAGGACAGCGTCGCCCTGGGAGGCGGGCGTGAAAGGTGCGAGGTCACACGCGCAGATGGCCGGACGGATGCGCGGCTTCAGACACACGTGGTTGGCTGCGGAAGGAAGGGTGGAGAGTGGGGGAAAGGGGAATGGAGGAAAGTGGGGAGGTGAGAGGGAGGGAGGGATGGGCAAGGGAGAGGGGGGACGGGAGAAGGAGGAGGGGAGAGGGGAGTGGGGAGAGGGGAGAGGGTTGAAAGGTGGGAAGAGGAATATGGAGATGGGATTTGAATGAGCATGCTTTACCAGAATGAAAGAAAGAAGCAAAGTATGTGCACCAGGGCAATGGAGAGCACAAGAGCTGCTGAGAGCAGATGTGTTGCACCTATGATTAGGACTCCCACGTGGGCAACGCTAAATGCCATGAGCTCACCACTGGAATCAGCACACGCCATGAGAGACCACGTGCCATGATGTGCCGTGCCATTCTTCCTCGCCAGCTCCCTCCCATCCCCCCCCAGCCACATCGCCACACCCGCCGCCTCCTCTTCCCCTGCACTCAACCCCCCCCTTCTCCCCCTCGCCCCCTTCCCTCTCCCCACCAGCGCCCCTGCACCTACCACCCCCCCCATGCCATCCCCTGCACAGGTCCCGTTTCCGAAGCACCCAGCAGTGGCTAGTAGAAACTCATTAGCTGCAGGCTCCCATCGGCCCATTTGTGCTGTCCTCCTCTTCCTCCCCCCCTGCACTGCCCCCGTGCTCCACGGCCGGCCCTTAGGCAGCACCCGCCGCACCCAATCCCGCGACGCCAGGTGGAAGCACGTGACGACGTCGCTCGCGTCGACAAAAGGAGGCGGGCACGAGGCAGCATAGGCGGCGGCTGCTGCTGCTGCTGAAGCAGCAGCGGCTGCTGCTGTAGCAGAGAAGGAGAGGGTTGATGATGTGAGCGTGGAGCGTGAGTGAGCATTGGAGGGCACGTGTGGGTTGAGTGAGAGGGAAGGGTGGAGGCTGGCAGCACCGGCAGCAGAGCCAACGGGGCTTGGATTGTCTACAAAGCATGCGGCGAGGGATAACCCTGCAAACGCCGCCCCATCAACCCCAGCAGCACCACCAGCACCTGAATCACCACTACCACTACTACCACCGGTGGCTGTAGCAGCCCGTTGCGCTGCTGCCGCCACTGCTGCAGCAGCAACGCCCCTGCCAACCGCCACCATGCGCGCCGTGATCCAAGCATCAAACAGCGTCCCGTGCCCAAACGCAAGAGGCGGAACAGGGCGGGGAGAGGACGCGAACCAGCGTAACGCAGCCGCGCCTCCCCCCCACGCCCACCAGCTACTCGCCCCTCGCGTCTGCAACACCCCCCCGCCTCTCACCCGCTGCCGCACCCTCCCCTGCACCCGCACCCACGCCCTCTCCTCCTCGGTTAAATCCCCCGCCGTTGCGCCCCCCGAGCCTTTCCCCTGGCCATCCCCCCCGATACGCTGCTGCTGCTCCCCGTCCCCCCCTTCCTCCTCCCCCTCCATCCCTCCACCATCCGCCATTCGTTCTAGTACCCTCTGATCCTCCACCCCCTCTCCCATCACCCCCGGTAGATCCACTTCCCCCCCTCCCGCTCCCCCTGCCCCTCCCCCTGCTGTTCCCCCTCCGCCCCCTCCGCCACCTGCGCCACCGTTTGCTGCTGCTGCTTGTGCCATGCCCATGACCAGATCTAGAGCCAGCTCATCCGCGCCGCCCACCTGCCAGCTGGCGCCTGCTGCCATCCACGAGGGCGGACGGCGGTCTGACGTGGCAGCGGCGGCAGCAGAGCCAACAGTGGCAGTAGAGGAGGAGGAAGAGGAGGTGGAGGAGGAAGAGGAGGAAGAGGAGGAGGAAGGAGAGGACGAGGGGGTGGCAGACGGAACGGGTGGAGTTGGGAAGGAGGAGGCGAGCTTAATCAATGAAGGGACGACGTCAGAGAGAAGGATTGCGTCTGCTTTCACCAGAAGCGCTATGGGGGGTTCAGGCAGGAGAACATGAGCAGACGAGGAGGAGGAGGAAGACGAGGAAGAGTCGGAGTTCCAGTCACCAACCTCGCCGGTACTATCCGCTCCTCCCTCCCCAACACTCTCCCCACCAGCAGCAGCAGCAGCATCGCCAGCAGCAGCGGCAGCAGCAATGGCGTGAGCAGCACCCGCGTCCTGCATGCGTTGCAGATTCACAGCCATTCTATGCAGCACCGACCCTAGCAGCGGCACGCCAAACAGGTTACACTCCACCTCTAGATCCGCCGCCACTGGCGCAAACCCCCCCTGCCGGTATGCCCCCGGCAGCGCGGCACTGAGCTGTACTGCAGCCCGCACCAGGCTGTCGTCGCAGCCTAATAGGACAACGCGCACAGCTGGCGCCAGGTGAAGCCAGGAGCGCAGGGCGATCAGCTGGGGATCCCTGGGTTCCGTGGAGAAAGGCTCTGGCGCTGCAAAGATGACTATAGGCGGCGTGCTCATATAGGAGGGGATTGGCGGGAACCATGGCACGGAGGAAGCAGAAGTAGAAGAGGAATCATCGGGGTTCTCAGAGTCTCCGTTTCCTGCCCTTTCTACCCTTTCCGCTCCCCCTGCCCCTGCTCCTGCGCTCCCCCCTGCTCGTGCACCTGCTCTGCTGCCCGCTGCTTCCCTGTTGCCTATCCTCGCCCTAGCCATGCGTCTCTCGTCCTCCTCTTCCATAGCAGCATCTGTCCCGGATCCTACCAGCGACTTAAACCAGTCAGAAAGCCTCCTCAGCGGCCCATAACCCCCCGCCTTGCTACCACTCCCACTCACGCTGCCTCCTCCCCCTTGCCGCCATGCTGTTCCCGCACCACCCGCGCCTCCCGCGTCCGCGCACGGGTTTAGATGCGCGGACGCGCCCATTCTCCCCTCGAAAGCCAACCCTCGCCCGCCTGCTGCCCCCTTGCCTCCTGACGCGGCTGCGGCCGCCGCGGCTGCCGCTGCTACAGCCGCCGCGCGCTGCTGCTGCGCCGCGAGCAACCGCGACCGGCTCGTGCCCTCCGTGGCTGCTTCTAACGCGGATTGCCTTATATGAGCTGCGTGGTTCAGGAGCAGCAGCGACGTCACGACTAGTCCTAGAATCACGGGTAGGGACCCAAACGTTCCGCCTCCTCCTATTCCCCCTCCTCCTCCCCCGCCCCACAACCCCCCAAACCCTCCGCCAAGGCCCCCTCCTCCGAACCCCGCGCTCCATCCCCCCCCGAATCCGCCACCTCCGCGGTACGCCTGCGCGCGCCTGCCCGCGGGGCGCGCGTGCGCGCCCACGCCTTTCCCCCGCGGGGAGGCGACCATAGACCCCAGCGCCAAGCCCCAACCCGCAGCAAGCGACCAGAGCAGGTGCAGGAATGCGCGCACATAGAAGCGGATAGCGGCGGAGTTGCAGCCGTGGCGGTACGGGGGAGGGCGCGGGGAGGGGGAAGCAGCGGACGGGCGGGGGGAGGGGGAAGCGGCGGAAGGGCGGATGGGGGATTGGGGGTGCGTGGAAGGGCGGTATGTGGAGGAGAGACGGCCTGATACCGGACTGCTGGTACCAATATGGCTTGCACTGAAAGAACCGGCACCACCAGCGGAAGCAGCAGGTGGAGAGGCCGCAGCAGGAATGTTATCAGCTGACGTGGAAAGTCCAAGGGTGGTCTGCGGCCAGTGCTTGGCGGAACGGGAAGGGGAAGGGGAAGCGGAGGCGGAAGCGGAAGAGGGAAAGGGGGCGGAATTGTCTGAAAGAGCAGCGCTCCCCTCCCCGGGGCCAGAGGGGTCCGCTGCGCCGTCCGCTATGCAAGGCGCGCTGATGCCGTTCGTGCTGCGTCCGCTGCTGCCGTCAGCATTGGTACTGCCGGTCACAGCACCGCTCACGGCACTACCCACGCGGGGACTGAACGAAGTAACTGCTGATGCCTCTCCCAAGCCTGCTCGCACTCCCCCACTTCCGCCGCTTGCCGCTGCTGGTGTTGCCGAGCCTGACGAGCTCGGCCCGGCCCACTCCAGACGGCTCGCCCGACCCTTGCACGAGGCGGGCCCCGCGGGGGAATTCGCTGCCGAGGCTGGCGAAGTGGTTCGGCGGCGGGACGGGGACGTGATGTACGCAGCAGCATCGGAGGAGAACGTCCGCTGCGGGCTGTTAGCGGCGGATCTTGAAGTACTATTGGTATTATTACTGCCGCTGCCGCTGCTGGGGTAGCAGTGCGGAGAGCTGCGCCCAGCGGAGTAGAAATGAGTGGCGGGGATGGAAGAGGAGGTGGAGGCGGAGCGGGGGACGGGGACTTGGGGGGAGAGACCGGCGGAAGGGGTGGTTATTTGGGGGGAGGATGGGGAGCCCGAACCGACGGCGGTGAGCTGAGGGGGAGTTTTCTTCAGGGTGTGCGCTTCTGCGGGCCGTCGGGATTGTACTCGAAGCGGCATGCTTTTACCTCACTTCCGACCGACCGACACCGAACGAGTTAGGGTTAGGGCGTTTACAGGACACCGTGGCAGCAGTGTCGCAGGCGTATCCGTATCAGACCCACGCGAGCGTTGGATGCGCGATCTCTTTTGATCCAACGGCCTGGAATTGTGACGATTGTGAGAACTACCGCCGCTTCCGGTAGAAATATATGAAAGCAATCAGCTTGCGATTCCGCCAGTGTGCGCGTTGCGACTCGTAACACGGATAGGGGAAATTGAAAACGGTGAATGGTCACAATCACCCTTGCATTTAGTGCGCGACTGGCCCTTCGTTGCAAGTGCAACAACAGCGGCGATTTTGCCAAGGAATCAAATGACGGGGGAGAGCACGAAAATCGGTACGCCGCTACCCACCGAAGCCGCAAAGCTACCCAGAGGACTTGCGAGCCAACGATTCTCAGTCATGGATTCTCTGGCAGTTTTCGAGCCCGATCGAGCCAGGAGCTGCTACTTCTCGCGGAAAGTAATATCACCTCCTGCGATGAAACGCGGCGCTCGTTAAGTTTCGCGAACCACTGTCGCGACTCATCGGGAAAAGTTCAGGGAAGATCAGCACACATCTGTGAGAGCTACGCGTGCTGGAGCCAAGCCGATACCGTTGGTTTGCTGGTTCGAGCCGATCAATTGACCGCCCGAGCCGAGTGCACCCTGCAAAGCTCGAGGTTTGCTTTGCTGCTAAGGTCGAGACGCGGCCTAGATAGTATCCAATGGAACTAACTTCATTGGCAGGTAGCGACCTAGATAATCTCCAGGTTTGGCTGGGCAGGTTGGTGTGATGGTGGCATGTGGTGTGGGAAAAGGGGTCGGGGAAAGCGAATGCGGGGGGGATGGTGATGGGGGACAGGGGAGGATGCGGGGATGAGGGGGGCAGAAGGCGGTAGGCGGAATCGTGAGTGGCGCGAGCAGGCTGCGGAAAGCGGGGGTGGGAATGTGGACAGAGAGGGAATGACAACTAGCGGGCAGGGCGGAAAGCGGTGCGCGAAACTTGCAGGCAGAGAGTTGTCATTCGAACACAGTACTCCACTAGATAATGCCGACATTTTACAAAAAATGCATTTATACGAGACCATCGTGGAGCTAGCATTTATAAAACAGTACAATCACATGATTTGAGTTTTTGTATTTATCCAGGATCTAGAAGCTTTCCTTTTAGAAGGAAGAAACAACAGGGTGCTCACAGAGAAATGTTACCAGAGAAATCACATAACTCTACTACCAAGAATGTCACATGCCAACTGATCACCAGCAAAGCTACAACACGGTTGTAAGACAAGCCCACACACATGGCATGGCTGATAAAAGTGAAGAATAGGAATGAGACATGTGACATGACACACAACAGCCATCTGCTGCTACCATTCCCCGGTTTTCCCAAATCAAAGCATCTTCTCATTTCACATCCCAGCCCATTTCATCACACCTCAGTGTGTGTAGAACCACCGCCTCCAACCCCCCCCCCTCCTCTCCCCCTCCCCCTCCCCCTCCCCCTCCCCCTCCCCCTCCCCCTCCCCCTCCCCCTCCCCCTCCCCCAACATTATCGGAGGGAAGTGCGGCTGTGCCTTCAAGATGCCAAGTGCACCTGGATCACTCCACATCTTCCCGTTCCTCGCTCCGCACTCCACACCAAAGCCACAACTTCTGGCGCGCCTCAAACACCAACCCTCGCACTCTCCACGCTCCACACCATACTTTTTGGAGACGCCTCAAAACGCCTCGAGACTGCCACCGCACGCAGCCTTCCCCACGAGAGAGCAAGCGAAACAGCACCGTGCAATCCATCCCAGAAGCTCAGCCTGAAGAAGCCAGAAACCCGCTGAGAAAGAGCGGGGAATGCCAGCCCAGCCCAGGCCAGGCCAGCCTGCGCCCAGCCTGTGCCCAGCCTGCGCCTAGCCTGTGCCCAGCCTGCGCCCAGCCTGTGTTACGATGCACCTGGAAAATACTCCTGTGCCCAGCCGGGCAAATAAGCACAGCACCGCCCATGTCCCTCTGCAGATAGCACCCCACCACTGTGCTGAGCATCCCCATGCCACCACCACCACCATCACCGCCTCTCATCTTCACCATCCCCCTTCCGGTCTGTTCTGCCTCATCTGGTTTGTACTGCTGCCCACCCCCATCCTTCCCCATCCCCCCTCCTTTTCCTCACCGTCTCCTTTCCCCCTCGTCTCCCCACCCCCCTCATCCCTCATCCCCCCACCCCCACCTCCTCCTCATCCCCCTCGTCTCCTCACCCCCCTCACCCGTGCCCGAACTTGTGTCTGTGCAGGGGCGGCGGCAGCGTGGCAAGCACGTGGCGCCACTGGCGCTCGACAGCCAGCAGGTGCGAGGGCCCCACGTGGGAGAGGAAGAGCAGGCGGTGCTCTAGCTCCACAAAGCGGGGCGCGGGGGGGGAGCGGCGCGGGCCCGGGAAGGGACACGGCTCGGGGGAGTACCAGGCTGATAGGTCTACCACACAGAAATTCCTGGGGGGAAGGATAGGGGGGACGGCGGAAGGGGCAGAAAGGGGGGCGCGGATGGAGAATGGTGAGGTAAGGATCGGGGAAGTACCAGGCCGATAGGTCTACCACACAGAGGTTCCTGGGGGGACGGGGGACGGGAGACGGAGGACGGGGGACGAGGGACGGGGACGACAAGGGGGATGGAGGGAGAATGGTGAGGCACGGCTCAGAGGAGCACCAGGCCGATAGGTCTACCACACAGAAGTTCCTGGGAGAAGGGGGGAGGAGGGAGGGGGGAAGAGGAGAGATAGCAGATGAGACGCAGTGCAGGGGAGGGCGGAGAGCATGAAGAGGAGAGAATGGGGACGGGAGTGGGGGGGAGGGGGGAGGGGGGAGGGGGGAGGGGGGAGAGAGTATAGGACGGAATGGGGAAGTGGAAAGGATCTGCACCGTGATTACAAAACAACAAGGGCTGGCTGGCTGGCGGCAACCAGCAATCAAACACACACACATGCACGCACGCACGCACCTGGAGCTGTGGAGAATAACAATGGGCGAGCGTGGATCAGCAGACATGGAGATGCCGCGAATACCATCCGGCAGCAACTGCAGCGTCTGCATCAACACCGCCTCGTTCGCCACACTCCACGGAGTCTCTGTGAACGGCGCAGCAGCAGCGCCAGCAGCAGCAGCAGCAGCGGCAGCAGCGGCGGCAGCGTTAGCCGCAGCGGCGGCACCAGTCTTTTCCTGCTGCTGCTGAGCTATGGAGTTAGCCGGAGCAGCAGCAGCAGCAGCAGCAGAACCCTGGGAGGAGCCAGGGAGGCAGCAGCTGCTTGGCATCCCTGCGCCTAGCAGCTCTCTTGGAGAGGGCTAAAGAGGAGGAGGGGGAGGGGGAACGGGAGGCGGAGGGGGAGGAGGAAGCGGGGAGGAAGAAGACACGGAAGGAGTTGGTGTTGGTGGCGAGCATGAGCAGGCGAGAGCTGGGGTGGAAGGCCATGGCTGTTACGAGCGCGGGGTGGGAGAGAGAAGGCACGTCCCACTCCTTCCTGCTCATGGACGGACAGACACGCATGGGGTGGACAAAGAGGGGCACAAACAGGGTGGAGAAGACACGGAAGGAGTTGGTGTTGGTGGCGAGAACGAGCAGAAGAGAGCTGGGGTGGAAGGCCATGGCTGTCACGAGTGCAGGGTGGGAGAGAGAAGGCACGTCCCACTCCTTCCTGCTCCCGGACAGGCACACAGGGGGTGGGTGGAGACAGAGGGGTGCAGACAGGGTGGGAGATGGACAGATGAGGGGGTGGGAACGGGAACACGAACGGGAACCGGAAAAGTGATGAGGATGTGGATGGGGATGAAAAACATGTGGGAAGCTTGTTTCAGCTTGGCGTTTGTTTTGTTTGGCCACCGAGGCAAAGAGTGCACGCATCACATGTACTGGAAACTATCAAAAGCTCCTACTACTACACACATGCACCGCACCTAACCCTCCCTCCCACCACCCAACAACGCACCTCATCTTCTTCACATCAAACACGGCAGCGTTGCCGGCCGCATCAGCAGCAGCAGCCCAGCGGCCGCAGGGGCTGGTGGCAAGCAGGCGCACAGACGGGGGCAAGCACCCGTCCCTCTGCTCGCCAAACGGAGCGAAACGATGCACCACTCCAACAACCCCCCTAAGTTCCCTGACAACTACCCAAGGCTCTTCCCATCACACGCACATCACCCCAACCTCTCCCAACCGACGCACCTCATCTTCTTCACATCAAATACTGCAGCGTTGCCAGCCGCATCAGCAGCAGCAGCCCAGCGGCCACAGGGACTGGTGGCAAGCACACGCACAGACGGGGGCAAGCACCCGTCCCTCTGCTCGCCAAACGGTGGGAAGCGATGCACCACTCGCAGCAGCCCTGCCGGAGATGCCGCTGCAGCAGCCGCAGCAGCGTTTGCAGGAGAAAAGAGGCCGGGCTTCGGGGAAATGGGGGACGGAGGGATGGTGAACGTGGCAGGGGTGTTTCTGGTCCCTGCTGCTGCTGCTGCTGCTGCTGGTGTTGTTGCTTGAGGGGAGGGTGATGCGGATGCTGATGCGGCCCCTCGAGACGGCGATGGGGATGGTGAGGGCGGAGGTCTTCTGTGCGCCGGTGACTTGCTTCGCTTGCTGCTGCCCGCACCTGCACCTGCAACTACACGAGGGGCGGGGGACCCCATTGAACCTGCAGGAGCTGCTCCTGCTCCTGCTGTTGCTGTCGTGCCTGTTGCCACAACCTGCCCAGGCACAAGACGATACGGAAACGGAAACGTAGGGGTAAGCAGGGCAGGACAGCAGCAAGTTTGCGACGATTCAAAACCCAATTCTGAAAATCCGTAACCCACCTCTCTTCCTGCCCCATCCCTCCCCCCCTCTCTCTCCACCACAATCTCGCCCATGGGAGCAGCAGTCATGAGCGAGAAGCAGCCATCAGAAGCAGTCATCACACGTCCCAAAACTCAATTTGAAACATCCCATAACCCACACAACCCCCTTCCCCACACCTCTCGCCTTACCACGATCTCGCCCGTGGGAGCAGCAGCCAGAAGCGACCTGCCATCAGCAGCAAACGCCACGCACACAGCCGGGCCCAGGGAGGGCCCCTTTACCCTCTCTATCCTCCACACCGCCGCCCCCACCACTGCTGCTGCTGCTGCTCCAGAACCTGCAGCAGCAGCCCCAATCGCTCCTACTCCTGTTCCTGCCCTCGCTAGTTTCACTCCTTTTCCTCCTGCTCCTCCTGCTCCACCCGCCACGTCACACAGCAGGTTGTACACGCGGAGCTTCGACAAATCAGAGAGCGCCAGCTGGCGGCCGTCCGGGGAGATGGCGCTGCATACCACGTGCCCGGGCCCGCTCGTCCGCAGCTGCGCCACCAGCCGCAGGGGAGCGCGCGCACGCGGAGCCAGAGGCGGAGGAGGGGGAGGGGGAGCCTGAGGGGGAGGAGCGGCAGCAAAAGCCGACGCGCTGATAGCGGGAATGGAAACGCTTCCCAGCAGCTGCCCCTGAGCCTGGAACCCCGTTCGGCCCATGGCGCCATACACTGCTACCTCCTGCCAACGGATATCTGCGAGCATACGCCTGCCCTCGGCCTCCTGTGCGGCCTTCTTGGCCCTGGATTGCAGCTCCTGCGCGTGCTGCTTGTGCTTGCTGCGCCGCTGCTCCTCGCTCAACAACCCCCCTTGCTCCCCGCCTTGAAGGCTCGGGGGCACTTGCACCTGCCGCTGTTGTTGTTGCTGCTGCTGCTGCTGCTGCTGCTGCTGCTGCTGCTGCTGCTGCTGCTGCTGCTGCTGCTGCTGCTGCTGCTGCTGCTGCTGCTGCTGCTGCTGCTGCTGCTGCTGCTGCTGCTGCTGCTGCTGCTGCTGCTGCTGCTGCTGCTGCTGCTGCTGCTGCTGCTGCTGCTGCTGCTGCTGCTGCTGCTGCTGCTGCTGCTGCTGCTGCTGCTGCTGCTGCTGCTGCTGCTGCTGCTGCTGCTGCTGCTGCTGCTGCTGCTGCTGCTGCTGCTGCTGCTGCTGCTGCTGCTGCTGCTGCTGCTGCTGCTGCTGCTGCTGCTGCTGCTGCTGCTGCTGCTGCTGCTGCTGCTGCTGCTGCTGCTGCTGCTGCTGCTGCTGCTGCTGCTGCTGCTGCTGCTGCTGCTGCTGCTGCTGCTGCTGCTGCTGCTGCTGCTGCTGCTGCTGCTGCTGCTGCTGCTGCTGCTGCTGCGATTCTTTGGCTATGGCTCGGTGTTTTTTTGCTTTCCTCTTCGTCCCGAACAGCTGAGACGGGTTTATCCTCTCATCCTCCTCCTCCTGCTCTTGTGCACCGTCGTTTCCTTCCACCACCTCGCCCTCACCTCTCCCTCCCTCCTCCTCTCCTTCCTCTTCTTGCTTCTCTCCTTCCTCTTCTCCTTCCTCCTCTTCTTCTTCCTCCTCCCCTTCCAAAACCCCATTCATCTCCAATCGCCTCACAGCCGATCCCCCTCCTTCCCGCTCCTCCTCCCCACCACCTCTTCCCCACTCTCCCCCCCTCCCACCAACCCTTCCCTCGCACCCTCCCCGCACTCCACCCCCTCTCCCTCTCCCTCCCCTTCCTCCTCATCCACCCACCACACATCCAGACTCATCGCCTGCTGCACCAGCAGCAGCCTCCCTCCCAACGCACACCGCGCAATCTGCATCGGCGGCGCCTGCGGCGTGGGGCAGACCGTGTGCGGGCTATACTTGAGGAAATACTGCGACGGGTAAGTCACCAGCCGCGCGTCGTTCCCCCCAGACACCACCATTGCTGCTTGGGGTCGTAGCCCGAGCCGCTGCTCCCGCTCCTCCTGCTCCCGCTGCTTCCTGCGCTGCCGCCGCTGCTCCTTGCGCCGCCGCCACGCTGCCTTGACCTTGGCTTCTAGCTGCTGGAACTGCTCTGGTGACATCTCAGGCTTCAGCTTGGATGCTGCGTGGATGCACAGGGAGCGGGACGCGGGGCCGGGGGGAGAGAAGGAGTCACTTTTGAGGATTCTCAAAGCTGCCGCTGCTCTGGTGACATCTCAGGCTTCAGCTTTGATGCTGGGAGGACAGATGGGGAGACGAGACACGGGGAAACATAAAGAGAGGGAAAGTGCTTTCGAGTCCACTCAAATGCGCCGCCACGCTGCCTTGACCTTGGCTTCTAGCTGCTGGAACTGCTATGGTGACATCTCCGGCTTCAGCTTGGATGCTGGGAGGACAGATGGGGAGAGAAAAGAGAGGGGGGGAGCGGAAAAGAGAGGAGGGGAGCGGGCGGGAGAGGAGTCACTTCTGAGAATCCTCAAAGCTGGAACTGCTCTGGTGACATCTCAGGCTTCAGCTTGGCTGCTGCATCAACGTACAGGGAGCAGGGAGAGAGGGGGGGAGGGGAAAGAGGAGGAGCGAAAAGGGGGAGGGGAAGTGGGGAGGGAAGAAGGTTAGGAAAGGGGAAGTAAGGTGGGGCTTTCATTTATGCTGAGGAGTACAAGGTCCACTCCTTGCGCTGCCGCCATGCCGCCATGCCGCCATGCCACCTTGACCGTGGTTTCTAGCTGTTGGCGCTGCTCTGCTGTCCTCTCCGGCTTAAGATTAGATTCTAATACCCAAGTTTCCCAAAATCGCCACCAATTATATTTATTTGTTCGCTCTCTTTACTTAGTCAAGGGGAGAAAGACAGATAAAAACAAATTGCACAAACCACACCACACCGCATTCCACTCCAAACAACTCACCCAGCACCTTCCGCCAGTGAACCACGTGCTCTTCCTCCTCGCCCTCTCCCCCTCTCCTCACACCCTCCCCCGCTTCCTCCCCTTCCTCCCCCTCCGCCCCCTCCTCCTCCCCTTCCTCTGGCACCAGCGCCACCGCTAGAGCCCTGACATCTGCTGTGTGCGACCTGTGCGCCCCTAGAAGCATCCACTTGCCGTCCGCGCTCGCCCCCTGCGCGGGGACACCCTTCCCCGCGCTCCCCCCCGCGCCCCTCTTGCTGCGCGCCTCTAGCCCCGCCGCGGAGTTGGCCACAAAGCGGTACTGCGCCACCTGTTGCACGGGGGGGGGGGGGGGGGGGGGGAGAGGGATGGTGAGGGGGAGTGAGGGGGAGTGAGGGGGAGTGAGGGGGGGGGGGTGAGAGGGGGTGAGAGGGGTGATGAGCGTGAGGGAGGGTGCTTTTGGGTCGAAGGCAGGGAGGGTGGCGGACTGAGATGTGTTTGGCAAGTGAAACGCAAGATTCTTGACACGTTTCTCACGTGTGTTCCTTCACTTCCCTGGTCCCAACGCACCCGGCCCACCTACGCACCCACGCACCATACCCACCCCACCCCCTCACCCATTCCCCTCCCTCCCCCCCCTTCCCAACCCTTTTTTCTCACCATGCCGTCCGCGCCGGCGGAGAAGACGTGGCGGGGGTCGTTGGGCATGGCGGCGAGCGCGAGCACGTCCGCCTTGTGCGCGCGCACGGACGACAGGTACGTGCCCAGCGCGCCGTCCCACATGCGCACGTGCCCCGACGAATCCCCTGTTACCAACGTGCCGTCACTGGTGGAAGGGGGAGTGGTGAACGGGGGTGGGGGAAGAGGTGGGGGGAAGGGGGAGAAAGGGGGGTGGAGGGAAAAGAGGGGGAGGGAAAGAGGGAAACGCATGGGAGGTGGAACAATGGGGTGAGGAGCAGCAAGAATGTAAGCAGGGGGGAAGTGGGAGAGGCGTTGGGACGACAGATACGTGCCCAACGCGCCGTCCCACATGCGCACGTGCCCCGACGAATCCCCGTCACCAACGTGCCGTCACTGGTGGTGGCGGAGGGAGGCCGGGGGGGGGGGGGGGGGCGAGGAGGACGAAGAGGGGGGGTGAGAGGGGGGGGGCGGGAGCGGGGAGAGAGGGGGGGGAAGGGGGAGGATAGGCGGGAAAGCGAGAAGGGAAGAGGGAAAGATACGGGGGATGAGAGCACCGGGCAGCACCTGAGCGAGAGCTAAGGGGGAGGGGAGAGAGACAAGGGGGGGGGGAACACCTGAACGAGAAGGGAAGAGGCAGAGATACGGGGGGTGAGAGCAACGCGCAGCAAGGGGCGCAGGGAACGCGGGGGAAGGGAGAGAGAGAAGGGCGGGGAACACCTGAGCGAGAGCAGAGATAGGTGGGGAAGACGGGGCGGGAAGGGGAGTGGGTGGGGGGTGGGGTGGGGGCGGGAGGGGGGGAGGGGGGGGTGGGGGGAAGGGTTCGGAGGAGGGCGGGGGAGGGGGGAGAACAGGAGCGCAGGTTACCTGAGCGCGAGCAGCGACCAGACGCAGAGGTTGCGGATGCTGTCCATGCCCGTGGCCACAGGGATGCGGTACAGCTCCCTGCCCGCCGCCACGTCCCAGCACCGCACCATGCTGCAGAGAGAGAGAGCAGGTGGACAGGGGAGGGAGGGGATGGGGGAGAGAGGGGAGGGAGGGGAGAAGGGGAGTGGAAGGGGTGGGGAATAGGAAAAGAGAGCGGTGAGACTTTTTATGGGGCGCCTGGAAAATCGGTGCAGGGCCCAGGCACCATGGCGGGTGGCAAAACCGAGGGACGAGTGCACGACGAGCGGAGGCAAGGACAAGGAATAGGCAGGGAAAAATGCGAGGGGCGCAGGGAGCGAGCGCACCTGTCGGAGCCGCCTGTGAAGACGCGGCGAGCGCCCGAGCACGCCCACGCCACGCACAGGATCTTGGCTGGCAAGGAGGGAGAGGGGCGGGGGGAGAGGGAAGGGGGGAGAGGGGAGGGGGGAGGGGGCAGCGGGCAGCGGGGAAGCGGGGCACATGGAGCGTCGGGTGAGAACAAGAACGTGATGAGAGAGCACTGCACCGTACAGGAGCCACCACCCACGGCACAGGCTGACAGCTACACCACCGCTCTCCTTGAAACTGCACGGTCTGCACGGTCTGCATGGGCCCACCACGTCTGCGGCGTGCACGCCCTACAGGCCATACCACACCACAACACCCGCCTCCTTCCGTCCCTCCCTCTCCCCGCACCCTCATCCCTCTCCCCTTTTTCCCCCGCTCCCCGCCCCCCGTTCCCCCCCTCACGCCCGCGGCCCCCGCTCACCCTGGCCGCGCGGGAACGACTTGCGGTACTCCATGCCCGCGCCCCGGTCAGACGGCACGAACAGCCGCAGCGCGCCGTCATCGCACCCCACCGCCACGTACTCCTCCCCCTCCCCCGCACTGCCCCCCGCGCCCTCTCCGCCCTCCTCCTCCTCCTCATCCTCCTCCTCCTCGTCCGCCGCTTTTTTCTCCTTCCCTTTCGCCTTGCCCTCCGCTCCCCCGCCCGCGCCTCCCCCCGCGCTCTGCCGCAGCGGCTCGCGCGCAGGCTCCACCGCCATGGCCCACACGGGCCCGCCCATCGAGTCCGCCACAGACTGGCGCGCGGAAGCCGCGGGACGGGGGATAGCAGCGCGCGGGGAGAGGGTACGCGCGGGAAGGTGTGAGGGGTGGGGGAGAGGGGAAAAACAGAATGGAAAGGGAGTTGAGCGAGAGGGGAAGGGCATGAGTGGTGAGAGGCGGAAGCACATTGAGCAATGTTGGGAGGGAGGGAGAAAGGGAGGGAGGGAGGGAGGGAGGGAGGGAGGGGAGAGAGGAGAGAGAGGGGGGAGGGCAGACGGGGGGGGAGAGGGAGTGGGGAGGAGGGGGGAAAAGAAAGGAAGATCAGCATCAGGCATAGTTGCCCGGCAATATCTACTCTTTGTTTTACCATGTGGTTGTGGTTCCATCTTTCCCTTCTCACGTTGCACCCGCAACTTTCCCTACCTACCTTCTGTAGCTCGCACCCATATCCGCTCCGAATCAATACACGAACGAAACATCTTGAGAGCAACAGCACGCGCGCGCGCGGAGCGACGACAAAGGGTGGAACGCGAAGTGACAAACCGACGGATGGAAGTAAGCTGGCAGTTACAGCGATCTCCTAAAGCACCGCGCACACATCACTCTTGAGAACTCTCAAAAGCGATACAAGGACGTGACGGCATGTGACGGCACGTTTCGGCACAGCATAGTCCCCTCAAGCCTAGCGCGTCTTCTGAGGAGCCTCATAAGTCGGCACAGCAGATTCCCCTAGCGCCTAGCGCGTAGGACGGCTAGACGACTGCCCTCACCACCCACCTGTGGCGCGAGAGTGGCGAGGTTCCACTCCGTGATCGTGCCGTCCAGACTCGCGGAGAACAGCCGCCCGCGCGCCGCCAGCCCCGCCGGCAGCGTGCCGGCCGCAGGCGACGGCAGGTACGACGGCGGCGAGCACCACACGAGCGATGAAATCGCGGCGTCGCGACGGCCGGGGATGCGCTGCGGGAGGGGAAGTGGAGAAGGGGGGGAAGGGGAGAAAGGACGGAGGAGTGAGACGGGAGCGCGGGTGTGGGGGAGGAATGAGATTACAGAAGAGGCAAAAGGAGAGAGTTGGGCAGTGAGTTGAACAGCGCTGCAGAGCGAAGGTAAACACACGCCGCGCTTAACGTGTCGGTCGACAGCACGCTCCCTCGTGCCAATAGGGCAAATATGGCTCCTCTTGCGACGCGCAAAACCCCAGCTTCCCCCCTTAACACACGCGCACACCTCCCGCCCCCTTCCCTCGCTCACCCCGCTCGCTCCACTCCGCCTCCCTCGTTACGTTGCCTTCACATTGCCCTCTAAAACCCTGCTCAAATCTTCCTGCCCGAAAACCGCGTACACCACGGCCATTCGCGCCCGTACCGCTCTTAAACCCTTCATTCTGCTAAGTTTGCCTTCCACTTCACACATCCCTGATCCCACACCCTTCAAACTCGCCACGCTTATCCCCCGCACTTTTAAGGCCCCATTCCGTCACCATGTGATTATGCTCTTTGTTCGGTAACCATCCGTTACGTAGTAACCAGTGCTCTGTGCGAAACCCTCTCACCAGTTCGCAAGCCCATCCGACGGCGCCAGCCGCGACTCGCCAGATCTCGATATCCCCGTTCTCCCGCGCCGCCGCCACAACCGCGCTGTCGCAACTAGCCGCTAGCGCCGTTACCGCCGACGGCCGCCAATCGATCGCCTGACACTTGTGCACCTCCAACGACGCGCGCCCACGTGGAGGGGCCACGTGGGCGGATCCGGGAGCGGGTGGGGATGGACCCTGACCAGCCACGTCAGTGGCTTGCGTGACTGTTTTGGCGGGCAACTGCGATGCGATTTGCACATCGGAGGGCGTCGCGAGGAGTACGGATGGGGACGGGGACGGGGATAGCGACCGCGACACGGAGACTAGCCCGGGATTCGACTGCGCCTCGGCTGCTGTAGGAGAATCATCGAGGGCGGCAGAAGGGGAACCTATAGGTCGGACGGATAGGGTTTTAGTCGACGGCGGAAGGTGCTTCTGCACGCTCTTTGTCTTCAGCGCAGGGCTTTTGGACTTGACTGCACTCTTAGCTGCTTTGGGTGGGGCGCTATTAGGGCTTTTGATGGGCGGGGTCTGGAGCTGCTTCTTCTTGCGACGGTGTTTAACCTCATTGCAATCGTTGCCGTCATCGTTTCCTTCGTCAAGCTCCTTTCGCTTCTTCACAGCGCTCGGGTTCTCCTCCCCTTGCTGCTGCTGCAACAGCTGCTGATCCTGCTGTCTCTGCTTCTTCTTCCTGCGCGACTCGTCAGTCTCCGCATTGGGGGTCATATCTCCGCCAACCGCAGGTCCGGACACGTCGACAACCTTACGAGCGGCGGACACGGAACCAGCGATGGAGGAAAAGCGGTGTAATTCGGGAGGCATGTCCTTGCTGCACTCCCGGGGAGGATCTGCTCGCCGCGCTCGATCGCGCGGGGTCTCGCGAAAAAATAATTTGCCTGCGAGCGCCCTGCCCGTGACCTCAAGACGTGAACGAGAAATTAAAAGATTTAACGAGGCGACAGGGTTAGGAGGCGGTTGCGTGCTAATGCCTGCCAAGCTGCGACGAGCAGAGCCAAAAGAGCATAAGAGAAGAAGCGGAGCGATGAGATGGGACTTAGGGTTGGGGGGATGGGCGAGGAGAGAGGGGAGGGGGAAGGAGGGAGAGGAGGTGGGGAGAGGAAGAGAGGAGGTGAGAGATGGGTGAGGAGGGATGTGCAGGGGTGGAGGGGGCGATGGTTTGGGGATAGTGTGGGGTTCAGCAAGTGAGGGAAAGAGGTTGGGGGGGGAAAAGAAAAGCGAACGGGAAGAGGGGATGGGATGGGATGGTAGCACCATGGGACTGGGCAGGCAGGTAGGGATGCGTGGAGGGAGGCACATCAGCATGATGACGAGAATTTGATCAAATGTTCATATGTTTTTGAAAGAAAGAAAACTGACCCAAAATGTTTGAAAGCAGGGCCGTTGGCACGAGCCAGAGAGCGTGTGGCCAGTGAGGATCTCGTACAATGAAATTGCTGGTGAACAGAGTTTGTAATTCTGCCCGCTAACGGCACTGCGCGCATGTGGTTGTGCGCGCCGCCTCACTGCTTGCCCATACGCCAGCCCACGCCGCCGGAATGTTCGAGGCCCGGAAATTTTCTTGCTGCGTCCAAAACCCTGGGGACTTCCCAAAACCCCTTCTTGATTTCATACTCATTTCGGGTTGCCGCAACGGCGATGCGGGTGGTTGGCTTAGGAAGAGGAAAGCTACACTGAAGGCGAAACAGAAAGCAACATGTAGCAGCATTACATTTTGTACTAGGTTGCTGCAATGATTTGTATACTGAAACCCATGTCAATGTGTGTAACTGCATCTCCCCTACGCAGTCACGATTTGCAAGAACATCCAAATAAATTTTTTAATACCACCATAGCACGTTGCACAAATCCCCTTTGCAGCAAACTATGACCAGCGCCTCTCCTCTGCCTTAGCATCCACAGGTACATACCAATCAGGACGATTGGCATTGGGGTTCAATCTATAGTCCAAAAACACCTCCTCACCATCCTTGATCACATCTGTCGCCACCAGCACCACCGTCCTCAGCACCCCCTCTTTCAGCTCCTCCTCGTCTTCATCGTCATCCATCTCCATACTCGACTCATCATAGTCACGTTCCGACCCCCTCCTGCCTGCAGACCTCCGCCCTCGCCTCTTTTCCTCAGCTCTCTTTTCCCTCAGGCGGAAAACAACATTAGGCATATACGGCCGCAGACTGTTCCATTCTGCATCTTCCAAAGGAATGTCCAGAGGGCAAATCGCCACATTGGGCGATTGCCCAGAACCGCCCGGGTGATTTGCAAAGTGAGCCAGAGCAAGAGGGTTCCTCCTCTCGATCTCCGCTTGAGTGGCAGCGATGGCTGCAGTGAGAAGAGCCGGGTTGTTGCGCCAGCTGTCGCCTCCCACCAGCACGCGGGCCAGTGCCGCTTCCAGTGCTCGATTGAATGATAACATGCTAGTGCTGCTGCTGCCGCCGCCGCCGCTGCTGCTGCTGCTGCTGCTGCTGCTGCTGCTGCTGCTGCTGCTGCTGCTGCTGCTGCTGATGCTGCTGCTGCTGCTGCTGCTGACGCTGTCGCCATCACTATCTCCACTGCTGGTGCTTGTACTGCTTGCACTGGGACTTGCGGAGGAGCCACTCACTGCCTCTGCCTCTGCAACTGCCCGCTCCTCCTCCCTCGCTCCCCTTCCCTTCAACCACTGGTCATCAATCCTCTGCGATCCCTCCTCTCTCTCCCACCGCTCCCTCTCCCTTAACCACCCAAGATTCTCCTCCTCTATACCACTCCACATCTCCCTGCCTGCCCCTCCAACACCCCACGGCCTCGCGTCTATGATCACCCCATCGAACCGTGCGAGCAGGTACGGGTTATTGCTGTCTACGAGAGGGAAACCCGGCAGGTACCCGTGCATATCGCGAGGGTAAATCACCCCTGGATATTGGGCAACGATGGTGCCAGGAGAGGCGGAGCCGTGGAGGAACAGGCCGAGGCCGGAGGTGGGGTGAGGAACGGAGGAGGGACGGAGGGAGAGGGAGGGAGAAACCGGTGGAACGGAGAAACGCGGAAGAGGCTTCAGCAGGGGAAAGGTGTGACGGATGAGCTGTGTTGCTGGGCCTGCAGGAGGGATAGACAGACAGGGCAAAGGGCCACATTGGAAAGACAGGGCAGGTGGATAGGAAATGGTGGAAACTGAACCGAAGCCTGACTAGCAAAACGCCTGACTCTCCTATGGTGCCTGAAACACATACCACTGCCACTGAAGCGAAATCATTCAAGCATATTCATGGTGCCTGCCAATCCACCGCACCGCTTCCTACCATTTTCTGAAGCTTCCGACCGCATCTTACCGTTTCCTGCCTTCCAGAGGCTGCCCCAGTGCAAAGCTGAGCTCGCTGACAATCGGCTCCTGGCCTGACTCCTGGGCCGTCCCGCTGCCGCCACCACTACTACTGCCAGACGCAGAGGCGGGTTCAAAGACAGCCTGGAGGGTGCTGGACGGGAGGCGAGAAGAGAGGGAAGGAGGGAGGGTGAAGCTGCTGTGACCTGATTTTTTAAGCACCTCAAAACTGCTACTGCCAGACGCAGAGGCAGGCTCAAAGACAGCCTGGAGGTGCGCTGGACGGGAGGCGAGGGAGAGAGGCGGAGAGGGTGGAGCTGCTGTGATGTGATCTGCGCTGTGCAATGGCTGATGAAGCCAGCTGTGGCATGCGAAACGAGAAGCACAGGGGGCATCTCTTGGCACATGGCCACATGACGTGCTCAGACGTGCTCAGATCAGAACAGATGGTGCATACAGGACAGGACAAACGAGTACCCAACGGTGCAGCGGAAAGCGGAGTGTACATGCATGCAAGCGCAGGGAGCGGAGCACCCGGACGGACACTACGGCTTGGCGTACACTCACACTCACACAAACCCACCCCCTGGCATGCATGGGCGGGCGCGCGCACCTGCATGGCCTGCAGCGCTTGTCGCATCTGAGCGCGCATCATCCGTGCGAGCGCGTGCCTGCTCTCCTCCAGTGGCAATGCTGCTACCTCCTGGGCGAACCTCGCCGCGGCTGCTTCCGACGCTGATCCTCCCTGCTCCTGCAACCTGAGAAGAGTGGGTGGGTGCATGGGAAGGACGGGGAGGGCGACGACAGGCGCGTCAGACTTTTGAAGCACCTCAAAAGCTGCTACTTCCTGAGCTAACCTCGCCGCTGGTGCTTCTGACGCTGATTCTGCCTGCTCCTGCAGCCTGAGGAGTCGTGAGGAGGGTGGGTGGGAGCATGGGAGGGACGGGAAGTGAGGTAGGCGTGGCAGGTGAGCAGAGAGAATGCGCAAGCAGTGCGGAACAGGAGACAGGGATGAGTAGGAATAGTTGAGTTTGAAGCTGTGAGGGAGTGAGTGCTTGAATGATCTCAAGTAGTTGGTGACTGTATATTACCAGTAGCGCATTGCAACCCGTGCATAGACTTCATACATCGTGTGGGTGATGGATTCGCCTTGACTGGCGAATCAGATCACGATGATATTTGGACCAAAAGCGGTTTATCAAATCACATTTCATGCATGCATGGATGCACGGATGCATACACGCATGCATGCACGCATCCATTCCCGTTTCCTATCTGTCTCTCACCATGCGAGCAGCAGCAGGCGGTGCGTGTCAGCATGCTGCTGCAGCCGACGCTTGTCGAGCGCCGCGCCCGCCGCCTGGCCCTGCCGCCATAGCTGCGAGATAAAAAATCACGGCAATCGGCCATGAGAACAGGGGAAAGCGGGTGGACGAATCAGTCCGAAAACGTGAGAGAGGAGGGAGGAGAGGAACACGACTACCGACGCATTGGTTACGGTTGAAACAGCGGGTGCTTTGAATGGAAAGCCTGATCCGCATAGTGCGTCGGACACAAGTCGAGCTTTGAGGCGCCTCAAAACTAGACTTCATGTGGAAAGCCTGATCCTCATAGTCCGTCGGGTACAAGTCGAGCCACGTGGGCCATTTCTGCGAGTTGCTGACGAGCCCGCGACTAGTGTCGATGAGTATGAAAGCGAGAACGCGCAGCGGGATGTGGAAACGGAATGAACTAGAAGCGGGTTGGTATGGGGGAACGGAGGTCGCTCCCACCTGCTTTAGGTACTTGAACATCAGGGAATCTCGTGCGGTTATGAATCGCGTCTAGAGATGCGCCATAGATGTGTGTCGGAGCTGATGTGCAATGGGAACTTGGGTAGGGGTGGATGAAAGAAGGTCGCATTGGTATGGTTATTGTACATGTAGTACAGTAATTGGGGAATAAACAAAGAGCGGTTTCGTCATCGTTTTATTCGACACACGTTATGCACAGTCGAATTAAATGTACATGCTCTAACGGGTACGTCCTGAAGTCCGCTTTGCGTCCACGCGGAGCACTGTCGGGCTAGCCACGTAGATTCCATCTGCCCGAGCCTTGGGAGTCTACCAGAATTCTATAACACACTTTGTCTCTTCGTTGACGTCGCTAATACCTCGTCTTCGCAAACCCAGGTGCAGACGCAGGACGCACAAAACACAAGCTGAGAAGAGTTTCCCGCGTGAACAGAACTGAAGTCCCATTTTTACCCGTCGCGAAACGTTGGCGAAGGCTACTTGTAAATCTCGTAATCCAGCCACTTTGTGCATCCTCCTTTCCCGCCCTTCCGAACCGAATCATTTTCCTGCTGAGAGTCACGCAGCCATCAGCTCAGAATCATTTTCCTGCTCATTAGAGATTCTTAGACTCGCGCGCGACGCGTCCGCGCCGCTTCTTCCAGCATTTCCTTGCTCAACGGTTCGGTACACCGACCGCTCGCTTGTACATTCCAGATCCCGTTCAAGCTTGTCACATGGCGTGCCCAGCTATGACAATCCCCTCTTCAAGCACCGCTACCAGCCTCGCGCTCCGCTCAACCTTTCTCCCCGCGTCCGCCGCGTCTCTCCTCCCCCGTGTTGTCCCCCCGAGCCGGTTACCAGACGGCAGTTCCGCCACTAGCCGCTCGTCTAGACGGCGCTGCACGCTAGTACCCGTCAGAGCCGCGACAGGCGTCAGAAGTAGCGGCAGCGGGAATCCGGCAACGAAGAAACGCGGAGAAGTAGCAGCAGCAGCAGCAGCAGCAGCAGCAGCGGGAGCGTCGTCAGCCCCTTCAGCAGCCACCACGACGGCAGCGGAGAGCACGGACGACGCGACAGGCGAGCAGCGGCCGTTGCTGGGCTGCCCGGTGTGCTTCCAGCCGCTCTCCATCGCCGGGTCCCGCTCTGCTCGGACCTTCAACATGTGGGTGGCGCTGTTGCATGCTAAATCGTGTCGTTACATTGGGTCATTCACCTGGATTCCTCTCCTCTCACCTGAATTTTCTCACTATCTGAATCCCCCGGCATCTCACTCTCCGCCTTCCCCTCCCAGGAACACGGCGTCGCGCATGCGCCTGCAGTGCGCGACGTGCGCGCGCGTGTACGCGACGAGCAGCGCGGGGTTTGCGGACCTCACGCTCACCGCGGGCGTCACGGAATACGTGGAACCGTCGCTGCCCTTCCGATCCGAGGCCTTCAAGTGCGCGCGTGCTTGCTTGCTTGCTTGCTTGCTTGCGTGCATGCGTGCGTTTGTGTGTTAATGCAGCTATCAGTTTTGAGAATTGCAGCTATCACTTATCATTATCACTTCTGCAAGCATCCTTCTGGAGAGTAATGTCATGTCATCCTCCCTCTCACCCTGTTTCCTCCTCCTCCTCCTCCTCCTCCTCCTCCTCCTCCTCCTCCTCCTCCTCCTCCTCCTCCTCCTCCTCCTCCTCCTCCTCCTCCTCCCCTCCTCTTCCGCCCACCTCCCCCATCCTTCACCACCACCACCAGGAGTCCTGTGTTCTCGTTCGTGTACGAGAGAGGCTACCGGCAGAACTTCACCAGAAGCGGCTTTCCAGGGCCAGATGAGGAGGTGCGTGGTGGCTGTTGATTGAGTCGACTCAAAGGCAGGAACCCTTTGTTCTTGTTCTTGTGCATGAAGAAATTACTATCAGCAACTTGCTTCACCAGGTCTGGCTTTCCAGGGCCAGATGAGGAGGTTCGTGGGAGGGGAGTTGTGGTAGGAGGTGGGGGAGGTTCTGGGAGGAGGAAAAGAGGAGGGGTGGGGCGGGAGACGGGCGGAAGAATGCGAAGGAGAGGAAGTTAAGTGGGGAAGAGTAGGGAGGAGGTAGAGTGAGGGTGTTATCACGGTATGCACAAAGTGCATATTCGGCTGTTCTTCCCACCCTTACTCCCCACCCACCCTTAGTCCCCACCCACCCTTGCTCCCCACTTTCCCTCTGCCCAGTTCCGCATGGCACAGCAGTGGCTAGACAGCCATGAGGGTGGGCGAGTGGTCGACCTCAGCTGTGTCTCTCTCAGGGCTCTTCACACATCTCCGCACCTCCTCCTCGTCCTTCCATTCTCACTCCTCCCCCCCTCTCCCCCTTGCACAGTTCTGCATGTCACAGCAGTGGCTAGACAGCCATGGGGGCAGGCGAATGGTGGACCTCAGCTGCGGCTCAGGCCTCTTCACACGCCTTCCCACTTCTTTCCCCTTCCTTCCACCCGCCCCTGCCCCCGTGCCTACGCTCCCTAATCTCCTCTTCCCGCTCCCGCACAGTTCCGCATGGCACAGCAGTGGCTGGACAGCCACGAGGGCGGGCGAGTGGTGGACCTCAGCTGCGGCTATGCCCTTGACTGAACGCCTCCCCACCTCGTTCCCCACCTTCTCCCTTTTACTCCCCTCTCCCTCTCGTGCCCAGTTCCGCATGGCACAGCAGTGGCTGGACAGCCATGAGGGCGGCCGGGTGGTGGACCTCAGCTGCGGTTCAGGCCTCTTCACACGCCGCTTCGCTGCTGCAGGCGGCTGGGCCACGATAATCGCAGCGGACCTGTCAGGAGCCATGCTGGAACAGACTGCGGCGTATATTAAGGAGGATAAGAGCCTGACGGAGGCACAAGAGTGAGTGTGGCCGTGTGGGAGGGTGCTGTGTGCGTGTGTGCTTGCTTCACTGTGCCTGCTGGGCAGCTGGGCCATGGTGCTGGAGCAGACTGCAGCGTATATCAAGGAGGATAAGAGCCTGACGGAAGCCCAAGAGTGAGTCCCGTCTCTGCTTCGCTTTCTCTGTGTGTGCTTGCTGCACCCTGCTTGCTGACTTGCTGGGTTGGGTGGCTGGCTGGGCCACGCTGATCGCAGCGGACCTGTCAGGAGCCATGCTGGAGCAGACTGCCGCGTATATTGAGGATAAGAGCCTGACGGAGGCACAAGAGTGAGTGTGGTGTCTGCATTTTCTCTGTGTGCTGTGTGCTTGCTGCATGCATCCTGCTTGCTACACTTGCTGGGTTGGGTCTGCTTTTGAGTCGACTCAAAAGCTGCTTTTGAGTCGACTCAAAAGCTGCATCCTGCTTGCTACACTTGCTGGGTTGGGCTTCTGGGCCACGACAATTGCAGCGGACCTGTCAGGAGCCATGCTGGAACAGACTGCGGCATACATCAAAAGAGGATAAGCGCCTGACGGAGGCCCAAGAGTGAGTGCGGAGTCTGGAGAGTGTGTGAGCAGCAAGATACCACGCGTCTGCTTCTTGCCACCGAGTCTACACACCAATTTTCATCCAGTCATGCACGTGTGCTCACTCGCACCCACCCTACCTACCTTTTTTGAGACTTGCTCTCGCTCTCTCTCAAAGCAGCAAACAACCACGCGGATGTGGCACGCCTGCCCTTCTGCTCAGATGCACCCATGCCACATCCCACCACCCCCATCCTCAAACCATCCTCATGCCCCGTTTTCCCCACAACCACCCTCTCCCCCCACCCCTCACAAACGCCCATCACCCCCATCAGGCGCATCATGCTGGTGCAGGCGGACATGGCGCGCCTGCCCTTCTGCTCGGGGTCCATTGATCGATGCAATGCAGTGCAGTGCAGTGCACACCGGAGCTGCCATCATCCTCACACCATTCCATCCCCATCCCCCGTGACTCTCTCCCCCCTCCACTACCCCCACCCCCCATCACCCCCATCAGGCGCATCATGCTGGTGCAGGCGGACGTGGCGCGCCTGCCCTTCTGCTCGGGGTCCATTGATCGATGCAATGCAGTGCAGTGCAGTGCACACCGGAGCTGCCATCATCCTCACACCATTCCATCCCCATCCCCCGTGACTCTCTCCCCCCTCCACTACCCCCACCCCCCATCACCCCCATCAGGCGCATCATGCTGGTACAGGCGGACGTGGCGCGCCTGCCCTTCTGCTCGGGGTCCATTGATCAATGCAGTGCGCACCGGGGCTGCCATCATCCTCATCCCATCCCCATCCCCCGTGTCTCTCTCCCCCCCTCCCCTTCGTCACAACCGCCCATCAGGCGCATCATGCTAGTGCAGGCGGACGTGGCGCGCCTGCCCTTCTGCTCGGGGTCCATTGATGCAATCCACGCCGGCGCTGCCATGCACTGCTGGCCCTCTCCCTCCCTCGCTGTCAGTGCCCCTTCCCCTCGCACCCTCTCTCTCCCCCACCTGCATCCCTGCCCTTCTGCTCGGGGTCCATCGATGCAATCCACGCCGGCGCTGCCATGCACTGCTGGCCTTCTCCCTCCCTCGCTGTCAGTGCTCCTTTCCTTCCCAAGCACCCTCTCTCCCCCTTCCCAGCATCCACGTCACTCCGTGTCCCTTTCTCCATGTCTCACTGCTCTCCCTCTCAATCTCAATGCCCTCTGTTTCCCCTCAATAACGTCTCCTACCCTGCCCTGCACCATTGCCGTCCACCGCACTAGTATTCATACCCCACATTCCTCCTTCCGCTTCTTCTTCTTCTTCACTCTTTCTCACCTGCCTGCCCCTCTGCCTTGCGTTATTTTCTGCCCTTCCTCCTTGCTTTTCCCTTGCCTCTCGCTCATACCTATTCTGTCTTGACCCCACGTATCCCCTTTCTCCCTTAAACCTGTGTGCTGCGGCCAGGAGGCAAGTTCTTTCTTCACGCGCCTCAGAAATGCTCTTCCCCTCCCCTCCCTCCGCCCCACGTCATCCATCACTAATATCTCCACAGATGGCAGAGATCAACCGGGTGCTGCGCCCAGTAGGAGGCAACTTCTCTCCTTGGGCGCCTCACGTATACTCTTCTCTCCCTTCCGCCCCCCTCTCCCCCCCCCATCCATCACTAATATCTCCTTAGATGGCGGAGATCAACCGGGTGCTGCGCCCAGGAGGCAAGTTCGTGGCGTCCACTATCCTCTGGCCCTCTGCGCCCTTCGGCAACGAGCTCTTCCAGTCCCTTCGCAAGGTAGCCTAGCCCATGGGCCGTGGGCCCCCTTCCTCCTCCCTTCTCCCTCCTCCCCCCTCACCTCCTCCCTCGCCCCGCTTTCTTGCACTTACTCTCCTTCTCTTCATCCGCTCCCTTCGGCAACGAGCTCTTCCAGTCCCTTCGCAAGGTAGCCCATGGGCCAGGCCGTGGGCCCCCTTCCTCCTCCCTCCCCACCTCCTTCCTTGCCCCTCGTTCTTGCACCTATTCTCCTCTGGCCCTCTGCTCCCTTCGGCAACGACCTCTTCCAGTCCCTTCGCAAGGTTGACCCCATGCCTTATCCTCCTTCTCTTGAGTCAACTCAGTAGTCACCTTGAGACAATGGGATGGGAGATCACACTCATTAAGTCCCTCCGACATATAGCCCGTCAGTCAGTCCTTCCGCAACGACATCATCCAGTCAGTCGCTAGGTTGCCCGTGTCTGACTTTTGAGTCGACTCAAATGTCAGCTCGTTACAATGTCACACGATACTTTTTGTGTCGACGCAAAAGTGAGCTCGTTACAATGTCACACGATACTTTTAGAGTCGACTCAAAAGTCATATAGCCGTCAGTCAGTCCTTCCGCAACGAGATCATCAAGTCAGTTGTTAGGTTGCCCATGTCTGGCTCCCTCCTCCCCTTCCCCCTCCTCATCTCCTCCCTCCTCACTCTCCTCGTTCTCCGCTCCCTGTCACAACGACCTCATCAGACCCATTTACAAGGTTGTCCGTGGCTACATGGGGGAACTATTCTTCCCCACCTCTCTGGCCCACGCCCTTTCCCTCCTCCCCCCCTACCTCAATGCGTGCGGACACGGCCATGAAGTTCTGGGAGGGCGAGGAGCGCAGGGAGCTTTGAGACGTCTGAAACCTCTATCACCCACATGCTTTCTCTCCTCCTCACCTCCCTCCTCCCCCCTTCCTCCTCGGTGCAGTCAATGCGTGCGGACACCACCATGAAGTTCTGGGAGGGCGAGGAGCTGCGGGAGCTGCTGCAGCTGTCGGGGTTTGTGGAGTACCGCCAGGAAACCAACGGGCAGTTCATCATGATTTTTGGGCAGAAGGCCGAGTGAGTGCCATTGTGAGGGCCCGCTGAAATGGGCAGTGGCATGGATGCTGTGTGGCATAGTGTGGAGCACGGAATGGAGGCAGGGTGTGTTGGCCGGTCTCCTGTACAGGAGTTAAGGGATTTTGTGGAGATCATGGAAGGCCCGGCTTAAATTACTGCTACGGTAGTGTGCATTGTGTGTTGTTGTTTATAGTTTCATTACACGGCGATGATACCAGCACACGAAACACAACATCCTGCATTTGCACTAGTTTGAGTTTCTCCGTGATGTACGTAGTGTTTATGTCCTAAAGCCCTTCTACGGGAGCTTGAAAAACTGTACGATAGGCCTTTCTCAAATACTCTTTTTGTCTACAACGCCTAGTAAAAGGCTGAACCATCATTGAGTCGTGGCACGAAAGGCTATCGGTTGAGGACCGTATGATAATGTGCTCTGCGAATTTTTGTTTTGTGTTGCCCATCTGCAAATGTTCACACGGAAAATTCTCATGTCTTTTATAATGTGCCGTTTGTATTTTATGATTCTATGTATATGACACATTATTAGCCACTAGCGACTACGTAGCATTTTGGGGAAAACGTAAAGAAATGTTTTTTCCCTTATATGTAACGTTGTAATACACTCGGAATTTCAGATTATAACCACAGAACGCAGCCCATTGCACTCGCACGACGTAGGTTGGCGGTGGTTCCTCGCTAGGCAGATTCGCGGCAGGGACGGTGGGTGTTTCAATTCGAGGGGACAGGTGGACGGAGAGGAGTCGACGGGACAAGCTCCGGCAACGCGGTCCGCGGGGAGTCCCGTCCCGTCGTCACGTCCCGACATCATCGGTCGCTGGCGCTTCCTTGGCGCATTTCGCGTTGTTCGCCCACCTCTCCTTGATCTCCTCCCCCCACCACCCCTTTTCCCCTCCTTCCCACCACGGCTTCCCTTTTCGCCCCCTACCAGCCCCATCGCCGCAAACAATGTCCTCCCCCACCCCACTATCCCAAATGAATCGCTCAAATATTTTTCCGTGGCGAAATCGCGCGCATCGGCGAAAATCGTGTTTGTCTAAAAAAAATCGACCCAAATTGCTCCCCGCTCGCCACGTGGGCGTTTTTCTCAATTGATTCGACCCCCTTTCCCCCCGCCCCCCCACCCCGTTTTACCCGCCCTTGCCCTCCGAAATTCGGGCACCCGCTAGAATCTCGTGAAATCACAAAACGTCACGAATACATGTTTTTTCGTAACGCTAAGATTTCAACATGCGAGCGACATCTGATTGGACAGAACACCTATGACTTCTAATGATAAATTTAGCAGTAATATGGATTTTTTTAACTATGTGCCACTGCAGTAACATATTTTTTTAATATTTGTAATCCGAGTAAATATTTTTATTATAAATAATATCAAGAATTACAATAAAACAAAATATCTACCTATTTCAAAAGAGATTTATTTTTATTTGCCGTGGAGCTATTATAATTATAAATTTATGAAATTCAACTCTTAGTTTTTTAAGTTTTCTGGAATAAGCTTCATGTAGATATATAGAAAACATAAAGAAACTGTAGGTTGATTTGTCATGTGTTTTTTTTTTTTTTTTGCACCCTTATCTACATTACTGGCATGGGCTAATCCAAAAAAGTACGATACAATCAACGTGCATATGAGCCTCCTGAGATTGAGAAGCAACCGCCAAAATTATCGATTGCGAAAGCTGATGTGGCATACCACAACTACATGGTGGATTTGGTATGATGTAAAAAGCATGTATTCGTGACTTTTTGTGATTTCACGAAATTCCAGCGGGTGCCCGAATTTCGGAGGGCAAGGGCGGGAAAAACGGGGTGGGGGGGCGGGGGGAATGGGGGTCGAATCGATTGAGAAAAACGCCCACGTGGCGAGCGGGGAGCAATTTGGGTCGATTCTTTTGAGACAAACACGATTTCCGCCGATGCGCGCGATTTCGTCTTTTTCCGTCCCTTCTTCCCCCTGGCGCTACACCCATCCAACGGCTGTTCTGATTCCGAACCGAACCATCACCGCGCGCCTCGACCGCACATACACAGTCCCCTGCTTCATGTGACCTAGTTGCACGAGGCGGGTGGGCGGGGGACGGTGGAGCTGGGGGGGTAGGGGAGGGGGGAAATTCGCGCATGCCTACGAGCGGAGGTTCCGAATTCACTCTCCAGCAGGTAAACTGGACTGGAAGCGAAGGGAGAAGCAATTGTTGCACGGACTTCACGACAACCCCACAAAAGAAGCCTCTTTCAACTATTTGATCATCATTTTTATTCCCTCAACTCAGTTCCCAAGTCGAGGCGCCTTAGTTCCAAGGCTCAGCACAACGCAACTACGATTTGTACAAGGTGGTCTGATACAGCACTAGGTTACACGACATAGCCACGGCAAGTTCAGCTCTTTCAACACCAAATCGCCCGCGGAAGCCATTCATCGTATCCCTAACAACCACCTCATATACGCTTTCTTCAGCTCCTCACCCGCGTTTCCAAGTGCCAAATCCCGAAGCAAGATAAACCATCGTGAACCATCAGCATTCTCTTCTTAACTCCGGGCTGAGGCCCTCAGAAAGCCTGTCATGGCGCCGCATTCATCCACAGGCATGACTATATCCATGCCTACAATCACTCGACCCATTCCCGTTCGCACCACCCTCTCCTCCGACGCGCAAAGCCCCTCCTCCTCCGAATCCCTCTCCCTCTCATCTTCCTCCTCCTCCATCCCCCACCTCTCCCCCCGCTCCCCGTCAGCATCGCTCGCCAAACTCCGCGCGCAAACCGACGACTCCTCCGCCTTCCGCTGCTGCTGCAGCGCCGCCTCCGCCAACACCGCGCCGTCCGCGCCAGAAACCCGCCCATCCGCGCAAAAGCTCCCCCTATCCGAAGGCCTCAATCTCCCTTTCCTCGGCCCGGTCCGATGGTCGGACCCGCCGCGATTCCTGCGGGAGTTCGTGCGCGACCCGCTCAACGTGATGACTCTCTGCACCGTGACCCTCGCGGGGTCCATGGTCGGAATCAACTGCGCGATAATCTCCCAGATTCCTCTCCTCCTCGGGATCCTCACGCAACCGCAAGCCGAGCTCTGGTTCGAGCTGTCCAATCAGGTTCTCTGCGCGATTGGCACGCTCGGGAGTCTTCTAGTCCACCCCTTGCGCTGCTACTACGTGCTTCAGGTCTTCCGCTGGAGCCCGCAAGACGCGGCGAGTCTCCGCGCAATGCTGTCGAAAGCCGGCCCGTTCGTGCGGAAGCCCAAGGAATGGCAGCACATCGCGTTCGTCATATTCCTACTGCAAGTGAACTGCGTGTTTCAATACGCGATCGCCTATTTCATGTGGACAACCGACATGGTTTCCCGCCCCATGGTGCTTCTCGGCTGCCTAGCGCTTTTCGCGCTAGGGTCCGTTATCTTTGCCGGGCTTTACTGCCTGTGGAGTCCGCTCGGATGGCCTACAGGAGCCAAGCCGCAACCTGCGGGACGGCGCGTCTCTGCGGCCGGGGAATGCGGCGAGTGGGACGAGGAGGCGGGTCGCGAGAGCGAGGGGCTGCTGTCGCGGCGGTGCGAGGTTTGCGGGGGTGGCAAGGAGAGCTCCGCGGGTTGCGGCGCGGTTGACGGGAAGAGTGGCAAGGGCGGCAAGGGCAAGGACGCGGACGACCTGAACGAATGGCGTCGCGCCACGTGGCAGCCGGTGGGAGGCGCCACGCGGCCGCAATGGCAGGGCGGGCTCCTGGACTGCTGGTCGGACGGGTGGACGGCTGTAGCCGCGACTCTCTGCTGCTTCTGCGTGCACGGGTGGAACGCGGAGCGCGCGGGGTTCGGAAACAAGATAGTCCACACCGCCATGTTTATCCTCTTCCTCGTCGGACCCATGGCTATGTTCGGGCCGGCTTCCGCGATCCTCCCCCCCGGTTACATGCAAAATTTCGTGTTCGCGCTCGGGGTGATTAGCACGGTTCTGGGCCTGACTTACGCGGGCTACTGGCGGTGGTACCTGCGGAGGAACTTCCACCTGCCCGCGAGCGACTGGTGCTGCGGGCACGAGGCCGCGACGGACTTCGCGTCGTGGTACCTGCTGCCTTGCTGCGCGCTGTGCCAAGAGGTGCGCACCGTGCGGCGGTATAACCTAAGACTGGAGATTCCCGAGGGCCCGGGTAAGGAGGGGAGCTGCGGGGAGGGGGGAGCTGTAATGGTTATGGGCGCGCCTGGGACGCTGTGCATGGAGGCGACTCCTATGACTGTAGCCATGGCGGAGTGACGTGGTGGTAGAGAGGAGTTCCGAGGCGTTTTGAATGGTGATTCTTATAGGGATGGCGGATGGAGGCGAGCAGGCGTGTAGGGCACTGGGGGACTCGTAGGGGGAAATTCTAGCCAGCTAGGCTGAACAGGAACAGCAGCAGCAACGCAGCAGCTGCATTATCGTCATCACCACCACCACCGCTACCGCCACCCACCCGCTTCTTCATCCCCCTCCAGCCCCCTCCCCCCCCCACACCCCCCACCACCACCAGCAGCATTAAGTTTGAGCTGCGCAGCAGCTGACACACACGGTGTCTGTCAGAGGTTGGGAGAATCCGACCTCCCTAATATGAGCGCAGGAGCGTTAATTTGAATTTGAACTGCGGCCGTTCCACAAGCCTTGGGTTGTAGGGTGCAGGGCCCAGGGTGCTGGCTTTCTCCTATCCACATCAGCGGCTGCTCTTGTATGTAGAGAAATCATAGCATAGCCGTAGTGTTATTTATGAGCTGCATTTCCTTCCCTCGTTTCCCTCTCCCCACCCCCACCCCACCTACTAGCCCTTAGAGGTATTTCCCATTAATATGTCCTTTTTGTGTTTCCGCTAATGTTAAGATTACCATTCATTTCAAGGTGACCCATGGAAGTTCTCACTATTGAAACCAGTATGCCAGTTAGAAACCATAGGGTAGTTGCAGATAACTGTGAATATTCATAGACAGTTTCAGAGCGCACGGCAATGTACTTAGCATTTGCAATTATTGATTATTGTTATCAGATACAACATAGGAGAAATCCTCACTAGGCATCAATTCCGGGACTCACGCATCCATATGCATGTACCCGCACACGCACCCTCACACACCAATCTCACAGGCCTCCATGCAAATAGAAGCGGGCGCCATAGTCAGCACAGTGATCTCCTTCCCCTGCCCCGCCGCCTGCGCCTCACCCGGGGTCTCATCGGGCAGGTGCGGGAGCATGTGGAGGTGGTAGTGCCGCACGGTGCGCACCTCTTGGCACAGCGAGCAGCACGGCAGCACGTACCACGACGCAAAGTCCGTCGCTGCCTTGTGCCCGCAGCACCACTCTTCCTCCGGCAACAGAAACGTCCGCCGCAACTTCCACCGCCAGTACCCGCCGTAAGTCACCCCGCCAATCGTTACAAGAATCCCCAACCCAAACACAATCCACTGCATGGGTACACTAGCGATGGGACGCGAGCCGAGAGTAAAGATCACGATAGGTCCAAAGACGAAAAATATGAACATTGCAGTGTGGACGATCCTGTTGCCGAACCCAGCTCGCTCCACGTGTCGTCCGTGCACGCAGAAGCAGCAGAGCGTGGTCCAAACTGCCGAGCCTACGCCGTCCGCGCAGCAGTCTAGCGCCGAGCCTTGCCATTGCGGCCGCGCCAGCTCCCCCATCGGCTGCCACGTGGGCGTTTTCCACTCGTGCGGTTTCTGCTTTCCCGCCGCGCTCGCGTCGTCCAGTCGCACGTACAGCCCTTGCTTCTGTGCGACCCGATCAACATCGTCGTCGCCGTCGTCCGCGGCGCTGTCGCACAGCACGCCGCCGCACTTCCCGCACAGACTCCCCCCCTCCTCCGCAGCGCCAGCAGGTGCACCACCGTCTTCCTCGGCGCTCGTCACGGGAACGACGCGACCGCCGGATTTCCCGCGATTCCGTGTCTTCTTCTCAGGCTTAGACGCGGTAGGCCAGCCGAGGGGGCTCCAGGAGCAGTAAATCCCAGCCGCGATAAGCGATCCGAGGGCGATAATCACGATAAACCCGAGGAGAACGAGAGGTCGATCGGGTTCCGAGACAAACCACATGAAAAGCGCGATGGCGTATTGGCCGAAGCAGTTGAGCTGCAGGAGTATTAGCACGACGCCCAGATGCCACCGCTCGTTGGGCTTCTCGACGAACGGTCCCGCCGCCGAGAGCACCGCGCGAAGGCTGGCGACGTCCTCGCGACTCCATCGCCAGAGTCGCACGAGGTAGTAGCATCGCAGCGGGTGCACGACGAGGCAGCCGAGCGTGCCGACGGCGTTGAGGATCTGGTTGCAAAACTCCTGCCACAGCTTCTCCTCCCACTCGCTCTCCAGTACGCCCATGGCCAGCGCGATGTGCGCCATGGCGGAGAAGTTAAGCGAGATAACGACCGCCATGGATGCGACCATGACTAGGGTGACGACGTTCAGAGGGTTCTTCACGGCCGCGAGGAGCCATCGGAGAGGGTCTAGCCACCGCACAGGACCGATCCAAGGTAGGTTGAGCCCTTGGGATAGGGTTAAGGGCGGCTTGCACGTGCACAGATTCCGGTCTTCCTGGTTCTTTCCGCCGTCGGCGGCGGGTTTTTTTCCCGGGAGGACGGGAGGGGGAGTTGGGCAGGGGGAGAAAGTGGGGAGTGAGGAGGAAGAGGAGAGGGAGATGGAGGAGACGGAGGTGCGTACGGGGGAGGGGGAGGAATCGGGAAGTCTGTATTGCATGGGTATTATTGGAGAAAGGTGGCTAACGGGAATGGCTGGTGAGGGTGGGGAATGAGGGTTCAAAGATAGTTGCGCTGTTTGCGCCGTGCCATGCGGGCCGTCCGCCACGGCCGCCATACTGCCCTCGGCGACTGTTATTCTGCTCGTTTTGCAGACTTCGAGCTAGAGTTAAGAGGCTTTGGAGGCTTATTTCACGGTAGTGACAGTCGAGGTTGTTGCTTGATGAAACCAGAAAACCGTTTGGGCGAGCACGACCATGGAAGGGAGCTGATGCTTTGAAGATACTACAGACGGAAACCAGGAAGGAATGGACAGCTGGCGAGAAGGCGGGGCATAAAAATTCACATTTCGATCTTGGCAACCCTAATGACTTGCGCCTATTGCCTTCCACGCGAGGCCAACTGTACGAGCTGCGATTGCGGAAGGCATCACGCTTCAACACCAACTGTCAATGATACACCCGAGTGGATTCGGGCGATGCGATGATGCTTGGAGGAGATCCATCAGATAGCACACATCTACTCTCGTGTGGTGGTGTTGTCATGCAGGGCTGCAGTTTGCAGGTTGGAAGAAGAGCACTGTCGTTGTTCGTCCCCCTCTTTGCAGCATTTCCAAATGTTACGTTGTTGTGGGAGCCGCTTCCCTGACTGGGAGCAGATGGGATGGGCCTTCCCTCGTCACTTGTGCGTCTCCCCAATTCCCGAATTTCCAAAATTTTGTTGCGCGAGTGAAATTCGCGCGAAAAGAATGGTGCGGCTCGACGAGAGCCAACCAAAACAGGAGTGATGATGGGTGGTTGTGGTGTTTCTGCCTGCAACGGTTTAGCGAGACCAGAAACAGAAACTCCTTACAAACTGACTCACAACTCGGTATGGGGAGTTTAGCAACCTGATGGGCTGCAATTTTGAGGCTATGACAGAGAAACATTTGTTGAAGATATAGCTTCCTGATAAAGTATCATGCCCTACCACAAAACGTCATTTCAGGCCTCTAAATAGAAATATTATATCAAGACATTCTTTCGCAAAGACGAATCGGTGCTGCATTCGAGCAAGATAACTTGTCCATTCAGATTCCCTTAGTCCATTCTTATACCACCACAATCCCGTCCTTGTCACGCAAGCTCCTAGTTTCCTCGTGCCCGCCTCCTCTTCCATATCCGCCTTCTGCATCATCCTTTTTTTTTTTCTCCCTGGTTCATTCTCGACCTCGCGCGGCGCTCTTTCCGCAGCCATGGGGAGAGATGCCGCGGGTTGCGGGACAGGCGCGGGGTCAGCCGCGGGAGTTCCGGCAGCGGAGGTGGAGCGACTAAGCGAGCGGCTGTCGCTGGTGGCGGACCTGCGACTGCCGCATGCGATGGAGAGTCGCGGCGACGCCGTGACCTCCGGAGAGAAGAAGGACCACCTTGCTTCCTTACTACAGCGCGACCCGGCCGTGTTCCTAGGTACCTCAGTCAGTCAGTCAGTCGCGCTCGTGGCTCTAGTCTTGTTTTTCTCTTTCTTTTTCGAGTATTCAACGCCCGTCAGTCCGTTACGTTTTGCTTTTTACTTTTCTCCCGGCGCCGGGCACCGTTTTTCCTCTAGCCTCCCCTGTTCCTTCCAGATTAGTCGCCTCCTGTCACTGCCAGCCCCGTTGCTTCTATCGTGTAATCATATGGGACGCTTCTTGAGGCGCTTTCAGAAGAATCGCGTGTTTCTGTTGTTGCTCCTTACATTGGGTGTGTGCGGTTGCCGACTTGGCACCAATTTTTCAACCGCCCTCGTCCCCCCTCGTTGGCTTGTGCGCGTGTGGGGTTGCCGGCGCGGTGTGCAGAGCGGTACGGAGGGTTGCTGCGGGAGGAGGAGCTGCGGGCGTTTGATGGCATGGCGGGGGACTATGAGATCGCATGGCACATGCGACGAGTGAGTGTGATGTCATTCAGTGAGTGTGACGTCATTCAGTGAGTGTGACGTCATTCAGTGAGTGTGACGTCATTCAGTGAGTGTGACGTCATTCAGTAGGCCTTTTGTGGTTGGCTTTGTCACTTCCCACTTCCCACTTCCCACATGCCACGCGTCCCATGCCACAGGGACTATATTGCATGGCCTTCAATCACGCTGCCTCTTTCGCCACCTCATCTCTGTCCCTGCATCATCAATACCTTCTCTTCTCTCCCCCCACTCCACCTTCTCCCCCCCGCTTACCCCTTCCTTTCTCCCCTCCCTCCCCTTTCCCCTCCCCGCCTCTCTCCCCCAAGCTGCGTCCCTCCAACCACCCGTCATCGCTGCACCCGTCGGCCGCTGCTGTAGTGAAGAACCGTCGCCTGGCGTTCATGACTCGCCTGGAACGGGTACAGTGCTGTCTGTCTGTCTGTCTGTGCATGATACGTGACATGACACTTGATGCATGCCATGCCATGCCATGCCATGCCATGCCATGCCACACCGGTTCTGGCAGTACTCCACACGTCACCATCACAGATCTGCACGCGCACCCGTCGGCCGCTGCTGTGGTGAATAACCATAATTTAAGTTGACTCGTAACACGGCTGTGGTGAAGAACCGTCGCCTGGTGTTCATGACTCGCCTGGAACGGATACACGGCTCTGCATGACACTTGATGCTCCTTGCATGATGCATGATGCATGACACACACAGCACCACACCACACCATCACAGCTCTGCACCTGCACATGATGCTTCCAGGACTGTGCCTCTCCCACCGTGCCTCTCCCACCGTGCCTCTCCCACCGTGCCTCTCCCACCGTGCCTCTCCCACCGTGCCTCTCCCACCGTGCCTCTCCCACCGTGCCTCTCCCACCGTGCCTCTCCCACCGTGCCTCTCCCACCGTGCCTCTCTCACCGTGCCTCTCCCACCGTGCCTCCCTCACCGTGCCTCTCCCACCGTGCCTCTCCCACCGTGCCTCTCTCACCGTGCCTCTCCCACCGTGCCTCCCTCACCGTGCCTCTCCACGCACCCACGAGCAGGAGGGCGTGTTTTTCAGCGAGGAGGCAATGAGGGAGAGAGATCCCCTACTGCACCAGGATTACCTGGGAGGATTCGACAGAGCACCCGGAGCAGTGGCGGCACCAGCAGGGAGAGGCGAGGAAGGAGGGGGGGATGGAGGCGGAGGGGTAGGGGGAGGAGGGGGGGAAGGAGGGGGAGGGGGAGTGGGTGCGGGAGTAGGAGCAGGAGTGGCAGCGGGAAGGGGGATGGGGGGCAGTGCAGAGGGTATGTTTGTGGCTCGGCCGGGGGAGAGATTGTGGGAGATGCTTCTGCGGCAGACTGATGAGGTGGCGATACAGCAAGCTCTGGTGCGAGAAAGGAGGGAGCGAGAGGGAGGAGCGAGAGGGCGAGGTGGGCGGGGAAGTATGATGGAGGAGGAAGAGGAAGAGGAGGAAGAAGAGGAGGAGGAAGAGGAGGAAGAGGAGGAAGAGGAGGAGGAGGAAGAGGAGGAGGAGGAATGGATATGAATGGCCGCAGGGATGAACACTGGGGGCAAATGCAGATGGAGTGTGAAGGGCAGGGGGAGGAAGGGAAGGGAGGGGAGAGAGGGGAGGTGGAGGGAGGAGGAGGAAGGAGCAGTGTGGCGGCACAAGGGAGAGTGCAGGATGAAGCAGGGAGGTTGGTTTCAGAGGAAGGTGGAGGAGCTGGTGTCGTGAGAGACATGGCAGCAGCAGGGGCTGTAACAGCAGGGGGTTCTACAGCAGGGGACTCTGCTAGAAGAGGCGTTGAAATCGCAGGAGATGGGAGGCGAGCAGCAGCTGGAGGAGGAGGTGGAGGAGGAGGTGGAGAAGCAGGAGCAGGGGTAAGCGCAGGAGAAGCGGGACGAAGTGGAGGAGGGCAGGAGAGTGCGGCACGAGGAGATGGAGCGGGAGTGGGAGGGGGAGCTGGGAGCAGCAGTGGTGGCAGACAAACAAACCAGGGTAGGGCACAGGAGGATAAGGGCCAGGAAGGACGACAGGGTGAGGGAGGGGGAGCAGGAGATGGGGAGGGTCTAATGGGCCAGGAGGATTTTAGGGAGGTTCGGGAGGGTGAGGAGGTTTGGGAGGGCGGGGAGGATCGGGAGGGGGCGCTAGAGGAGTTGAGATGGGCAATGAAGGAGCGGTTCTTGGCAGGCAGGGAGGTGGATGTGGATTATGGGCGGATAGATGGGGACGAGAGCTTGGATGATGACTGGATGACGGAGGTCAATAGAGACGCTGAGGAGAGGTACTTTGGGGCGGACTGACAGGCTGGTACGACGTCTCCCAACCAACCCAAGTTGTCGACGGGCAATGGGTGGGGAACAGAAGAGAGCTTGGATGATGACTGGATGACGGAGGTCAATAGGGATGCTGAGGAGAGGTACTTTGGAGCAGACTGACTTGTGTTGTGAGACGCTTCGAAAGTTGCCTTCAGGCGAATTGGTGGGGAGGGGATGAGAACTTGGATGATGGGTGGGGGAGGAGGATAGACACGTGGAGGAGGAGAGGTGTTTAGTGTGGTGTGGTGTGATGTGGACTGATGCTCGAGGAAGCGTAGAGATGGGAGAGGGGGGTGGGAATGGGGAGAAGGGGATGGTGGTGAGAAGGCTTTAGGAGATGTGAGGTGGGAAGTGGTGATGGTGTATTGTGTTGAGGTTAGTGGTGTGTGATTGTGGAAGTTGAGTTTAGAGTGGTTTAGAGGGGTGAGGTGAGGCTCAGTTGTGCAGTCCACAGGAGGGGAATGGTGGCTCAGTTCTGTTCGGCTCTTTCCAGTTCGCTCTGAGTTCAGTTCAGACTCTTCAGAGTTGAATCTTGTCCTTTTCCTGCAGCACCTCCACCCAGTTCAAATCAATACCGTACCTTGGAAGTTTATTCCCACCGTAGGGAGATTGCAGGGAAGCAACCAGCCTTAATAGCATAGCAATACAAGCATGCAAATATAGACTACATAGCTACTGGATAGACACCATTACACAGCCTACTTATGCCACTATTAACTGGTGCAAGCAAGCACCAACTTGCATGCATAGCAAGGAAAATACAGAACATACCTGCCATCCACCCGACTTCACTCTCTGAGCTACGCTCCCTTTTACTACAAGAAATCGTTGAAAGAAACACAAGCATAGAGCAGCAACACAGCAGAACAGGGACAACAGGGACGAGGCAAGTCACGACACCGCTTGAGTCTGAGCCTTTGAGTCTGTCTAGCCAAGTGCCTACCTCAGCTCAGCAGCATGCTCCATTCAACAGCGAGCAAGCAATGGGAGCAGAGAGAGGCCTCTCCCAAAGCGTCAGATCAGACCAGATCAGATCAGATCAGATCAGATCAGATCAGATCAGATCAGATCAGATCAGATCAGATCAGATCAGACCAGATAAGATCAGATCAGATCAGATCAGATCAGATCAGATCAGAACTGGCACGAGGTTCCAAAGTGCAGTCTGCGAGTGACACACTCACTGCACCGCTGCGCTATAAGCTCATCCAGTATCCCCACAAGCACCCGCATGAACTCCCCCCACGCCTCCTCACTCATCTCCCCCAGATCCACCCACTCCCCAGGCCCTTCCCCTCCTGGCCCCCTAGCTCCCCCTTCTGCTCCCCATGCTGCCGTTCCTGCTGCCGTTCCTGCTGCCGTTCCTGCTGCCGTTCCTGCTGCCGTTCCTGCTGCCCGCCCGCTTGCTGCCTCCATCCATGACCCATCCTTTCCTGGCTTCCCTCCCCCTCCTCTTACACACCATGGCATAGGCGGGCACGCCAACGAGTGGCTTAGTCCCACCTTCCTATGCTGCATCTCCTGCTGCTCCAGCTGATCCTGCTGGTGCTCCCACTGCTGGTTGTGCTGATGGTGGCGCTGCTGCTGCTGGTGCCTCCTCGCTCCCACCTTACCTGCTCGTTGCATCTGCACGCCTGGTCGCCGGTACAGAGCCCTAGAGGCCAGGCGGGGTGGGGGAACATAGGAGGAGGACGACGAAGGGGTGTGCGAGGGGGCAGTGTGAGAGGGCGAGGAAGTGGTGGGAGGGATAGCGACACTGCTGCTGCTGTTGGGATAGACGGAGGACGAGGAGGAGGAGGAGGAGGAGGAGGAGGAGGAGGAGGAGGAGGAGGAGGAGGAGGAGGAGGAGGAGGAGGAGGAGGATGAGGAGGAGGAGGAGGCGACTTGAAAGCTGAATTGGAATCAGCGGCCTCTAGGAGAGGCGTGGAGAGCACCGGGAAGTAGGGCGCTGCATTCATCCTCTGCCCATCCCGTCCATCCCGTCCATCCCGTCCCTCCCGTCCCTCCCCCACCTCGCCGCCTCCTGCTGCAGTCGAACCAGGAAAAGTAACACTGCCACTTTCTCCAAGCACCAGCCTCCCCTCACCATCACCACCACCACCAACGCCACCACCACAGCTGCTGCTGCTGCTGCTGCTGCTACTGCTGCTGCCGCTACTGATGTTCCATCCCCTGAGACTGTTATCGAAGCCCGTGTCGGAAACACCACAGCCCTGATAATCCGCCGTTGCAGGCAGCGCAGGGAAAGAAGCAGACAGGGACAGAACCAGCTCCTGCTGTCCCTGCCCCTGAGCCTGAGACTGCCCGAGGGACCCTTGGTCCACATCTCCTGCTGCTGCAGTGGCGTCGGTGTGAGCCATGAGCAGCAGAGAGTCACAGCTGCCGCCAGGCGCGGTCAGGGAGAGCGGTGAGAGGTACGGCGAGAGCTCGAGTGCCGGGAGAGACGCGAGGGCAGACGGGAACGCAGGGAGAGACGGCAGCGACGGCAGGGATGGGAGAGATGGCAGAGACGGTAGCAGGTTCTTGCTGGTGGATGAGACGCCATTGTGTACAGCTGATCGGATTGAGTCCTCAGAGCATACAGCAGGGACAGGAGGAGGGACCCCAGCGACGGTAGGAACAGCAGGGCTGGCAGCAGCGGCAGGGGAGGAAGTTTTAGTCAGACTGGCAGAGAGAGTGGGGCTGCTGGAGTCGTCGCCTGGAGCAAGGCGGAGGATGTCGAGCAGTGGTGCGCTTGAGCACGGTGGTGACATAGGGAGAGCAGGGGCGGGGGACTGGAGGGACGCGGAGCAAGGAAGGGACGAGGTGGGTGACGTGAGAGCAGCAGCAGTGGCGGCCGTGGCGGTGGCAGCAAGGGTGGTGGTGCCTGTGGTGGTGGTGCCTGTGGTGGTGGTGCCTGTGGTGGTGCCTGTGGTGGTGGTGCCTGTGGTGGTGCCTGTGGTGGTGGTGGTGGTGCCTGTGGTGGTGGTGGTGGTGCCTGTGGTGGTGGTGGTGGTGCCTGTGGTGGTGGCGGTGGCGGTGGCGGTGGCGGTGGCGGTGGCGGTGGCGGTGGCGGTGGCAGTGGCAGAGGCAGCAGCGGCAGTGGTTGTGGAGGAGTGGTGCAGGAAGTCAGGTTCATCGTCAAAGTGAAACTGCTCGCCATGAGGACTCCTCACATCCGCATCCGCACCGGTACCTGCAGCACCAACAGCAGTAGCAGCAGCAACACCAACACCACAGCCTTCCGCCGCATCCTCCTCCTCGTCCTCCTCATCTGCGGCGTCCGCCCATCGCCATCCTGCCTTGATGGGCGGAAACACCACCTGCTGCACGCTGCTGCTGCTGCTGCCACTGGTAGCGGCACATGTGCTGTCCTCCCCGGTACCAGCACCAGCAGCAACACCAGCGACACCAGTGGCAGAAGCAACAGCAGATTCTCCACTGTCCACAGCCCAACTAGGGCACTCCCATGCATCATTCTCTCCTTCCTCACTCCCCTCCTCACTCCCCTCCTCACTCCCCTCCTCCTCCCTGTCCGTTTCCTCAACAATCCCTCCCCCCACCCCATCCTCATCCTCACTCTCCACCCTCCACATCTCCTCCCCTTCCCTCTCCCACTCCCCTTCCCCTTCCCCTTCCGTTCCCCCCTCCTCTTCCCCATACCCCTCCCGCGCCACCACCTGCAGCGCCTCCCAGCACGCCACTTCTAAATCGCTCGGGCGCTCCTCCCGCCCCTGCACCTCGCGCGTCATCAGCGCGCCTATCCCCGCCAGAGTCATCCCCGCCGCCGCCGCGCGCTGCAGCAGCGTCGTGGTGACCGCGAGCACGCGCAGGCAGCCCGCGCGGATGGCGGGGAGGTGCGCGCGCAGCAGCTGCGCGTCCCGCGCGGCGTCCAGCGCGGCTATGTACTCGAGCTCGTCCGCGGAAAACGGCAGAGAGGCCTGCGGGGGACGGGACAAAGGGAGAGGCGGGAGGAGACTTATGAATCAGTCGAGCAAGGCGTCCCGCGCGGCTATGCACTCGAGCTCGTCCGCGGAGAAGGGCAGCGACGCCTGGGGGGACGGGAGAGAGAGCGCGCAAACGGGAAGGAGGAGAAGGGGGGGGGGAGGGCGAAGGGCGGGGGAGGATGCGAAGAAAATTGGGAGGAGAAGGGGAAAAAAGAAGGAAAGCAAGCACGAAGAGGCAAAGGTAAATCAAAAAAAGAATGGGAAAATGTGTCTCCATGGACCATTGCTCGAGATTAGAAACACCCTCTCCCCCTGTCGCCTAGCGCAATGGCGCACCCCTCCCCCCCCTTCAAAGCTTCCCCTTGACCATTTCCCCATACCTCATCCCCCACTCTTCCCCCCCCTCCATCCCCGCTTCCCCCGCGCCTTGCTGGCGCAGCAGCGCACCTGCGGCCAGTGCAGCCACTCAAAGTAAGCGGACTCCAGCGTCTCAGGCAAGCAGAACCCGTGGTCGATGGGGATCAGCCGCACGTCGTCCTCCGCGCGCAGGAGCGACCGCGCGTGCGCGGAACCACCCCTCCTTCCCGTCCCCCCGCGCCGCTCCTCCTCGCCCGCGGAGCCGCCGAGGCGCTTGACGAGGATGTTCCCCGAGTGGCGGTCCGTGTTGAGCAGGCGCACGTCGAGAATGCCCATGCGGTGCACGGCGGAAACGGGGAAGCGCGACGTGCCGTGCTCGCTCGCGTCGAAATCGTGCTCCTCGAACCGCTGCATCGAACACAGCCGCAACTGCGCGCCCGCTTCCGCTTCCGCCGCCTGCTCCCCCTCCCGCTGCGCCTGCGCCCGCTGTCCCCGCTGCCCCTGCTGCTCCCTCTCCTGCTGCTCCCGCGCCTGCTGCTGCTGGTGCTGCGGGGGCGGCGGCGGCGGAGAATTGACGTGGAACACGGGGTGCGCGGCCCACACGAGCGCGGTGCACGGCACGCCCGCGAACCCGCCATGGTCCAGAACATACGCCGCCACCTCCCGCCCCGCCGCCTCCCCCACGCGGATGCTCCGCTTCAGCCCCGGCTGCCCCAGCGCGCGCCCCACGTACCCGTTGGGGTTGTTGGGCGCAAGCGGTTCCTCGTCCGCGGGTTTCACAATCGCGAGGTTGGCGCAAGACTCGTCGCGGAAGATGTACGCTCCGCCCAGGCCCCCGTGCGCGGAGACCGGCTGCGCGCCCGCCGCCAGCCCCGCGCGCGCGGCGGAGAGGAGCGCCAGGACGGGCGGGGAGACTGGGGGAGAGACGGGGGGAGGCGCAGCCGCGCTGCTTCCGCTCGTCCCCCTCGCGGGGAACTCCAAAAGCGTATACGGCTCCGCTAGAGCCAGCGACACGGCAGGGACGCGCGGCGAAACGGCGGAAGCATGGAGCGCGGAGGAGGAATCAGTCAGGGAATGGCCTTCACCGAACTGCGGATTCGGGGACGAGTCGCAACGGTCGCGTTGATCGCGTTGGTCGCTCCGCCGTTGCGCAATCCCTCCGTCACCATGTAAGTGCCCTAGGATGGGTGCGCCTGCTGTGCTCCCCGCAGCAGAACTCGGCGAGATCGCCGGCCGCGCCTCGGGCAGGGGTTCGAGCAGCGCCATGTGCGACGGAGACGACGGGCAGGACGCGTGTCGAGGAAAGAAGGGAGCAGCGGTGGAGGCGGCGCTGGCGCCGGCGGCGGTGGCGGTGGCGGTGGTGACGGTGGCTGTGGCAGTGGCCGGGGAGGTGGAGAGGCAAGGTAATGGGGCACGGTCCCGGCAGTTCGAACCGTACATCTCGCCGGCACCGCTGTGCGCACCGCCGCGATCGACGCCGCAAATGGCTCCGCCAACGGCAGCGCTGCTATCGCTTCGAGTCGCAGTCACAGCCATCCTGCTGCCGCCGCGATCGACGCCGCTGAAGCTGGCGCTCATGCGCTCGCTCTCGCGACCCCATCGCAGCTCGCTGCCGCGAATGGCGGCGGGACTCGCGCATAAGAAATCTTCAGACTCCTCCGCTTCCTCCTCCGCCTCTTCCCCCTCCCCGTCAACTTCCTCCGCTTCATTTAACTCGTCCTCCTCCTCGTCCGCCCAGCGAAAGAAATCCCACCGCCCAGACTTGCGCGACAATTTGGAAGGCGCGGTAGCGGCGCTGGCGGTAGCAGCAGGCGCGAACTCCGCGGAAGGCGGAGCGGCGGTCCCGAGGGCATGGGACAGCGAAGAGCGACGCACCGAGGGTGCCGCTGCGGCTGGCGGCGGGAGGTCATGGGTGGATGACAGGGGGAAGCCGCTTGCGCGGGGAGGAGGTGGCGGAGAGGGAGAGGAGTGCGGGGAGTGGGCAGCTGCCAGCATAACGCCGCCGCCGAATGCGGGAGACGAATGGAACGGAGAGCGTCGCATGATCGATACTCAACTGAGATCTGCTTGGAAGATAACGTAGCACGCTCCAATAATCGTGTCCAAGTGCTTAGATGAGGCTCGCGGCTGGCTAACGCAGGAGAGCAATTGGCGGTTGGAGAACAAGACAGCTCGCGGTTCGAGTAAGCTGACGTACGTCGCCGAGGAACGTGGCGGTAGTAGCGGAAACACCGGAAACGGCCTAACATGCATCGAGCCGTAAAACGCGCCTCCGTATCGGAGCAGATGAAACGCGGACGAGGGATTTTTGAAGACAAGATATCGGAGATTAGAGAACTCCCCTCATAAATGTACAAGTCATCAGGCGCACTCATGTGAAGCCTGGAACGAAAAAGCCGATGTCACATCGCTGCCGCTCTCTCTCACGAGCTAACGCTAACGAGCCATTGAGCCTGCAACTTGTGTTGCCCCTACAAGCTCGCCATGTCGAGACGCGAGACGCATGCGTACGGGTTCGAGCGCGGTAACGTGTTTGGCGCACGACGAGTGATACGGTCACGTGACGGCCTGATATCGGGATTAATAAAGAAAGAGAAGAGGGAATTAGACCTAAAATTCAATCCTGAAGACATTGCCAAACCGATAGGGGAGCACACTGAGAACTAACATATCAATGATTCACATCACAGTGACGACAGATAATAAAGAGGGGAGGGGGAAGAGGGGGAGAGATTGAGGGAAAGCAGGAGGAAGAGAAGGAGCGGAATAAGTACCAGCAAGCCACCACGTGTCGGTTCACCCCCAGTTCAATCCATGCCTCCTAGACGGACATCTCACTCCCGTTACGAACACTCGAACGTAGCGAAAGGACCATTTCTGGCTGCCTAAGCCGGATGCCGAATTAATTGTAAATTACGATTTAGGCACCCAGAACATGCCGAGGCACGGAACATTGAACTGCAAGGTGCAACAGATTCAGCTACGACAAGCCTGGAAAAACCGCCATGAGGCCTGGCAAAAACACCGAGAGGCGGGAAAGCAGGGCCCGAAAACCTGTGTATGGCTGAGCTCTAGCCTCTCAGTGCACTTTCTTGGCAAAGTGATGGACGATTGTCGGAGCTCACTCACAAACACCAGGGTTACAAGCTTGCACGCAGCAGCGAGTCCCTGGAGTTGCGTCAGAGGAAGAGTTACGTACGGCAAGCCTAAAGCTTCTCTGCCTGATTGTTGCTGTAAGTGTTGGAAAGAGGCGGAATATGAAGAGGTCATGCGAGGGGAAGCGGCGAGTGGGAGGAATGAAGAAGTTTTATGTTTCCAACTAACCCTGCCCCACCGACACCTGGGGGGACCACGTTGATAATAGGTTTTGTAGTATTTGATGCTTCATCTCCAATTCTTTGGAAACATACAGTGGTCGGTCACCCCGCACCGGACAGTGTACAATGATCGGGAAAAAAAATGGGCTGGTTTACTTTTCATTTGCTCGCTTGTTTGTTGCAAACTGTTCTTCAAGCGTGTGTACTGTACGACTCAGCATCCGTCTCTGAGTGGTTTAGGGCATGTGGTTTCACCACATCATCAATGTCACATACCTTCTCGGTTAGCGGTCAATCCGCCCCACATCCGAAACCCCCCATGACCCGTCCCACCTTCTGTATGTGCGCAATAGCGGAAGTGGAGTGGAAGCAAACCCCCTCGCTAACGGAAGAATTTCTGACGTATCCGCGCCAGCTTTGATGAGCCCGAAGGTGACGGCTGATTGGAGCTTCGCCAGCAGAGGGTTGCCCAGAGGAGGAAGCGCAGGTTCATTCGGAATGCAGCGAGGTGGATACACATTGCACCATGCACGTGCAAAGACTCCGTTTTTAGGGACAACATCAGCTGCAATCCAATTAGGCCAGCGCGGTTCGCAAATGCGATCCCTAACAGTAGGTCGTAATCTGTCTGCGGTCAGAAAAAAAAAATAAACCCCATCTGGATGGCATGCGATTAGGGGAGCCCCAACCCTAAACACGGGGAGCCCCAACCCTAAACACGGGCAGCCGCATGGTTCTGCCCGAAAAAGATTACATTTGCAAACCCGCACTCCCTAAATGAGATCGCAATTCGAATTGTCCGCCGTTTTTACTGACGCTGCACGGCATGGATGACTTGGCTTCTCTCGCCGTCGAGTTCCGTTGTCGCGTCGGATTGGCCGAAATTCCACATTTGTTTCACTCGCATTGTAAACTCCGCCCTCGCTAGAAGACTAATTTGTCCATTTTGAGGTGACCCGAAGGTCTATGGATGATATGTAGATCAAGCGCAATCGAACAGAAAAGGTTGTACAAATACTCAATAGCATCTGCAATAACAATAATTAATAAACAACAAGCTGACTTCATCCATTTCTGATCCACAGCATGGAACCAACATGAAGATGTGGGCACAAGCCATTTATCCCTAACTAGGAAGATCCAGCTTAGGATACATGCATATTCAGTTCAGAAGCCCAGCTTGTTAACGTAAACTGAAGACATACGGTACTGTAAGAGAAATCCACAGGAAAGTTGCATATTGCACAACCAAAAATCAGTCTTGGTAGCGTTTTTAGGCAAAACTTTCCTTAGAAACTCCTCAAAAAGCATCCAACCCTCCAAGAAGCCTACCTCCAAACCAATCTCCCTCCCATCCCCACCCATGCACAAACACGAACCATAATTCCAGCTGCAGATTCTCCTCCAGACTAATTCTCTTGCAAAACTCATCCCTCGCCTCGTTTCTTCCCTTCACAATTCCACTTCTAGTCTTTCTTTCCCACAGGACTGCGCACAGGGCTGCGGTGCTTCCCAACAGGCGACTTGCTCCGGCTGTAGGTTCGGCGCCGCCGGGCCTCCGGACTCCTGCTCTTGCTGCGGCTGTGGCGCTTGCGGGCGGGCAGCGGGCTGCGGCTGCTGCGGAGGGTTCTGCTGGGCGGAGTGCGGGACCTGCTCCTGGTGCGGCGCCGGGGGGAGCGGGACCGGCTGCGGCTGCGGGAGGCTCGGCGGGCAGTCTCCCTGCTTTTTCTCCGCGGGCTCCTGCTGCGGCTCCTGCTCCTGCTGCGCCCGCGGCTGCGGCTGCGGCTGCGGGTTCTCCCGCTAGGGTAGCGATCAGAATCACGATCACGGTCACGGTCCCGATCCCTGTCCCTGTCGTCATACCGGCCGCTGCCTCCCCGGTCCCTGCCAGGGGGTGACCGGCCTCGGTACCCGTCCCTGTCCTGATCCCTGCCGCTGCTGCCATACCCTCCCACGCTCCTCCCCCCTCCACGGCCATAATCGTCGCTCCCTCCCCCCCTTCCTCCTCCTCCTCCTCCCCCTCCAACTCCTCCCCATCGGCCACCGTCGGCGCGGCCAGCACCAGCACTAGCAGCAATGGTGGCAGCAGCAGCAGCAGCAGATGCAATCGCAGCATTCGCAGCCTCATCCGACAAACCCCCTCCACCCCCATACCCCCCTCCTCCATACCCACCCCCACCACCACCGTACCCACCACCACCACCGCCATAACCACCACCGCCGCCATATCCGCCACCCCCCCTCCCTCCTCCTCCTCCACCGCCCCATCTGGACATCCCTCGCCCCGGCCCAGCACTAGCAGCCATCTGGTGCAACTCAGGAGGGACCACCTGCCCGGCTCCCTCCAGCACCTTGATCAACTCCCTCGCATACTTCCCGTCCTGCGGCCCGAAAAACGTGTACGCAGTCCCCGTCGCTCCGGCGCGCCCCGTCCGCCCAATCCGGTGAACATAATCCTCCACTCCCGTGGGAAAATCATAGTTGATCACACACCGGATGTCCTTCACGTCGAGCCCGCGCGCGGCAACGTCCGTAGCAACCAGCGTGGGCATGGCACCGGAGCGGAACTGGGCCAGAGTGTGGTCGCGCTCGGGCTGGGACTTGTCCCCATGGATTGCGGCGGCGCCGAAGGAGCGGTCGAGGGAGCGAGCCAGCTGGTCGCACATGCGCTTGGTGGAGCAGAAGACTATGGCCTTGGCGCCGCGCGGGAGCGAGCGCAGGATCTGCTCCAGCCGGCGCTGCTTCTCGTATGGCGCTGGCAGCTCGATGATCTGCAGGGGGGAGGTCGGGGGTGGATGGGTGGGGTGCGGGGTTGGGACACAGGGGCAGGAAAGTTGGCGAGGGATGCTGCGCAAGGGAATGTGGGAAGGAGAGGGGGCTTTGTTCGTTATGACTTCAGGTATCGGGTGTGGCGGAAGAGGTTTCGATAAAATTTAACAAACTTGAAAAAGTTTGGGAGGGGAAAGAAGAGAAAGTTGTTGAAGCCAAGGCCACCCTAGCCTCAACTGCAGATCATTCTTCCATTGCTGCTGCTACTACTACTACCATTGAAGAAAGAACCCTGAACCCTGATCCATTATGCAACAAACCAACCAGCATCGCCCCTTCTCATTGCAAAAAAAGGGCCAGCAGGGGACAAACATGGCAAACCATAACAAAAAGGGCCCTACTCCCATTCATCCCTTTCCCACCCCTTTGTCTTCCCAGCTTCTCTTCCCTGGAAAGGATTCAAGGAAACCGTACCTGCGTGATGGACTTGTTGGCAACGAGCTGGTCAGTGCTGCCGATGGTGACGTGCACGGGCGAGGAGAGCAGGTCCTCTGCAAACCGCCTTACATCCAAACCACACTTGACCCAGCACCACCTCTGCCTGCCTGTCCCCGTCTGTCTTGCACCCTTATCCCCCAAGCCCCTCTCCTCCCCGGCTTAACCCAATCCCCACCCCAGACCTACCCCCCCAAAACCCACCCCAGACCCACCCCAATCCCACCCAAACCCACTCCAATCCCCACCCTGGACCCAGCCCCAGCCTCTTCAAAACAACCTTCACACACCTGCGTGATGGACTTGTTAGCGACGAGCTGGTCGGTGCTGCCGATGGTGACGTGCACGGGCGAGGAGAGCAGGTCCTCTGCAATGCGCCGCACCTCGCGCGGCCACGTGGCCGTGTACATGAGTGTCTGGTGCCGCCCGGGCACGCGCGCCACTATCTTGCGGATCTGCGGCTCGAATCCCATGTCCAGCATGCGATCCGCCTCGTCCAACACCAGGTAGGACACCTGGGGGGGGACAGGACCAGTGCAGAAGGACAGGGGGCCGAGAGCGAGGTGACAAGGAGCGACAAGGAGTGAATGAGATGTGTTATCCCCTTAGATCTGCGGCTCAAAGCCCATGTCCAGCATGCGATCCGCCTCGTCCAACACCAGGTAGGACACCTGCGGGCGAGAGAAGAAAAGGGGGAAGGGGACTCAGGGGAAAGGGAACGGGGTGCAGGGAGGGTAGGGGCGGGGACGGAAAGAGAGCGGGAGAGGGAAAGGGGACAGTTCAGGGGGACGGGAAGAGGGAGAGAGAGGACGAGGGCGGCGATAAAATGAGTGTGTTCTTTCAATTGAACAGAGGTGAAGAGAGGTTGGGTTGGAAGACAGGCGCACTGGCAGTATCATAAGCTGTCTTCAGGCCTAATTTGCCCAGGGACACGTCAGCAACGACACGTGCATATGCCACAACGAACAGACGTACACACATGCACCCACCCACACACCTCCAACCCACGCCCACCCACACCCGCACCCCCCCACTCCACACCCGCACACGCACCTGGCGCAGGCTGATCTGGTTAGCCTCCAGGAAGTCATTAAGGCACCAACGTGGCGTCACAATGTCCGCCCCGTACTGCAGTGCAGCTCCCTCAACACCCACACGCATTCACCCATTCACACACCCATCCCCGCACCTCCACACCCCCCACTTCACACGCACGCACCTGGCGCAGGCTGATCTGGTTGGCCTCCAGGAAGTCGTTAAGGCGGCCTGGCGTTGCAATCACAATGTCCGCCCCGTACTGCAGCTCCCTCAGCTGGGGGTTCTTGGGCGCGCCGCCGTACACGCACTGGGGCGAGGGAGGGAGGGTAGGGGGAGGGCGGGAGGGGAGGGGGGGGGGAAGGAGAGGTGTGGGGAAGTATGAGGTTCAGACAATGTCCGCCCCGCACTGCAGCTCACTCAAGTGCGGTATCTAAGCCGGTTCAGAGCAGTTGAGTCAGCTGCAGTTCACCTGCAGTTGATAAGATACTCTCGCTCACCTTCTACCCTCCTCGCTCCCTTGGGGGGGGCACACTCTCCACTGTGTCGACAAGCTACAGCCTCTCTCTCACTCTCTCTTTGCAATCTCACAACTTACACTCTCGGAGTCGCTTTACATGAGTTCTTCAGCGTCGCCCTCATCACCCTCATCTCCCTGATAAACCCTCAAACCCGCGACCCCAAAACTCACCATCCTTCATTGCCCCTCCCCCCAACACCCATCCTAAACCCAACTCCCCTTCACTTTCCTCGCCCACACATTCTGCCAAACCAATCTGACCCCCCCCCCCCCCCCCCCCCCCCCCCAACCCTGCTCCCCTCACCTCCCCTCCTTGCAATTTCCCAGTCTTCACAACCACCTCCCACTCTATCCCGCCGTCTCCATCTCTCTCTCGCCCTCACCCGGTGCCTCCCGCAATCTAACCCACCCGTTTTTTTCCCATTTTCCTCCCCCTCCCTCCCGCTCACCGTGCTGGTGATGCGCGACGATCGCCCGAACTTAACCGCCTCCGTGTGGATCTGCGTCGCCAGCTCGCGCGTGGGCGCCAGCACCAGCATTGTCGACCCCCCTCGCTCTCCCCTCCTTCTCCAGACAACACTTCCCTCAACAACCATCGTCCCTACACCCCTTCTCGCCCACCCAACCCAACGGATCTTCCCTGGACGCGCATAACCTCCCCCGGCCCCAGTTACTCTCGTTTCGAGGTTTGCCAACGAGCTCTCTCGCTCTCTCCCTCTTCCCCTCCCATTCCCCCGTCCCCTCCCCCTCCCCCCCGCTCACCGTGCTGGTGATGCGCGACGATCGCCCGAACTTAACCGCCTCCGCGTGGATCTGCGTCGCCAGCTCGCGCGTGGGCGCCAGCACCAGCACCGTCGGGCCCTGGCGGCTGTTGTTGCGCCGCTGCTGCAGGTGCACGAACCCTGGCAGCAGGTACCCGATCGTCTTCCCCGAGCCTGTCTTAGCCACGGCAACCACGTCCGAGCCTGAGAGCGCTATGGGCCACGACTGCGCTTGGATCGGCGTGGGTGTGGGGAAACCCGCCGCCTTGAGCTGCGGGAATGGGGGAAGCGGAAGGAAGAGGGGTAAGGGTGAGAGGAAAGGGTAGGGGTGCGGGTTGGGAGAAGGGAGGGACGAGGGGGAGGAGAGGAGTTTGGGGGACGGGAAGGAGGGGGCGAGGGGGATGGGGAAGGGGGGGGAAGAGGGGGGAAGAGTGGGGGAGGGGAGGGGAACGGCGGATAGCGATGGGGAGGGAGAATCGAAGGGGAGGGGAGACGAGTGGGGAGGAGTGGGGAGGAGAGGGGTGAGTAAGGGAGGAATGGGGCGAGAAAAAAGAAGGGATTGAGAGGTTGAACGAACGAGGGAGAAGTATTAAGGCTGCGAGCATGCAAGATTGGCAGGGATCAAGGCCAGGAGCAAGGGTAACTCTTTCAATCAACTGAGCTTCATGAAAAAACAGCAAGGAGCAAGAAAACGGAATGAAACAAGGGAGGTGGATGGGAGAAGGGAAGGTGGAAGGGAACAAGGGATGTGGGACGGAGCAGGGGAGGTGGGAGGAGGGAGCAGGGGATGTGGATAAGGGAGAAAGCAGCAATACCTCGCGGTAGATGTCAGAGGGGAAATTTGCAGCCTCGAAGGTTAGGAACGGCGCTATGTTTGATCCCTGCAGAGCAGACACACACACACAAACAAACAAACGCGCGCGCGCGCGTGCGAGCGCACATTCACGCACGCAGGCACGTGGGCGCATACGCGCACACGGATGACCATGCTTGCGACGGCGGCGAAGCAGACACGCGGCATGCGCACACGAAACACGGCACACGCCGTACACAAGCCGCATACGGCAAACCGCAACCGCACACGCCGGGCACACGCCACACCACACACGTCGCACACACAAAGCAAATAAAAACAGCGTGAGGGATGTGTTGAGGGACATTACAAGCCGTTGTGACATAGACCAAGAGGGAACAGATGGAGGAACAGATGGATAGAAGCGGTGACGAGTGCATCAATCAACGAGTGACTTAGGCCAGGAAAACGAGAGGAGGAGGGAAGGACAACATGCAAGATCAATTCTCTTGAAACATGCGATGAGGGGAGGCGGGGAAACGCGGGACTATGAAAAGAAACGCGGAGGAGACAGGCGCGCGAGCGAACAGACAAGCAAGCACGCTAACAAAGCCGCGTGCAAAGGAAAGCGCGTTTTTCTTACCACGACGGTAATCTCGTGCTTTCGCTTGTACGCCGCCACGTCATCGGAGGACGCTGCCGCGCCGTTGGCGTGCTGCAATGGGCGAGGAACAGGCGAAAAAGGGGTTTCAATCATGCGCATCAAAGATAGGCAAGGCCCCGCTGGGGAAGGAGTGGGGAAGCAACAGTGTGGCGACGGAAAGGAGGTAAGGCGGGATGAGGAAGCGGATGATACCGTAAGGCGGGAGAAACGATGGGGAAATGCGAGATACGAAAGAGACCATGCAAAGGCATAGGAAGGAATGCGGGTGGGCAGAAAACGCTCCGAAGGGACGGAAGAAAAGCCGCGTGAACACGCGACTCTGGGCGAAACACGGAGCGAGGAGAACGAGGAATTAACACGGGAAGTTTAAACCGAGAAAAACTGCTGGTGCGTTGATAACTGAAACGCTCTGTTGTTTCCTGTCCTTCCAACACAGACACGCCAATACAACAAACGAACAAACCCGATCCCGAAAAGCACACAGAAACAGCAAAACAACGCACCTGAACGCCACCACCGCCAACCGCTGCCGCCGCCGCCGCCGCTGCTGCTGCCGCTGCCGCGGTCTTCTGCGCTCCCCCATCGCCTATCCCCCCGTGGACCCCATTCTGCTGCGCGCTCTTCGCACTCGCGCCGTTCACCGCCGCCGCTCCCCCTGCGGCTCCGCCGGCGGGAGCAGGCCCGCCCGGGCGCTCGTACTGCGTCTGGTTAGTGTCGGGGTTCCAATAGTAGAGATAGCCTGTAGAGCCATCGACCAGCCCCCGCCAAGGGGCGGGCAGCGTGGGATCCGGGGGCGCGTAGCGCGGGCTGGGGTCCGCTCCCATGGCGACGACCTGCAAGGGGGACGGGCGGGCGACAGCCGCGCGGAAACGCGAGGGGACAGGCGGGGAAACGCGAGGGGACAGGCGGGGGATAGGAGGGGGACAGACGGGAATGGTCCTGAGGGGCCTTAAAACGCAGGCCCGAAAGGCGTGGCGCGGCTGGGGTTCACTCACGAGGCGACGATCTGCAGAAATGACAGGTGGGAAATCAATTGGTTATGTTCCCGTTGTACGCACACCGCTTTAATGGAGGAGGGTCATGGAATGAGGCGAGACAAGGTGATGACCAAGAGGTTCCACAAGAGAGAGATGGACAATAAAGAGCGCCCGATCAAACATCTGCCGCACGATAAGAAGAATTGCGGACCGGAACTCGGTGCTTGACAGATAGTGGTATGGAAAGCGCTCGATGCGATTTACAAAGTAAACTGGTAGATGATGGATCGCGGAGGTTTAACAACCAGTTGCACCTCAGAAGCCGTCGACGAGAAATAACAAGTTTTGTTGTCCCTATAATTGGCTCTAAAGACATTAAAAACAGCGCACGCGAGGCGTGTCTGGTTGAACAGATATCAACAACACAGACGAACAAAAACAGTTATCATACTTCTAAAAGCAAGGCCCGGGGCGGAATCGAAGTAAGGGAAACAAACGGTGCCAATCAATCTCTTCTGCAAGATCACTCGATCTGAAGAGAATCCAGTAACAACTGATCAAAAGAACAAGCAAGGCCAGAGATCCTAACGGTTAAGGTGACCTTTTACAAGATTTCGCATTCCCAGGTGGCGAATGCCGAACTGATGTAAAGCATCTTCGTTATAAATCTAGTGTAAAGCAGGGAAAGACGCGGAAAATAAGCATTAATTCCTCAATTGCATACCTGACTGGACTAGAAAGGATACAAACGCCGCGATCCGTCACTCAATGCGATCAAGCCGAGTGAAGAGGTCCTAAGAAGGCGACGTTGTAGCCTCCCAAGAATTGCTTGATCCGCGAACACGTCGCGGTTTGGTAACCTACTTTATCCTATCGTGTCGTGCTAACCGTGCTGCACGAACAGCGACGGACGAAATAAGACCAGCAGATCTAGGAAAACCCAGACCATGCACACTGCAGAGCTAAAAACCTCCTGGATGGAATGACTGGATGAACGCTGAGAAGCGAGTGTCCCCAACAGCAAGAGCCGTGCCACCCGCGTTGGAGAGCATCGAGGTGTAGCAGGGAAGGAGCAACGAGGCGAGGAAAGAGGAAGGTGGAAGAAAGAGGGCGGGCGGGTAGTCTTGGGGCTGGTTGGAAACTTGGCTTGGGATGTGTGGCTCTAGAGTTTGCTGGGCAGGAGCTAGAGCGTCAGGAAAGAAAAAATAAAGTGATGGGGGAAGGAAGGGGGTGATCGAGGTGTTTGTTTGGTGCTTATTTCTTCCCACGGGCCCGGGAAGCGGACTTGTTTTTCGGCCCGCAAAAAGCAGAACATTGGAGGTATGGCTCCGACACGTGGATCGAGCGGCCAGGAGAATGCCGAAGAACCATAGCTTTCCCCCGTGCTGAGGGTTTGACTACACCATACACCCAGGGAATCATGAAACAGGAAATTTTACTGGAATTATCCCACTTCATTACACTGTAATTGCGTGTTCTCTATGTGGTCCATTTACAATGATTTCTTGAGTGACTGGGCTTTTGTTCTTCTAACGAACTTCAAGAAGAAACAAGCTGTAACTTGTTACAGTGTATCCTCGCCCGCCATCGCACGGTGTAGATCGGCGCTGAAGTTTCTGGAAAGTTCCCCCTCGGCATTGTCGTGAATCTGTGCTTCGACTCTTCCACGTGGCAAATTCTCGACCCTCTACCTTCACACATTCTCACGAGAACATTCTTTATCGCACAGAGCGGAATTGTCTCGGCTTTTTCGCAGGAGCGACGACTGCCCCGCAATGTCAGGCTTTTCCTCTCAAGAATCTCGACTTCTGTGATCGGGCAAGGAGAGATCCGTCGCCTTGGTGGATGTTCGCTCCAGAAGGATCTCTCGTCTTCCCACATATGGCAGGCTTCTCGAAGGGCCTAAAACCCAAATAAAAGGTTTCGTCATCCACAAGTCCCATCCAAAACTTTTCCTGCCTAAAACCCCGAATATTTTACAGGGCACCAGCAGCAGAAACTCATCCCTATCGACAACAAGTAAAATTAAAATTGCCCCAAATCTCATCCAGACCTAGAACTCGGGCAGTTTACCCTCACGTTGCGGTTCGGAAGGGGCATCACTCGGGCTGGTCCGCTGATTGGCTTCTAGAGACAGCTTCGGTTGGTCGCCAGGGACTTCGCGCTGCTTCCACCCTGCGATCGCACAGGCCTCAGGAAGTTAGACGCTAACGTAAAGGAATTTTTTTTTGGCATTCCTTCCGTCTGCAGTCTGTCAATCTCCTTCAGACAACCACGCGTCGACACCACTTCCAACTCCCCTTTCCAGATCTAACTCTCGCGGATCTAGAGTCAGCCCAGTCGCGGGCTCCTCTGCTGCTGCTAGGTCGCGTCTCTAGCTTGCGTTGGTCACTTTTTTCCGGGGGACGCCGAGGATCTGTGTTTTTCCGTTGTTTAGTTCGTTTCGTCTCGCGGCTGCAGTTTGTGCTCTTAATTGTGTTGATTAGAAAGAGGCGGCAAGATGTTTGGTCGACAACCGTCGAAGAAGAGCAACAATACGCGGTACTACGAGGTTCTCGGCGTACCTCAAGGCGCTTCCGCCGATGAGCTGAAGAAGGCGTACCGCAAAGCTGCGATTAAGAATCACCCCGACAAAGGCGGCGATCCAGAGAAGGTAAGTACGTCTATTAATTCATTTCACGCGCTCACTCCCGCCTTCAGGGTTTCTCACCTTGCCTCGTTTTCTTCTCCGTCTCCTCCGCCTCTTTCTCGTTCCGCTCTTTCGTCTCTTCCCTGCCTCTCCTACTCCTTCCCCCTCCTACTCTTCGCCTGTCATCCCATCTTATCTCTTTTCCTCCCTCCATGTTTCACAATCATTTGTTGCTGAGAAACGTCTCCATTCCTCTATGTGAATCCACTAACCCTGCGTCAGTCCGCTGTGTTGACTTACACACTCTGAGTACCGTAGATCCAAACAATACTCGATCTCGACATCACCCGTCCTTTTACCGCATCCGCCTTTCTCCTCTATGACTCGGGTCCCGGGTCCTTCCAGTGATGATAATTCGTGGTGTGGATTTGTCGAATCACATCTTCCGCTCGTGCGTGTTTTAAACTCTGCTCATCCTCTACTCTTTCACCGGTTTCAGTTCAAGGAGCTGGCTCAAGCGTACGAGGTTTTGAGTGACCCCGAAAAGCGCGAGATCTACGACCAGTATGGCGAGGACGCTCTTAAGGAGGGAGCCGGAGGGCCAATGCACGATCCGTTTGATATCTTCTCGTCCTTCTTCGGCTCCGGCGGTCATCCCTTCGGCGGCGGCAGTTTCGGTGCGTAGTTTTCTTGCAGCGCCTCACGCCTCCCTCACCAATCCCTCTGTTTTTACTTGCAAACGCGGAGGTGGTTCTCCCTAAACATTTTCTCCACTGCTGTGCTAGAAATTCGAGCTCGCGTTTATCCATGCGGCTTTCGCTGACGTTGCTGTTCGCTCTCTCGTCGTATCGATTCGTAACGGCAGGCTCCGGGCGGGGAAGCCGGAGGCAGCGTAGGGGAGAGGACGTGGTGCATCCGCTCAAGGTCACTCTGGAGGACGTGTATAACGGCACCACCAAGAAGCTCTCTCTCTCCCGCAACGTGCTCTGCCCCAAGTGCAAAGGGTGAGTCCGCGTCGTTTGCTCCAAAGTCTTGGTGAGACACGATCTTACGCACTGGCTGTTACGTGTTTATGAGATGTTGAAAATCAACGTTGGCTGAATAAACGGTAATCAGATTCGCGTTTATGATCAATTGCGCTTTGTTAACAGTTGCCTGTGGAATCGAAGCGCTTTGTGGAGATTGAAAAACCCTGCTGCCCTTGTTTCAAAAACGCGTGCCCTTGTCAGCCTCGTCTCTATCTTGGTGTTCCTTTCCCCACCTCTCCGCTCCTTCCCCGTGTCTGCAGCAAGGGTTCCAAGTCCGGCGCGTCGAGCCAGTGCGCCAGCTGCCAGGGGTCGGGCATGAAGATTTCCATCCGGCAGCTTGGTCCCAGCATGATCCAACAAATGCAGCACGTGTGCCCTGAGTGCCGAGGTTCAGGTATGCTCCTGCTCCATGGCTGGCCTGATTTAGTCAGAGCTAATCGAGATTCTAGTTGTGGAGTTTGTACTTGCCTTGTTCTGACAGTCCTTGGGTCGGGCACTCCTTATTGGGTCGGTGGATATTGCTACTCCGCATAATGGTGGGGTATTCTTGCCAGGATGCAAAGATTCACTGACAGTTTCGTGTTGCCCGTTTGAACCGCATGTGGAATTTGTTTGAAATTGCTTGCTGGTTTGTGAACCCCCAGGTGAGGTTATCTCTGAAAAGGACAAGTGCGGACAGTGCAAGGGTCAGAAGGTTGCTCAGGAGAAGAAGCTCCTCGACGTGCATGTGGAGAAGGGCATGCAGCACAACCAGAAGATCACTTTCGCCGGAGAGGCTGATGAAGCGGTGAGCTTTTATAGAACATGAAAATAGCTTCTTTTTACGGCTTTCTGCATGTTGGCCTAGTCTTCTTCTGCATAGTATGTTTTGCTTGCACTTTACTAATTTCTTTTCGAGTTTCATCTCTCTCTCTCTCTCCTGTGCAGCCGGACACGGTTACCGGAGACATTGTGTTTGTGCTGCAGCAGAAGGAGCATCCAGTCTTCAAGCGCAAGGGGGATGACTTGTTCATTGAACACACCCTTACCCTCACCGAGGCTCTTTGTGGTTTCCAGTTCCCCCTCACACACCTTGATGGTCGCCAGCTGCTCATTAAATCAGCACCTGGCGAAACTATCAAGCCAAGTACGTTGCATTGTTTCCCTGCTTTCGTTTGTTGCGATGTGTTTCACTACTTTGCTATGAACCTGTTTAAATTGTTCCTGCTGGATTGTTTCTATCAGGTGCACCTGACAGGTGGAGGCATGTGTTTTTTTTGTGTGTATTTATTCTCTTTTATTTTTTTCCACACAACCCATCGGATCATCTGCAGAGGAGTTCAAGGCCATCAACGATGAGGGCATGCCTATCCACACACGCCCATTCATGAAGGGTCGTCTTTACATCCAGTTTAATGTAGAGTTCCCTGATTCGCTCACGCCCGAGCAATGCGCTCAGCTGGAGACAATCTTGCCTCCTCGACCTGCACCTGCAATGTCGGCCATGGAGCTGGACAATTGCGAGGAGACAACAATGCATGATGTGAACATGGAGGAGGAGATGCGGAGGAAGGCTCAGGCTGCTCAGGAGGCATATGAAGACGAGGAGGATGCAGGGCCCAGAGTGCAGTGTGCTCAGCAGTAACGGGGGCTTGGGGGTCATATGTTCCATCATCTGGAAGCAATTGAATATCTTCAGAGGGATGCTGCTGGAGTGCAGTTAGGGAACCACATGCAAAGCTCAGTATGTGGCCTTGAGTAAGCTTTCCAGTTTTTTTTCTTGCCTGACCAGCTACCACCCGTTGTGGCTGTGTTTGAATATGGAAGCCGCTAAGTCAGTGCCTCCTGGCCTGCCTCCAGCAATTGTGATACCGATTCTCCATTTCTTCTTGCTGTCGCTTGTGTAAGCATTTAGTGCCCCAACTGTATCTGTTCAACTACAATGATCTACTGAAGTGTAAAATGACTGACAGTAAATCGACAAGGCCCCCTAATTACCACAAGCCCAGAAAACGTTGTGTAACTCTATTTATCACGCAGTGGCTCCGTCAGGCGTATGTGATGTAAACTTTGCCTGGCTAGGGGTGAGTCCATCTGTTCCATGGCATTACCGAGACCTTCAAGATGCTTCAATGATTCACTAGTTGTGCCGCACACCTGTATGAGCATGTGCAGTTCAGCACAAATACCGGCACAGAGCTATAACTACTCTTAGAAAATGCAAATACTCGCCTGTGTCAAGATTGAAGGCATCCGACGGGCCTCGGCCAGAAGAAGTTCCATGTCGTCAAGGAGACCTCGTTCAAGTGTAAGAAAGGCCTGCCAGGTCCCCACGCACTTCAGCTATGTCAAGAAGACTAAGAGCGCATATTGCTGCACGCGGTAAAGACATGTCGTACCACTCTGCTGGCGCGCATCTTCATTTCAGCTTGTTGCAGTTTCTGCAAGGCAACCATGGTTATCGCCAAAACAACCTTTATATAGACCCCACAAACATGAGCGACTTACCGCTTCCAGCCTAAGGAGCCTTCCTTGTGACGCTTTGCTGCCCTTATAGAAGCATTTTTTTTGGACAAGGATGTTGTGACGATAACGGTTTAGGTCGTGAGTATACGCATGAGCTTCCAGGAGTTTGAGCTTTCCCTGCAAAAAAAGTGTTCGTGTGCACCATAAGAACCAGGTTGTTGCTTCACATGACGCGTGTCTTTGAAGGCCTTACCGGAAGTGCTCCAAAAGATTCTTTCCAAGTCCGCACTGGTACGAGAGCTGCATGAAACAAATCGGAACCCTGGAACAGAGAAGTTGAGCTTGGACATAAGTTGGGGAATAAGTTTTCTCCGCCAGCAGTTCTCTTACCAGCTGCAGTCTCAAAGGTTCTATGGCGGATGACAGCGACGGGTCAGTGAAAAAACGCTTCGACGAGCCCTTCATGTCCATATCAGATTCACTAGGCGCAGACGCCTCATGCAGTGAGGACATAGACTGTCCGTGATTGTCATTTTCTGTAACCTTCGTAACAACAACAGTCCCTGGCTTCTCGGGCAGCTCAACAGCGGTTCCTGAGAGGGTTGCTTCAAACACACCTGAAACATGACCGCGATTAAATCTTTCATCTCGAAACCAATATTTTGTGGCGGACAGCTTTACCTTACCGTCTAATGACTTTGAGAGCCCTGCAATGGCTTCCTCCAGCGAGCACACTGTCGGGAAAAAGCCGGCCAGACTCGAATAGACAGACGACACACTTTCCAGGTTTGTCTTGTGAAAACACTTGGCTCTCGCGGGAAAGATTGAATCCATTACCTGCGAATTTGCAACGATAAGGCAAAATAAAAAATAAAAAAATCTAGGGCGTCGTTCTTGACAATGCTGCCATACCATTTCCCTCAGTGTCCTCCCGCCAGCCGAGATTACGGTCGGCATCGTTCTGCAGCAAGCAAGCTTGAATGGAGAAATGATCACTACAGCTTGAAGGTCATGCTTCAAAATCCGTCACCTTGAAGTGGAAACACCCAGGAGCAGAAGCAATCCCTTGGCCTGGTTTCCGTGGCGCAAAACAAAACTTCATTCTTTGGATAACAATGGCTGGGTGTAGCAGCAGGTTTGAAAGCGTATCTGATTCAAATGCAAAACTTTAGTGGCACTACGGGAAACTGCAACATTCTATAGAGGGTATATGACGACACCGCACACACCAACAGGTGCCCGAATCCTTGCACACCCGCATGAACAGATTTTCCTCCAGCAAATTGGGTTCTGTTCTAGGATGGAGTTCTTTAGAGGCATCAGCGATGCGACTAGAGGTATCAAATTGCCGGAATCTCCGAGGCCCTTCGCTGGATCCACGCTCGTCTTGGTATGTCTCAGCTGGTAATTTATATGTGTTTGTCTGTAAATTGGAAACGGACTGATTGGCCCGCGTCGTGATGCATAGCCTGAAACGGCTGATAGCTCGATTACCCGGAGATTCCCCATCGATCCCATGCGTTCAACATCGGAAAGCTTCGCTTTCAATGGTGCTTTGTTTATCATGCGGAGCTTGGCTCTACTCGTCAACCTCACCTAGTTTCTGTCCTTCGAATTGTGGTTCTTCCGCCATAATCGAGACTTGCACGGTGTTAATCAGCAATCGTGTCTGTTGGTGTCGGCTAATCGCCCTTCCTTCTGGGTCGGGAGCAACCTCCGATTATGTTGAGCTACCATCCACAGTACCATCTAGTAGACCTGATCACTTTCGCATGCTGTCCCTATCTCTCCGGTGTTGTCCTGGTCTTCACTTGCGTTCCCTTCCTTCCCTATCCCGTTTTCCAGCCTTCAGTGTCCGTGGGAAACGTAGGTCAGCTCACAGTGGACCTGCTTCTTGAAACGCTGCTACAGAAGCAGCAACAGCAGGAGCAGCAGGAGCAGCAGCAGCAGCAGCCAGGGAGGGTACAGTATCGCGCGTGTGGGCTGGTTGGAGGAGCCCAATGTGTTGCCATGTGCAGGCAACGACCCCTACAGCGTTGGAGGCAGAGGAGCCGGAGGGATGGGACTGAGTGCACCAGGCAGCTTGACAACTGCCATGGAAGGTTCGTGTGCGAAGGCACCGTGCACTCACGTTGTGCTTTGATGTCAGGCTACTGTATTCTCCTTCCTAATTTCATGTTATCCCGTGCATTACACTGTGTCAGTCTATCATGCAGTGCCCAAGTCGCTGGCGACCTCTTCTCCTTCCACTGATGCCTTCACCATTATACAGCAACGATCGCCAGTGGCACTGGTAAGCACGTACCTCACATATAAAATGGCCTTCTTTCTGATCTCGTTCGATACACACCCTTTCGCACTTCTGTCGTCCTCCTGTATCACCTCCCATGTAGTCTTCTATTCCTTCATTCACTATTTTCCTTCTGTAGTTTCCACATGCATCAGTGTTTCTCACATCTATGTGTCTCCACCAACTCATCAGGGCAGGATGGAGGAATTCTCTCGCAACCTAGCTACCTGGGCAGCCTCGCAGAGATTCTCTCGAGTGGTGGTTCTTTCTGGCGCCGATGCGCAGCGAAGGCTACCTCCTCAAATTGATGGGTCGGTCCCTTCCAAGGCCTATCCCATCTCTCTCCTCTCACCACTTCTCATCACTGGCAATTCCCTATCCTCATATTTAGGAGCTAGCTCTCAGCTATACTCAAGCAATTAATGTGTTTTGTTGTTCAAGTTGAGTTGTTCCCATTTCACACATTGGGGCAAGGGGTTCAACCTCCCGTGGCATCTTCCCCGTCTGCACCCTTTCTTTCTCTACAGGGACCAGTTTCGTTTTTTGCTGGTCGACTCGTCTCAGCCCCTGCCTGCCTCTTCTCCGTCATCTTCCTCGCCTGACCCATCTCAATCTACATCGTTCAACACGACTCTCCTTCACTCTCTTGGCTGGAAGCCTCTAGAGAGCTGCGATCCTTTTGGTGGCCTTCCCTCTTCTTCCTCCTCCCTTCGTGCGAGTGCTGATGGCCCCGGTACAAGCACAGGGGGGGAAGGGAATGAAGGTCACATGGAGCAGGAAGAGGCTGTTATGGCAGGGGAAGAGGGTGAAGAGGATCCGGGGCCATTGAGGGGTGGTGAGTGGGGACCTGAGCAAGGATTAAAGTGGAAAGCTGCCTTTCTCCGCATCTGTATTGCACTAAGGGTAAGACGAGTAAAGGTTGTGTGATATTTGTTTCCTTTTACCTTGCCCTATGTTGAATGAATTGCTGTGGTATGTGCATCCTTTACATCACTACACTTCCATGTCTTTGCCTCTTTTCACTGAATTGATAGAAGTTGGCAATTCCTGTTTGAATTGCTATGACTCTTATTTTCCCTTTTCCACAATTCCCACAGGAGGTGAACATTCCCTCTATTGCACTCTTGGTTTTTTGCTCCGAGGGAGACAATGTGCCGGATGCTTTTCACCTAGCAGAACGCCTCACTGCTCTTCTGCCGTCATCCCTACTTCCATCTTCTGCTCCACCAGTCACTGAGCTTTCTGAAGGCATGGATGGTAGGTGTCTGATGTTGGGCTGTTTATGTACTGTTGGAGTCTTCATCCCCATGTAAATAAGTATGCCCACTGTAGCTCTCTCGCACTAAATAAGCAAGTTTGGTGTCAGTCAGATGTGTTGTGCATGCGTCAAACCCAAATACAGTAGTGACGTGCGGCTGTGGGACTCTGACTTTCACAGCTTGCCCACTGTGTCATTCATCCTAGTGTGACTACTAACCCTTTTCCTGGATCTTCTTTTTACTGGTGCAGGTATGCATTTTGACACGCCAAGTGTTCCCTTTGTCCACTGGCGTGTCCCCCCTTCTTGGGGCCACCTGTTCGGACCACCTCCTGACGATGCACTTTACTGCTAGCTGCAGAATAAGGCTTGTTTTAAAAAAGTCACCTACCATGATATATTCACGGTTGGTGCATATCTTAGTGGAGCATTTGTCAGAGCATCTTATGAATGACTAGGTACATGTAGCCTTAGCAGCTCCAGGTTGCAGTGACCAAGTTTTAGCTGGCACTAGGTACTGAAAGATATGGCCATAAAAACGGCGCATTATGCGAGATCATTCAAACAAGGCACTTGTAAGCAGTCTCGTGAAGCGTGCATGCCACCTCACTTCGAGTCAACCATTAATGAGGATGGATCCACATCATCACCTTGGTCAGCAATAATCGGAACAAAATGCGGTGCCAGGTCAGCTTCGCTCGAAGTCTGCTGTTTTGACGGCTACGATCTTTATCCAAACCAATTACGAAACTCAACGTCAGAGACGCGGATTGGTGTAATTCCGTTACCTCCGCCCCTGACGAAGCTGCTCGTCAATGACTGGCCAGTTTATACACACCTGACCGTGTCAACAAACCAGAAGAATCCGCTCTTCGTGCCATCGCCACGCAATCTCCCTCCTACACCCGAACCAAAATCACATCACATGCCACGGCAGCAGATGCTTTACTCTGCTGCACTTGCATGCAAACCGCCGAGTCGCTCGCATCCCATTCAAATCAGAGGGCTTGTCACACCATCATTCGGTTCGGTTGGGTTGTTTTCGGGATGGTTGAAGGCGCTTCCGCTCCCCGCCCATCCCTCACACAGCCAAGGGAGATTCAGCTATCATATGTGAAAATCCAGACCAGTTCGCATTACGCGCACCCACACTTCGCCGTTACCCCTTTCTCGTTTCGCCACCTGATATAGTCTACTCGCCGGAATCTCCGGTTCTTCGCATCTTTACTCACAATGGCACCTGTCGCTGCTCGCGCCGCTGCCAGCCCAGCTCTTGCAGCAACCCCTGTTTCCCGCAACCGCCAAAGCCGGCCTTCTCCGCGCTGCTCTCTTAGGTGTCCCGGCGCCGGGAGCGGCGTTGAGCATTCCCTCAGCGCGAATCTACCGGCACCGCTGCGCCAGCGATCGTTGGCGCATACAAGCGCTGCAACGTCGAGGGGATCGATGACAGTGGTGGCAATGGCGGAATCAGCAAAAAAAGTGCCGATACTGGTGAGTGACGTTCTGACGAGGTCTGAAAAAAACATTACTGAAAACAGCATGAAGAGTCCATTCACCCTCGGAAGCTAATGCTTCAGTTAGGCACTGCTGCTACCGCTGCCGGTTTTGCTTGTGCTCAAGTTCTGTGGCACAAACACGAACCTTTCCTCTTCATCTGGAAGCGTTCTAAAGTTTTTTTTTTCGCATGCCCTGGGTTTTTTCGCCAGTTCTTTTCCCACTCAACATCCCTCTCTGTTCCTCCCCCTCCTCTTCCCCCTCCCCCCTTCCCCCTCCCGCGCGGCGCAGATCAACGGCGCGCCGGGCAAGATGGGGCGCGCAGTGGCGCAGTCCGCCATTGCGGCGGGCGTGCCGATCGTGCCGCTGGGGCTGACCGGCCCGGGGCTCCCCAAGGAGCGGCTGACGTACAATGACGACGCGTCCGTGTACGTTGACGTGTTTCCCGCCGACGAGCGCGACGCGGTGCTGGCGGAGGCGCGCAAGGATTACCCGGATCTGATTGTCGTGGATTACACGCTGCCGGCCGCCGTTAACAGTGAGCGGCGCGGGGTGGGAGCGGGGGGCGTGGGATGGGTGCTGTGCGGTGAAAATGGGAGGGGTGGGGGAAGGGGAGAATGGGGATGTAAAAATGCGAAAATGCGGAACGGGTCTAGTGGGAGAAAAGAGAAGGGAAAAGCAAGTATAGGACTAGGCAAAGTGAACGGGATCGTCACAGGTATGCTGGTAGTCAACGAAAGCTTGGTACAGCACTCAACCATCTGATCTTATCCCGTCCATCCCTCCTTTTCGCCGTATCTTCCTGGTGGCTTCTCTTCCTCACTTCCCTCTCATTTCCCCTCTCCCCTCTCTCCCCCTCTTCCGTCTGCACCCTCTCTTCCGCCCCCTCCCCCCTCTTCCTTTCCCCCCTCTTTCACCCCGCGTCTCTCCCGTGCGCCAGGCAACGCGGAGTGGTACATCGCGAACCGCGTGCCGTTCGTGATGGGCACGACTGGCGGCGACCGCGCGAAGTTGGCGGCGGACGTGGAGGCGAGCAAGCTGTTCGCGGTGATCGCGCCGCAGATGGGCAAGCAGGTCGTCGCGTTCCTCGCCGCGCTCGAGACGCTCGCGGAGCAGTGCCCGGGCGCGTACGCCGGGTACAAGCTCAAGGTGGGTTCGGAGTACCCACGGGTCACTGAAAACTGACGCTCGCCGAGCAGTGCCCGGGCGTGTACGCCGGGTACATGCTCAAGGTGGGGTTGAGGGCTGTTATCCGCGTTATAAGATCAACCGCGCACGACGTCGGTGTTCACAAAATAGGCAACTTTCATTTCTACCGTCGGCACATCCCCCCCCCGTCACCCCGTCACCCCGTCGGCACATCCCCCCCCCGTCACCCCGTTCCTTCCTCGCCCTCCACCCCGCAACCCTCCTACTAGCCCCGTCTCCCCATCCTCTCACCATTCTTCCCATCTTTCTCACCCTCCCAGCCCATAATAACAACCAGTCACCCCTCTCACCCGCCTTGATTTCCTTCGTTCCGTCCCTCTGCTCTGTTCCGTTCCTGCCGCACTGCCTCGTCGCTGTGCTTTCACTACCGACCGCGAATGCCACGGCGGCAATGCAGGTGGTGGAGTCGCACCAGTCGTCCAAGGTCGACACGTCAGGCACGGCTAAGGAGGCCGTCCGGTGCTTCCAGAAGCTCGGAGTCGATTTTGACGTCAGCCAGGTGAGCCGCGTCGCACTCACACACACGCACACACACGCGCGCGCGCGCGCACACACACACACACGCACGCACGCACGCACGCACGCACGCACGCACGCACGCACGCACGCACGCACACACACACACACACACACACACACACACACACACACACACACACACACACACACACACACACACACACACACACACACACACAACTCTTCCCGCATTCCCCCTTCATCTTACCACCCCCTCTTCCCGCATGCTGCCCTATTCTTGCAGATCGAGATGGTGCGCGATCCATCGGAGCAGATGGCGCGCATGGGCGTGCCGGTTCTCCTCCTTCCGCCACAACCTCACCTCCCCTTTCCCCCTCTCCGCCTGCGTGCAGATCGAGATGGTGCGCGATCCGTCGGAGCAGATGGCGCGCATGGGCGTGCCTGAGAACTACCTCAACGGCCACGCCTTCCACACCTACCACCTCGACTCGCCCGATAACACGTGCGCACAAGAGGGGAGGGAAAGAGGAGAGGTTCAGAGAAAGGAATGAGGATGGGGAGGGAGTGAGTGTCAGTTGGAGGGACGGAGGGAGGTGGGAGTTGGGAGGGTTTGGGGGAAAGAACGAGAACAAGCTCCCATAATTCGATCCTTTCACGTTTCATATCTCATAACCCTTCTTCCTCCCCTCTCTTTCTCACTTTCTCCCCGCCTCTCATCCATAATTGTCTCGCCACATGCCCGTGCACGCGCTTATGCAGGGTGTCATTTGAGTTCCAGCACAACGTGTGTGGGCGCAGCATCTATGCCGATGGCGCCATTGATGCCGTGCTCTTCCTCGCCCAGAAGGTCATGCACACTCGCATCCAAGAATCCTGCCATTCTTTATTCCCCCTCCCATGCGCCATGCATCGTCAACAGACACCATTTTCTGCTATCCCTAACATGTGTATGTGTTTGCATGGATGTTTTGATTATGGTGTACAGATCAAGGAGGGAGACACCAGCAAGACACTTTTCAACATGATTGATGTTCTCAAAGCCGGGAGCATGCGTTGATACTTCTTAGCTACCTACATGTTTTTTCAGTAGGTCTTGTGAAATTCTAAGCTAAAAAAATGGAAGAGTGTGTGCCGTTCAGTTGACATTTTTGTGTTTTAGGCAGCAGATGGTAATGAGATTTAGATACAATGCTTGGCTCATTTTTAACTTTATAAGCGTCTTATATATTTATATTTAGGAGTGACTTCATATTTAAAAAATCCATAATAGCTTTTATACGCGTCAACTGTGGAAGTCAATAACGAGAACTGGAAGCAGCAATTTATCGCTCAAGCTGGCTGGCAAGCTGTCGTGCTGTCCCGTAGTGCATGCGGAATCTGACGGTAGACTATTCTTGCGTGTCGCCGCCGGGCTTTTAGATGACCTTTCAGCGACCCAGAATGCCTACGTGGCATTCGCTGACACAGGGCCTCACTCGCATTTCCATGGCGCCTCGATGTATTACGCGTCGCGATCCTCAAATCTTCAAAGCGTCGCGGCGGCGTGGTGGTATGCGAGTACGAACGACAAACCCGCCTCGCTTCGCTACGTTATGTCGGCCTTCGGCGCGCCTCTCTCTCTCTCCACCATCACCCGAGCGTGCTCTCTATTCTTCGCCAAAGCCTGTTGCCGCATATCTTCATAAAACCCGCGCTTTCGTCTCCGCTCGCTTGCATTCATCCGCAGTGCAGCACGGAATTCTATCTGTTCTTGAGCCCGCAACCCAGTTCCAAACCCAGTTTCTCGTTCAAGCGCCGCTGCCTCTGCTTCCTTCCAAGCGCGTCCCGTTCCCATCGTCAATTCCTGCTGGCGTTGATAGCGCCCGCGCGGCGGGATCTCGACGTACAAGCCCGTCGGATTTCGCGGCGTACAACAGGGAGTCCTTGTTTCACGAATGAAGATTGACCCAGAAGCCGGTTTCTCTCCCACCCTTCACCACAAGGGTGATCCGCGCGACGACAGTGGCACTGCTTCCGCCTCGACCGCCACCGTCGCGCCGCTTGTGACGACGGATCCAGCAGCGGCCGCAGCATCTCCGCCCGATTCTCCTGCATCGAACATAGTCCCGGGAACGCCCGAACTTGCCGTGAGGGGATCTCGCCGTGTTGGTAACCCGTCGCCGTCGTCGCCGCTCTCCAGCGTGAGCAGCAGCCGTCGGATCCTCGCCAGCGAGTTCATCACGGAAGAAGGCGCCGAAGCCGCCGCGGCCTTGGCGCCGACTGCCGCGGCGTCCATCGCGGCTTCTATCGCGGCCACGAATTCTCCTGCTGCGTCCGCCGCGTCTGCCGCGCCTGTGCGTGTGCCGCGCCCGGTAGAGTCCAGCCTGGGAGACAGCCCTTGGGAAGACGTCTTACAGCCAGCACAACCAGTGCAGCGCGGATCGTCCACGCAAGCCCTCTCACGAGCGCAGAAGGCTGCTGAGAAGCTGCCCAAGGAGGCCGCGGACGACGAGGGGGAAGAGGAATCTTTCAAGCAGGCGGTGCTTGCGACCAGTGAAAACCGTACGGGCGTGAGAAATACTCCATTCAGCAGGTCTGCAGGCAGCTCGCCTGTCCATCCCGCCTCCCTCCCCACCGCTGCTCCGGCTGCTCCAACTGTTCCCGCTCCTGCGCTTTCTCCTGCTGCCCCAGCTTCTCCCAGTCGCAGCAGTGTGTCAGCCGCCCCTGCTGGTCAGTCAGAGCAGGAGCACCGCAAGAGGAGCCTGTCGTTCGGCCTGAGCCACATCCGATCTGCCGCTGCAGCTGCAGGATCTATTCTCACGCCCAGAGGTACCGCTAAGCCGAGTGGTAAGGACGCAGCAGCAGCAACAGCAGGAGGAGCAGTGGCAGTGCCGCCACAGTCCAGCACCGGTGCACAGTCCCCCGCATCTGGGCAGTCAGGGCAGATTGAAGAAGGATCTGCGCTCAAGCAGCGTAAGGAGCAGGCAGCAGCAGCGGCAGGCGCCATAGGGGGGGGAGAGGTGCCGGAGTGGGAGGAGGAGGGGAGCGAGGGGGAAGGGGGAGGGTATGTAGAGCAGCTTCAGGTGAACGCCCCTTCTGCATCAGGGCAGCAGCCACAGCAGCAGCCGCAGCAGCCGAGTGCGGCAGCACCTGGGCCCCCCATGGCTCGGCGGCAAGAGATGCTGGTGGACATGCCAGTGCCAGGCCTGTCTGATGTCGATGTGCCCTTCCGCAGGTACTTCCCGGCAGCAGAAGACCAGCCGCAACAGCAGCAACAGCAGCAGCAGCAGCAACAGCAGTGCATCGGCAACACCTGCTGCTGCTCTCCCCCCTGTGGCTTCCCGGCGGCACGAGATGCTGGTGGACATGCCGGTGCCGGGCCTGTCTGATGTCGATGTGCCCTTCCGCAGGTACTTCCAAGCTCCAGAAGACCAGCCCAGCAGCGGCGCGCTGCAGCAGGGCGCTCCACAGCAGCGGCGGAAGTCCCAGGAGGAGGAGGAGGAGGAGGACAGCTTTGTGCCAGTGGAGGCGCCGTTCGCGCATGGTGCGTGGGCGAGTGGGTGTGCTGCGGAGAAGCTGTTTGGCGATGAGGTAGAGCTGCATCACGAGCATGGTCACAGCCATGGGCAGGGGCAGGGGCAGGGGCAGGGGCAGGGGCACCGGCATCAGCATGGGCAGGAGTATGGAGTGGAGCGTGGGCAGGGCGTTGAGCACGAGCACGAGCAGGAGCATGGGCATGGGCAGATGCACGTGCCGACCTGGCCCAGCACGCACCATGAGCACCTGTATGCGCCTGTGCACGAGGATCGGCCTACGGGACCCAGCGCACAGCACGAGCATGGACACGGCTTTCCACCCACGGGTGGTGGTGAAAGGAGGGGAGCGGCTGCTCCTGTTCCTGCTGCGGCTGCTACCGATGCTGGTACGGGCAGCAGCCCTGGGAGTACCTACCACACTGCCGCGGCTGCTGCTGCTGCTGGAAGCCCTCCGAGTGCGTACGGCACACCTGCTGGCAGCAGGGAGGCGAAGTGGCGCAGGGAGAGCAGTGGCAGCAACAGCTCCTATGTGGGCGGTGCTGGCAGCGGTGCTGCTGGTAGTGGGAGCGGTGCTGCTGGTAGTGGGAGCGGTGCTGCAGGTAGTGGCAGCGGTGGTGCTAAGAGAGGTGATCGTGCTGGCGAGGCGGATTTTGAGGCGCATGGCGGCAGCAGGGCGAGGCAGGAAGCACGTGCTGTTGGGAGTGCTGGTGCACGTGGTGCTGCTGACTCCCCCTGGCTGCACGCCTGCCGCCTGCATCTCTCCCACAAGCTCGGCTCAGGGGACTTTGGAGACACGTGGCAGGGCGTGGTTCGTGGGGATGTGACCATCAGCACTCACACAGGGAGTGGATGGGGCAACAGTGGTATAGGTTCCAGCAGCAGCAGCAGCGGTGGCCTCAGCGGTGGCCCCAGCGGCACCACCAGCAACACCACCAGCGGCAGCAGCCCTGGGTTCTCAAGCACCCGGGGAAGTGAGGCGAGTATGGAGGAGGCGGGGTTACTACAATCCCCATACGAGCATCCTGTGGCTGTGAAGGTCCTGCACTCCCTCCCCCGCAATGCACTCTCTCTCTCTGCCCCGCACGCTGAACAACTCGCCTTGCCTGGGGCAGCAAGGGCAGCAGCGGCAGTGGGGAGTAAGGAGCGGCTGGAAAAGCTGGTGATAGCGCTGAGAGGCTGTGAGGACGCTTTGGGAGGGCGCTTGCACCTGGCCGCGTGCATGGATAAGGTGAGACTGGCTGTGAGTGGGAAGGAGAGTAAAAGGATTTTGAGTTATCTACTCGTATGACCTTTGAAGGGACTTGAAACCTGCACCTTCGTAGCTGAACGTGGGAACGAAGGTAAGCTGGCATTCTTTTGTATCCACTGTCTCTCCTCTGTTGAATATCCACGTCTCTCCTCCGCTGCTCACTTCCCCAATGCTCCCTCCTCTGCGTGCTGTGGACTAGACCTTCATCCCCCTCGTGTCTATGTCATGCAGGTGGCAGTGGTGTCGCCGCTCTTTGACAAGTCCATTGCTGACATGATGCACAAGCTGCCAGGAAACCGCCTGCCTTTCCACCTCTTTCTCAGGTATGTCTGCTGAGGGGTGGAAGTTCCGTCATATTCAATACTCTGCTGCTCATTGCACTCTGCTCAGATGTTGATATCCAATTTCTTTAAATAGTTCTTTAACCACATTTCTTGTGATTGAGCCTTCTTAATCATGTGCGTGCACATCTGTGCTTGCCACTGTCACAGGTACGGTGCAGCGGTGTGCAGAGCGGTGCAGCAGCTGCATGAGCAGGGCGTGCTGGCTTTGAACCTACGCCCCTCCAACTTCCTCCTCCCCTCATTTCACGAGGACGCTGTTTTCCTTGCTCCGCCTGGGCTCCCATGGGCGCTTGCAGGTGAGAATGTGTGTGGTTGAGTCTAGAGGTGAGATGAGAATAGGTCAGAAAATATCTAAGAAGTTATACTTGTGTACATGGCACGCACAGCTGTGCACAGCACATGCAACGCTGTTATCAAGCAGCTAATCCGTCATCTGAGTTTTTGCCCCCTCATCCCCCTCTGTCCTCCTACAGACATGCATGCGGACCCATTCTCTCCAATCCCGGAGCTGGCAGCAGCAGCTGGTGGAGCAAACGCGTCTCCTGTGCGGGCGGGAGTGCCGGCGTACATGGCACCAGAGCAGTGGGCGGCAGCAGTGAACGGGCCCCTGGTGGAGGGCACTGACGCCTGGGGCTTTGCCTGCGCTGCCCTGCACATGATCTCAGGTATGGTCTTGTTATTTTAGTGTGTTGTGCCTTGGACTGTCTTCCTCGACTTCTTGCCTATCCTCCTGCTGTGGTTTCTTCCACCTCCTGCTGCACCCGCACAGCCCATCCTCTTCCCTCATTCGCATCCCTGTAACCCCATCTGTCTCTTCTCTTCTTCCCTTCCCTTCCCTTCCACTGCAGGTGTGCCCCCCTGCAACAACATGACACTGGAGCAAATCCACGACGTTCTTACTGCCCACGCGCCACACAACCGCCACCACTGCCGCCACCATAGGCGCATGGCAGACCACTGCAAGCGCTTCCCCCCCTCCTCCACCCCCTCCTCCTCCTCTCCCGCTCTCTCTCCCGCCACGACACCCTCCTCCCTGCCTGCGTGTGTGTCGGCGGCGCATGTGGCAGCGCTACAGCAGCTGCCTCTGGAGCTGGAGGCGGTGCTGCTGCGCTGCTTCCACAGTGACCCGTTCAAGCGCCCCTCCTTCCGCACGCTGCTGCGTGCCTTCACCCGGTTAGTACTTCTGCCTGGCGAGTTTGATTCAGGTATGGGTTCTGCATCGCATTCATATTTCTGGGTATGCTGTAGGTTGTTTTTTCTCTTTTTTTCCTATTCCACAGGAAAAGCCTACTTACAAGAAGGCTTCTTCCTCCTTATTCCAACTACCCTCTACTGACTTCTTTCTTTCCTCTTCGTGCGCCCTTTCCTCCTCTTCGTGCGCCACCCTTTCCTCCCTCCTCCAGTCCGACGAGCCAGTACCTCCCAGGTGACTGGGTGCGTGTGCCTGCGTCTCCATCCACTCCTCCGCACAAGCAGCCGCAGCAGCAGAGGGTGGGCGTGGTGGCGGCAGTGCGGGCGGGGGAGGCAGTGGTGGCAGTGCAGCTGTGTGACAAACGCCCTGGCGACCTCGTGGCTTACCCGTGCAAGAGCGTGCTGGGAATAGTGGAGGTGAGTATAGGAAGGGAGAGTGTGAGAGGTCGCGGGAGTGAGGTAGGAGAGGCAGTGGTGGCAGTGCAGCTGTGTGACAAACGCCCTGGCGACCTCGTGGCTTACCCATGCAAGAGCGTGCTGGGAATAGTGGAGGTGAGTGTGAATGCACTTGCAGTAAGTCTGTCCATTTTTCAAGCTTGAAATGTGATCTTTATGTTAGTGTGTGATGGGATGTGATGTTATGTGGGGTGGTGTGTGCAGGAGCCTTTCCAATGTGGTGACCGCGTGCGCATCAAGAGGGGAGTAGGGAATCCACGCTTTGGTTGGCGTGGAAACAGCAGGAGCAGGTAAACTGCAAGAGCAACAGGCAGTCCCCTCTCTGCTTTCGTTCTTACTCTGCCTTTGAACGTTTCTCTGCACTTTATCCTTGTCTTCTTCTCCTTACCCCTCTTCTATCGCGCTGGCAGTGAGGGTGTGGTAACCGTGGTAGACAGCAGCGATGGTATGCTGGGCGTGAGGGTGGATCTCCCTTCTTCCTCCTCTTCGTCCTCTTCCTCTTCCTCCTCTTCCGCTTCCTCTCCCCCACCCTCTACCGCTCTGTGGCGTGTGGACCCTGCTGAAGCGGAGCGAGTGACTCATGGCATAGCAGTGGGGGACTGGGTGCATGTCCTCGCACCAGATGCAGTGGCCCTAATCGCCTCTACCAGACTTGTCGCTGCTGCGCGCACTGCTGCCACCGCACGCTACGAGGATACCTCAGGGGTCTTGCCGTTTTCCTACCCATACATGCTGGAGGATGTGTCTCCAGAGGTTACCCCACCTCTGGGGGTGGTGAAACGGGTGGTGGGCGAGGCGGTGGAAATAGCAATGGCAGGTGGAGAGGGGGTGATAGGGGGACTGGAACCTGGGAGAGGGGATGTGAGGCGTGTGGAGGGGTACAGAGTGGGGCAGATGGTGCAGCTGAGGGAGGGAGTTGTGCCGCTGTATGGTTGGGCCTATGTCTCGGACCTGGTTGAGGAGTGTGGTGCTGCCAAGAGGAAAGGGCGGAAGCGAGTCAATGCTGCTCGGTAAAGATGCCCTTCGCATCCTGTGACTGCAGTCATGTACTCCAAATAGCTCTGTTGCTCATGCTTTTCTCGTGCTTTGCTCATGCTTTACTCAATCTTAATTCATCCCCTTCTCCACTGCCCTGCGATCTTTTTCCCCAATCGCTGCCAGCGTTGCGACTGTGCACCCGAATGGGTTTCTGATGGTGCATCTGCCGGGGGAGCTGTGGCACTCGTCCCGCCACTGGCTTGTGCACCCTGACCATGTGCGGCCAGTGGGGCTGCGCTCCTGCAAGGGCCTGCAGAACAAGTGGGAGGTGAGAATTTGACCTCCAGAATTTGAATATATTCACGATTGTCCCTTGCGCATGTGTTCTCAAATTTTCGTAATTTTTTTCCATTGTATGTTTGATGTTGCAGTTACTTGGAGAAGTACACTGGTCCCTGCAGCCACTCTCCTTCATCTCCTCTCTGCTTGTGATGTACCTAGCATCGCGCTCCATCTCCATCCCTTTCATGCCTGCACTGCTGCAACCTGCTAAGGAAGATGGTGCTGACGCTGATGCTGCGGACCCATCGAATGGCCATGCGCCACGTGGGGGTGCAATCCCAAGGTATGCTGCCAGGGGCGGACTGGCATCGCCCTTGCAGCTTTTTAAATGGGGTGGGAGGAAGGAGAAGGATGGTGTAGACGAAAATGGGAGTAATGGAGGAGGGTTAAGCAGCAGGTCAGAACAGGGCAGCCGCAGCAATGCTTCTACCCCAGCTCCAGGCGGGAGTAGCAGGGCAGGTGGGAGCAGGGCAGGTGGGGATAGCAGCAAGGCTGGTTCTGCTCGTGGGGGGAGTTTCAGTGCTGCGGGTGGAGGTGGTGGTGGTGGTGATAGTGGCAGGGAAGGTGATGCATCATTGGGTAGCATTGCTGTGCCATATGGAGAGGGGAATGGAGGGTGGAATCCATTCGCTCCCAAGCCTGAGCCTACTTGGTTGCCGTCACCTCTAGCAAGGATGCTGCCAGAAGCTGTTGGAGGGAGACGCAGGCGTGATGTTCAGTAAAGAGGATTGGATGTAGCGTTGGCATTCAGTTGCAGTGAGTGTAAGGATGTATATACTACTGTAAAAATGGTAGATTTGTACATAAATGAGAGTTGTCTTTACAACAAGTTCTGATGAGTTGAGTCTCTTTTCTTTTATACAACATAAAAACAGAATGAATATCCAGGAAATTGTCTATTCTGTTGTCTGCTATACACCTTCCCAGATTACCGTATCACTTTCAAATTAGCCTCCATCCTACAGAACATGAAAACAAGGTTCACTCCAGCAGCTCCGATATAATGTTACATCTAAACGCAGGGCAAGATGAGAAAGAAAAACATAGCGCAACACACGCCAGGATAATGGGAATTCATTTCTTCGAATTACGTTACTATGGAACTTTCGAACGATTGGAAGATAAGACCTGCAATGCTATTGCTGAACGACTTCAAACACGCTGGGTAGTAGAATTATTCAATGATTGTGCATCAACGTAATCAGCTCGAAAGACGGAAACTCTGGGAAGTAGAAAATAATGCAATACGCGTAAACATTTACAATGGAAGATAATTCCTTTCGAGCTATATAAGGACCTAAGCACGCTCGCCGCGAATGCGCCTAGCAAGTTGAATATCCTTGGGCATGATTGTGACACGCTTCGCATGGATGGCGCACAGGTTGGTGTCTTCAAACAGACCGACGAGGTAAGCCTCAGCTGCCTCCTGCAGAGCCATCACGGCAGAGCTCTGAAACCTCAGGTCTGTCTTGAAGTCTTGCGCAATTTCACGAACTAGCCGCTGGAAAGGAAGCTTGCGAATCAAAAGCTCCGTCGACTTCTGGTACTTGCGAATTTCACGAAGAGCCACTGTTCCTGGGCGATAGCGATGAGGTTTCTTCACGCCGCCAGTAGCGGGGGCTGACTTCCTGGCGGCCTTGGTGGCGAGCTGCTTGCGAGGAGCCTTCCCTCCTGTTGACTTACGGGCCGTCTGCTTTGTACGAGCCATTGTCCTAAACAATGAGGGCGAAACGATTACAGAGAGCTTGGAGAAGCGAAGGAGTAGTTTTGCTAGCTGGAAATGATGGGAGCGAGAGTGATAGCCTTGAACGAGAAAGTTGGATGAAGAAATGAATGGGGAGAGGCGTCTTTTTGAAGGCATTGGGGTCCGGGTTGGGGGGTTGCTCTAATGCTGTGGCTTCGTTCCCCCGCCAACCGCACGCGGTGTGATTTGAAACACCGAAGATCCGAAAACAACCAAAAGATCGACGACAATCGCAACCGTTCAAACCGAACACATCGCGAAAGTACCGCTTTCAAAACGTTTTGATTGGGCATGTGCGTCATTTCGGATCGACTGAGTTCTCTCGCAATTCTCAAGGTCTGTACTCGCCACAGGAAAGGAAACGCGATCATGAAGAGCATGGAGCTTGTATGAATTGTAACGCTAGAATCAAAATAATCTTTTGGCGATAAAAAAAATACTAATAAAAAACCCCCACAGATAAATATGATTAAATCACCAATTTTGTTCATGATATATGCCTATGTAAATTCTATCATCTGTATGAATATTACCAACATTTAGCAAATGGAAATGGCGCCTTTGAGCCCTACGTGTATAACATAACTGTTTAATCTGGTTTGCACTATTTCAAGTGTTGTGACTTGAGCCCTTTCCAGTGTTTACATCTCATGCTTGTTTTTTCTCCAAATCCTATTCCTGAATCAGCCTACGGTATCCCAAAAAAGAACTGTGGGGCTTGTTCAGACCTGACAGCTGTTAATGTTTCTTTTGTTCATCCTTCCTTTCTGTTTCATCATGTAAAGCAACCATCATCTTTACATTTGTTTCCACCATACCATAAGCATTACAACAGAACAGAACAAAGTCAGCAGCACTACAACCTACAAACTGGCAATATGAATCATGCACAGTACAGTGTTGTTGAAGATACAACTCACAACAATCAAGTAAATCCCACACTACCATCTGTACTCATGTGTCAAATATTATAGCCTGTAGTGGGTTGGGCTATATGGGGTACAACTAGTTAGGGTTAGGTTATGTACCCCAATTCTGTCAATGCAACACATTCCGCTGTAGTTCTCATTCTGACATGGTATCAGCAGTAGGTTAGCGCTCCTAGCCCTAGGCCCGCCCGTCCCTACCACTAGGGTTACCACTGCGCCCCGCCAGCCCGCCAGCGCCCTACCCCACGCCCCAGCCGGCGCGCCCCTCCCCTCCCCGCCCTTAGCCAGCGCGCCCCGCCAGCCAGCCAGCGCGCCAGCGAGCCAGCTCGCCAGCCAGCCAGCGCGCCAGCCAGCCAGCGCGCCAGCCAGCCAGCGCGCCAGCCAGCCAGCGCGCCAGCCAGCCAGCGCGCCTGCCAGCCAGTGCGCTAGCCCGCCAGCCAGCCAGCGCGTCAGCGCGCCAGCGCGCCAGCCAGCCCGCGCACCAGCTCGCTTGCACGCCAGCCCGCCAGCGCGCCCGCCAGCCGGCGCACCAGCGAGCCCGCCAGCTCGCCTGCCAGCGCGCCCGCCAGCGAGCTCGCCAGCGCGCCCGCCAGCGAGCCCGCCAGCGCGCGCCCTGCCTAGCCGCCCGCCAGCGCGCCGCGCCCGCGCGCCACGCCAGCCAGCGCGCCGCGCCGGAGCGCGCCCCGCCAGCGCGCGCCCCGCCGCCCCGCGCCCAGCCAGAACGCGCCCCGCCTGCGCGCACTCGCCTTTCACTCACCTCCCTCTCCTCCTCCTCTCGCGGCTGGCGGCCGCTATCGCTTGTTCTCGCCCCTCATGGCGACGTCTCGCGTGCTCCGTTTCGACCCTGAGGGGCGCGCGATCGACTTTAGTACCTGGCTGACGCAGGCCCAGCGCCACCTTAGGAGCCAGCGCCAGGATGGCGTGCACCTGTTTGCGCACGCGTCCGGTGCTCTGCCCGCCCCGCCGCAGCCTACACCGCTGCCCACTACCCCACCGCCTACTTCCGAGCAGAAGACTGAGTACCAGCGCCGGTTCCTCGCTCGTGACGTGTGGGAGTCTCGTGACGCTGCTGCCTGCCTCGCCCTGACCGACCTTCTCCCGCCGACTGAGGCCGTCCACTTCACTCAGGTCGAGTCTGCTGCAGACCTTTACACTGCTATTGTTGCTCGCTACTCCACTCCCTCCTCTGCCTCCCTCAGCCGCCTCCTCGTCCCCTTTATCTACCCTGACCTCGCCTCCTTTGAGACTGTCGCTGACCTCGCTACCCACCTGCGCTCCCTTGAAGCTCGCTTCAAGGCCGCTTGCACTGAGGAACAGCTTGCCCTTGCACCCCCCCCCATGTGGCTCACTATTCACTGGTTAGTCACTCGCCTCCCTGACCGTCTAGCCACAGCCCGCGACGCGCTTCTCCTGAAGCACCCCACTGAGCTTACTATCGATCTTCTTGAGACCGCTCTCTCGAAGATCGAGAGTAACCTCCTCGCTGTTGCCTCCGCCTCTTCCGCGCCTCCTCCTCGTCTCTTTGAGGGGTGTGCGGTACCACAGCTTCCCACCTTCACTGCCTCGCTTGCCACTGCCGCGTCTTCTGCCTCTGAGGAGACGGCGGCCGTTTCTGTCTCTGGCGGACAGAAACGTGGCAAGTCCGGCAAGAAGGGAGGGAAGGGCGGCGGGGGTTCTGGGGGTGTTGCGGGTGGCGGCGGTGGCGGTAGTACTAGTGGCGGGGGTGGCGGCGGGGGTGACTCGGGACCTGACGGCTCTCCTCTAGACGGTGGTGAGGGGTTTCCGCAGCAGCAGCAGCAGCAACCTCCTCCGCAGCTGCCACCGCCTGGACAGCAGCAGCGGCAGGGACAGCAGCAGCAGCGCCAGGGCCAGCAGCAGCGTCCGCCTCAGCAGCAGCCCCAGCAGTGGGGCACTCAGCAGCAGTGGGGCACTCAGCAGCAGTGGGGCCCTTCGCAGCAGTGGGGCCCCCCGCAGCAGTGGAGGCCTACGGGCCCCCCGAGCACTGGGCGCAGTGGTGCCCCTTCTAGTCGGGGACCCCGCTCGGCCGGCCGCGACGTTGGTCCCTGTGAGTACTGGATCCTGACGGGTCCGCGCAGGGGCACGTACTGCGGCCGCCCTGACCACTCTGCTGCACGCTGCTTCAGCCGTCTCGACGACCTGTACGTCCTGCACCACGGCCCCTCCGCTCCCCCGCCACCGCGCTGGGGACCACTCCTTGCTCGTGGTGTTGCTGTGTTTGATATGTCTATGGATGATGCTAGGTCTTATGCGATGTATGCTGATGTTGACTATAGTGCTGCTGGATCTGTTTACTTGCCTGTACCTAGCGTAGGATCTTTGCCTGTTGCTAGAGCAGGTGTTGGTGTAGGATCCTGTCTAGCTACTAGTACAGGTGCTCCCTCGGCGGACGCGTCGCTCTCCTTCACACTGGACTCCGGAGCGACGCAGTGCTTCTTCCGCGACAGCACGACTCTTACTCCACTCTCGGCGCCGGTTTCTGTAGCACTGGCCGATCCCTCTTCGGGACCGGTCATTGCGACTCACGCCACTACCCTCCCGTGCCCAGCTGCCCCTTCCGGTTCCCTGACCGGCCTCCACGTTCCTACGTTCTCTAGGAACCTGGTTGGTGTGGCTCCTCTGGCGAGACAGCACGTCGGGGTCTGGTTTGAGCCTTCTGGTGACACTGCAGTCTGTGTGGACGGTGACACATATGCCCCTCTGGCCACTTTTCGTCAGGAGCCGGGCTCTGGTCTGTACACCCTCCACACCGACACCCGTCCGGTTCCCCCGTCCCACCAGGTAGCCAGGTCCAGTCAGGTAGCTGTGCCAGGTCTAGTGGCTGCGTCGTGCTCGTGTCGGTCGCTGTCCCACCCTGTCCTCCTCTGGCACCACCGCCTTGGTCACCCGTCCCTCTCTCGTCTCCGCGCTATGTCCAGTCAGCGTCTTGTCTTAGGCCTCCCCCGCGACCTCCCGCCGCTCCCGCCGTCCCCCGCTCCTCCGTGCGGTCCTTGTGTCCAGGGTCGGCTGCGCGCCACCCCTCACTCCTCCTCCCTTCGTCCAGCCTCCGAGCCCTTTGAGACACTCCACTTAGACGTCTGGGGCCCCGCTTCCCGGCTTGGACCTGAGCGAGAGAGCTTCTTTCTAGTGGTCGTTGACGACTACTCTCGGTACACCACCGTGTTCCCTTTGGCGAAGAAGTCCGACGTGACTTCTACGCTGATCCGGTGGCTGCTCGCCACCGAGAGTACTCGTCGTCGTCGTGTCAGTTGTCTCCACTCCGACCGTGGGGGTGAGTTTCGCTCCGGCATTCTCGCCAGATTCTGTGCTGAGCAGGGCATCACCCAGTCCTGGACTCTCCCAGACTCTCCACAGCAGAATGGGGTTGCTGAGCGCCGGCTAGGCCTGGTCATGGAGATTGCCCGCACCTCCATGATCCACGCCCGCGCGCCCCATTTTCTGTGGCCCTACGCGGCTCGGTACGCCGCTCACCAGCTGAACCTCTGGCCTCGCGTCTCTCGGCCAGGGGCTTCACCGACCAGTCTTTGGACAGGGTCCCCTAGTGTTGTGTCGAGGTTTAGTGTCTGGGGCTGCTTGGCGCTTGTCCGCGACACCTCTGCGGACAAGCTCTCACCTCGCGGCGTCCCCTGTGTCTTCCTTGGTTTCCCTGAGGCCTCCTCTGACTTCACCTTTTACCACCCTCCCTCCCACCGGTTCTTTGACTCTCGTGACGTCAGTTTCGACGAGTCCGTCCCCTACTACGTCCGGTACCCCTGTCGAGGTCTCCCGGTTCCCCCCCCTCCCCTCTTCCTCGCCCTAGCTCTTCCTCCTCCTGCTCCCTCTCCTCCGGTACCCCCCCCGGTTCCCGCTCCGTCAGGTGTGTCACCGGCTACCCTCCCTCCCTCGGTACCCCCCCAGGTCTCTCCTCCTTCCCCACAGTCGTCCTCACAGCCTCCGCAGCAGCCGTCGGCGCTTCCTCTCCCGGCCACTGCGGACTCTGAGGGTGTTGGTGCTCGAGGTGAGGGCTCTGGCGGTGCCGGTTCTGGGGGTGTTGGAGTTGGAGCTGAGCGTGCACCTGCCGCAGCTGCACGTCCCGAGCGTGTTGGAGTCGGTGGTGGTGCTGGAGCTGGTCGTGTTTCTGGAGCTGGAGAGTCTGGGGCTGGTGCTGGTGCCACTGGGCGCACCACGACTGGGGGTGCGGGTTTGCCTTCCACAGGTGCTGGTCGTGCTGCAGCGGGGGGCACTCGCTCTGGGGGTGCTCAGCCGGGCGCTGTCGAGGGTGGAGCCGGTTCTTCGTCTTCCTCTCCTGACCTCACTCCTCCTCCTCACTCCTACCCGACTCGACACCAGGCCCGTCTTCGTCTTGAGCGTGAGGAGCAGCAGCGTTTGGAGCGCGAGAGGTTGGAGGTTCAGCAGCGGGTGGAGCGTGAGAGGTTGGAGTTGCAGCGGGAGCAGCAGCAGCAGCAGCAGCAGCCGCCGCCGTCGCAGCAGCAGCAGCAGCAGCCGGAGCAGTCTCCGGCCCCTGTTTCTGGCCTTCGGGCCCTTGGTCTCCCCTCCTCTCCTCCTGTGTTCGGTCCTACGTTTCCTCCTCCGGACTCAGCTCCGGCTGTGTTCCCTCGTTCTCGCTCTCCCCCCTCTCCCTCTCCACTTGCCCACACTTGGGCTCCTCGTTCTCCTCGTGCTCGTCCCTCGTCCCCCGTCACTGACCTCCGTGCCGCCTTGTTTCACCCTAGCCCTCCTCGTTCTCCTCCGTCTGTTCTCCCTCGTCCTCCTGAGTCGTCCCTCACTGCCGCCCTGTCCACTCCTGTCACTGACTACTACCGCACTTACCGTCCCACTCTCTCTCGCGTTCTCGCCTCTCTTGTTACAGACCCTCGTGCCTCTCCTTCCTCTGTCGCAGTCCTCACTGCCGCTGTCACTGACTTTACTGCCACGCGTCGCCTTGACTACGCCACTCGTGTTGTGGCAGCTCCTCCTGTCCGTCCTCTGTCCGCCGGGGGTGTGTCTGCCCTTGGTTGTGACGTCCTAGAGGACAGACAGTTTGAGCTAGAGTTCCTAGCAGCCGCTTCGCCTCATGTCTTTGCCATGCTCCTTGCTCCTGAGGGTGACCCCGACGCTCCTGACATACCTACTCCTCGCACTTACGCTGAGGCAGTGTCAGGGTCTTGGGCCTCTCAGTGGCGAGCTGCCATGGACGCAGAGATGGCCTCCTACAGGTCCACAGGCACTTACGTTGACGACGTTCCCCCACCAGGGGCGAACATAGTCGACGGCATGTGGATCTTCAAGGTGAAGCGGCCGCCGGGATCTCCCCCAGTCTTCAAGGCGGCTAGAGGGTTTAGTCAGTGCGAGGGGGTTGACTTCTTTCAGACCTTTGCGCCCACCCCGAAGATGACCACTCTTCGGGTGTTGCTTCACGTAGCGGCGCAGAGAGACTACGAGCTACACTCCCTCGACTTCTCCACAGCGTTCCTGCAGGGCCGCCTACACGAGGAGATCTGGCTGCGTCGTCCTCCGGGCTTCACTGGCACCTTCCCGCCTGGGACCCAGTGGAGCCTCAGACGACCGGTCTACGGTCTCCGCCAGGCACCCCGCGAGTGGCACGACACTCTTCGTTCTACTCTTTCCGACCTTGGTTTTCAGCCGTCCTCCGCCGACCCGTCGCTGTTTGTTCGTCGTGGGCGCACACCTTTCTTTGTTCTGGTCTACGTTGACGACTTGGTCTTCGCCACAGCCGACACTGTTGCACTGGCGGAGGTGAAGTCCGAACTGCAGAAGAGACACACTTGCACTGACCTTGGGGAACTGCGCCGCTACCTTGGCTTGCAGATCTCCAGGGACAGAGCCGCTCGCACCATCACTCTGACTCAGTCACACATGGTGCAGCAGGTCCTTCAGCGGTTCGGGCTTCAGCACTCCTCTCCCACACCCACTCCTCTTGCTGTAGACCACAGACTCACTGGGCCTTTTCCTGACGAGCCGTTCGAGCCCAGTGGTCCCTACGCAGAGCTGGTGGGCTGCCTCATGTACCTGATGACGTGCACTCGCCCGGACCTCGCCTTCCCTCTTAGCATCCTTTCTCGCTTTGTTGCGACTGGGAGACACCGTCCTGTTCACTGGACGGCGGCTAAGAGGGTGGCGAAGTACCTGGCCACGACGTCAGACATGGGGCTTGTACTTGGAGGGACTCAGCCAGTTGTTCTCACCGGTCACTGTGACTCCTCGTACGCTGACGACGCTGAGACTCAGAGGTCTACACAGGGTTACTGTTTCAGTCTGGGTTCTGGAGCTGTTTCGTGGAGGTCTACTCGGTCCTCCTCTGTTGCGACTTCTACCGCAGAGGCCGAGATCTACGCTGGAGCCCTTGCTGCACAGGAGCTGCGCTGGTTGACCTTCTTGCTCACTGACCTTGGCGAGCGGCCGAGCTCTGCACCGACCTTGTTTGCTGACAACAAGGCGATGATTCTCCTGTGTCGTGAGCCGCGACTGGAGAGCAGAGTGAAGCACATTGACGTCAGGTACTTCCTCCTTCGAGAGTTGCAGAGACGCGGACAGGCTCGTCTGGACTTTGTGGCCTCCGAGGCCAACACTGCAGACATCTTCACCAAGGCCCTCCAGCCTTGTGACCACCTGCAGTTAGGCCTCATTGAGACTGGGTCTAGTTGACTGCTGTAGGGTGCTCTTTGTCTGTTGCTTGCTTGTACCTTATATATATTTGTTTGCACACTTTTGGACTGGCCTTGTGGCCCTTTGCTTGTGCTCAAATTAGGTGGTGACGTTGTGATCCACCCTGAGCTTTGTTTTCTTTCTCTTGCTTTTGACTGGTCTTGTGACCGTAGGTTGCTTGTTGTTGATTGGCCTTCCCCACTTAGGCTATGGGGGTGTGTCAAATATTATAGCCTGTAGTGGGTTGGGCTATATGGGGTACAACTAGTTAGGGTTAGGTTATGTACCCCAATTCTGTCAATGCAACACATTCCGCTGTAGTTCTCATTCTGACATCATGTAGGTCCAGTACGCCAGGGCTGATTTTATCAGGGTAATTACCCTGATTTCAGGGTGATTACAGGCTTCTCACTTGGTGGTCCCTGCAATTACAGTTTTTTAAACTTGTGAACTCTGATCCAATCAGATAAGTTACTTAACGAACCCTGAAATCTTTTAACTAGGCTCAGAGTAGTGTACTTGCGGACTCTGTCCATGTAGAGTACGCGTTATGTGGGCCCTGAAAGCGGGGGTATCGGGAAGAAGTTTCCTCGAAATTTCCTCCCGATAAACCTGCCTTCGGATTGATCGCGTGATCCCCCCCCCCCCCAAGCCGAAGTTTCTTCGAAACTTCTTTCTGATACACCAGCAAAGTGATCGGGCGAATCTGCAATGTCAGGGCGGGGTGCATCATGCTGTTTTGCAGGATCGCGATCCCAAGCGATCCTTGCTATAGTGTTTTGTCGTTAGTGTACAGTGTTAACTGTAGCGTTGCTGCACCATGACCCAGGGGGATCGCTGCGCCAACCACCCAACCACCCTCGACCACGCGGGATCTGAGAGCCTGCGATCAAGGGTTGAATGTGCACCGCGTGCACACCGAACCTTGTTTGCGAATTCATTTTTATCGCCTAACGACGAAACGAAACTGTAGCGAGGTAAAAAACGAAAATGTTACGAAATCAACTCTGAAACCAAACTGTACATGCGACGCATTGACTGCGTCTGATTGGTGGTTGGGGATCGGGGCCCTAAGAATGCGGATGGTGCATCATAGGGGGGGTGCCGTCGGATCGGATGGGACCCCGAGCACGCCCAACCTCACGGGATTCAACAGGGTTGCGGTACAACATCGCGATCAGAGGGCGATCATGCAAATTTAGCATGATGCACTCCGCCCTCAGATATTTGTGATTCGAACAAGTTGACTCGCCCCTTTACAGTACACTTGCTCCAGGATGCACGCCTCGGAGGGTGACAGTTGCAGCGTGTCTGAAGAGATCCGATTGGGCATGGTAATACACAAGATGCCCAACCCCTGCACGCGAAATTGCCTCGCACATTCCAGAAACCTTGCACACGAAGGTTTTTTCCCGGGCAGTTGCACCCACGTTACAAGCACGTCAACCAATACGAACCACAGAAACAGAAGAGACCGAAGTCAAACAGTCAACGGTGAGTTACAAAATTTTGCTATAAGCCCTTTTTGCCCGATGCGAATTGACGAAACCTCCACGAAATGCATGAATCACTTAAGCGCCCCCTTCACAAGGCAACCTTGGGTTAGTCAAACGGACATCGTGTGTAAGACAGGGACACGTTATTGCGATTACACTCGCACACCAGATAGGTCAATCGCACCCGCCCTGCACAAATTAGTCGAGTGCACAGCCATCACGAAACACAGCGCTCAGGCTTCATGGAGAGTGGGGCATCTTTCCTCGGTAAAAAAGAGCGCGTTATTACCAAGACTCTGATCAGTTCTCAACCCTGAACAATCATAGTTAACTACTTTACAACCCTGAGCAATCAGGGTACTGTTTTTCTGGAAAATGTGCACCCATAATAGAGGGGAGAATTTTTCCCCGGAATCAGGGAGGCTTAAAATGAAACGTCAGCCCTGGTGGCAGCACTGCTGTGCTGCCTAATTGAAATGCAGGGAGAATATATAGTGAAAGAAACAGCATAAACAGTGAACCCATCATCCTATCATGGAGCTGTTCCTGGATAACGAACAGCAACCAGTTAAGTGCCCACACGAACTAGTGGCAAGGCTGAGACTGCTTCGCCACCTTGTTCACATAAAAAAGTCATGGCTTCAGCATTTCCCCCAATCCTCCTGCCATGCACCATCCTCTCCTCCTTACTCCATGCCAAGATTCCTCTGGCAGTGGCAGATACTCCCTTCCGCTCTCCTACTGCCCAGGTGCAGCCGTTGGGACGGTCACATGAGGGAGCTTGGCCACTTCTCCAAACCTGGGGGTGCTGTACTTCTTGTACACGGCAGTCAGATTCCCGGTGCCCGCCTTATGCTGCAGCTCTACCATCATCCTCACACATGGCTGTAGCTCCGCTTCAGTGTATCCCGTATGGAGAACCATCACAGGGCACCAGAATGGTCGGCTTACATTGCTGCTGCTGCTGCTGGCGCCACTGCTGCCGCTGCTGCTGCTGCTGCAGCTGCTAGTGCTGGTACTGATACTCCGACCCAGGGTGAGACTGATGGCGCTAGCAGCAGCACTGGTAGCCGGAGTCTGGCCATCTGTAACAGTAACTGAGATAGCAACTGGGACAGCAACTGGCAGCGCACTGTTAGACTGTTGGCTGCTGCCACTGTTTAAGCCTGCAACAGGAACAACAAATTCAGTAGCAGCGGCAGAGGCAGCGGCAGGCGTGGCTGTGGCAGAAGCAGTACCGCCTCCACTGGCAATGCTTTGGTGTGACATGAGATTCTGTGACCGGGCTAGCATGGCCGTGTACACAGCCGCTGCTGCCAGATGCGACGGGGAGAACCGCAGCATGCTGTACTCAGGCAGGCTCAGCTCCAGCAGAAACCACGCCAGACTCTGCATCACCTTCTCCGCTCCTCCTCCCGCCGCCGCCGCCCCCACCGCGCCTCCCGTCGTTCCCCCCGCCGCGCCCCCCGCCGCCGTTCCCGCCGCCGCCCTTACCGACGCCGCCGCCGCTTTCAGGAACCGCGACGCGAACACGTACGGCGTGGGGACCGTGAGCTGGAACCGCAGCGCGTTCAGCATGTCCTTCTCGAGCGCGATCACCTCCGCGCGGCTGTACGCGTTATCCGATATGTACACGAAATCGCGCACCTCGGGCGCCCAGATCTCCTCGTACTTGGACGCGATGAGCATGGCGGTCACGCCCACGAGCTGCAGGTTGCGCCGGCGCACGGGCGCGAGGGACAGGTAACGGTCGATGAGATTCGCGGTGAGGTAGAGCGTCTCGGGCATGAGCTTGAACTTGAGATGCACTTCTATGAGCCAGTCGAGGAGAATGGCGCGCATCTTGTCGTTGATGTCCGCCTGCTGACTCATGTAGCTCTCCGCCGCCATCGTCTCCCTCTGCACGTGCGCGCGCGCGGGGGGAAAAAGGGGAGAATCCGCAGGGGAAAAAGGGGCGGATGTGTTGTGTTGGGGTAGTATCCGGGGGAAGAAGCTCAAAACATCTGAAAGAGGATTGGTTGAGGACCATCGGTGAGGCGCGCTTCCGCCTTCCCGCGAACTATCTCTGTCCGTCTCGGACCCCGCTACTACTTACTTACTACACACTACCACCCTTACGACCACCACCAGCAGCAGCGGCGCGGCTCACCTCCATGCGGCGGTACAGCGCGTAGATGTCGCGCACGTATGCCGTGGCGGCGAGCGGGTTGCGCCGGTCCTCCCAGTCGATATCCATCACCGCCGGCACCTCCGCATCCATCAGATCCACTCCGCCGCTTCCCCCGCTTCCGCCTCCGCCTCCGCACGCCTCCTCACTGCACGCCGTCAGACTCGCCGTCATCGTCATCGTCAGCATCGGCACTCCCTCCTCCTCGCTCTCCCGCTCCTCCCGTTCTTCCCGCTCACCCACCTTCCGCCCGCCGCAAGCCCCCCCCGCCCCCGTCCCCGCTTTCGCGGCGGCAGCTTCCGCGGAAGGCTGCTCGGTTGCGGCGCTGGAGGAAGCGGCGGACACGGCGAGAAGCACGGGGACATCGACGGTGGCGGCGGTGGCGCTGGTGGCGGCCGAAGCGCAGGCCTCCCGGGCGCCCTTGTCCAATTGCGCCGGTGCGGCGGCGGTTGCGGTAGCGGCGGCGGCGGAGGTCGGGAGCTTCCTGCGCGCGGGGGAAGAAATGAGTTCAGCGGAAAACAGCGGATGCTATGAATCAGCCGTCTGACTTGGTTCAGACATGGTTCAGCAGCGGGAGAAATAGGCCCAACGGGAACAGCATAAGCAGCGGGAGGAAAGGCAACGCTGGTTGCAGACGGCATGCACCATCCGCCACAGCCTTCCATCACACGGCCATCCGCCCGAGACCTTTCCTTATCCGAGCTCCATCTCGGCCGCGTTCCCCTTACCCGTCTTTTCCGGCGGCGGTGGCGGCGGCGGCGGCGGCTGTGAGCTCCACCAGGTTGCCCACCTCGGCCAGCACTCGGCGACTCGAGAACGACCGCGCTCCCGCCGGCGCCGCTAGCGCGCTAGGGGCTGGTGCGCCAGGTGCCACGGGGACTGGCGCTGGAGTAGAATGGGGAAGGGCGGAAGGGAAACCGAGCCGCGAGGAGACGTGACGGGAGAGGCAGGATAAGGGTTTGGCATGATGGGGATGAAACTTCTCAGTAGGAGATCTCTTAACCGAGTGAAACACGGTAGTGGTGAGGCACGTCGGGTGTGATAGTGCATGCGAACGAGCAGCGGCGGTTGGGGGAAACAGCGGAGCTCAATTTCGAGTCTTCGTCCGTTTCACTCATCCGTTACGGCTGCGTCGTTGGCGGATCTTGATTCGACTCCTCTTTGACGTGTCACCATCAGCATGCTCACCACGTCCTTCCGGACTGATTTTACTCCTTTCAGGCGCCTCAAGAATAGGTGTCTCAGCTGGGCCTAGTCAAGCGTACCTTTTCTCGCGACGGCGTGCGCCTGCTGGTTCTCGTCCGCCATGGCTGCTGGTGCAGTGGCGTGCTCCGGCGGCGGGTTGAACGATTGGCGAGCGAAACGGACGAGGAACGTGCGAGAGTAAGCGGGTGTGTGCGCCGCGTGTGTAAGAGAAGGAGAGACTGCTCTCGGATAAGGCGTGCGACTCGTACGCCGCGTGTCGGGTGGGAATCTTCTCGGCTCACGGCACGTAACGCGGATTCGGACGAGGATGGCAAGAGGTGTTCGGTCGCGGGCACACTCCGTCTTAGTGGAAGCGCATGGAGAGCCGTGGATTTGGCAGGGAGTCCTCGATGCAACGCGAGGGAGGGAGGGTGTGGAGCGGAAGCTCTAGGTAGAGAGTATGACGAGATCGCACAGCTGTTGCAGCTGCGGCCATGCAGCGATACGAATGCTGCGAGACCTCCCTAGGATGGACGCTAGCCTACCGTGCGTTCTCGAGTAGGCCAGTCGCGATCACTGGCTTATGCAGCACAACAAGATACGGTGGCTCCTAGCGATCGAGTCTAGATGGTGGCTAATTCTGACGGTGCCAATTGATCAAGCGATTCTGGTTTGGACTGATCTGTGAGTTGCAATGTGAGAGAGCTAGTTATTTGCGGCGTAAGTGCGTGGTACGCCCTAGTAACTTGGTCCGAGAATGTGTTATGACCTACCAACGGAATGGATATATTTCCTGATGACGGCCAAATATTTTACACCAGCGCCCCAGTCGCCTCGCGCCAGCATCAGTGTCTGGTCACACTTTTGCGTAACGCATGGTCTCCTTTTTGCATCTGCTTCTCCAGTACTTGCTGAAGTGAGGCCTGGCTGTGGGTTTGTTCGGGCGCATTCACCACATTCCCCTCCCACGCCACGCACTAAGGCTCGACCTGGCATCCCTTTGTATGGTAGCAAGTGGATGTAAGCAGTGGCTGGTCTGCTCTGCTCAGTGTTGTCTGGGATTTGGTTCGAGGCGAGGCGAGGCGAAGCGATGAAACCAGCTCCTCCTGTCGTAGCTTGTCTGGATGAGCCCGCGCCAGAACAAAATTCAAATGCGAAACAGAGGGACGCGCGCCAGCACGCAGCGCATGCTCACGCAGCGCTCAGCGCGGGAAGAAGGTGGTCTTGGACACCAGATGGGGAATCGACGGTCCGTTTTGAATTAGCTTTCTGGTTTTGAGTGATTGCGCTGCGAAGATGGAAGCAGGAGAGGTTCGGGCACCCCAAACGTGGTTCGGGAGGTTGTTGTGATTTTCTTTGGGTAAGTTCGAAGGCAGGGCAAACAGCAACACACTTTGGTAGTCTGGCACCATCGCGAATTCACTCCGCACGGGCCCCTCGGGCAGCAGTGAGAAATTTGCTCCCACAAAATGTTCTCTCTCAAACCATCTGACGATTGCCGAGCCTACCACACCCACTCGGTATACCCAACAAAGGGCACTTCGAATCCACATTTGGGAGACTGCTAATTGATATGATACCTATGTTTAGGTTGAGTGTGTATATATAGTACGTATTGTTCATGTAAGTTGAGTTGTCTTTCCACCATGTATAGTGTATCCTATGAACTCCAACAAATTTCAGAGTTTTTGGAGTATCCATTAAATCCAAATCTAAATTAGGTATAGTTATACATATAAAACTCTTAATCATCAATTACAGGTGCATTATAATTTTGTCAAATGAAAATATGACATTTCAAACTCTCATATTGAGAGTTCAAAAGTGCTAAAGTTTCTTCTCATTTCAGCTGCAAGATGTTTGTGCAGCGGGAAATAGACGTGATAAAATATGTTTGTATGTATGCTTGTTTATACGAGAACCAGATTGTTCTACGCTTCTTACGTATTCTTACTGAGTGGGCGTGCGTGCACCAGATTTGTGCCTTTCACGTGAATGGGAGCGCTCCTTCTTCTAGCGAGGAAATATTCAACGCCTCGCTTGGCGGTGAGCATCTACATTTGACCATGCTTTCTGCGCCACGGGCTTCCCCCCAAACCCAAGGGAACAAGGCTTTTTGACATATTTGTGTGACTATCCTTTCCCAACAGAAGTTAGGCAACGTTCACGGATCAACCTTGACACCATGGCGGATGTTGGGTGGGAAGGATGGGTTACCCTTAGTCTGATATTTCTGATGTTGGTGCTCCTGGTCGCGGAAGTAGCTCCTCCGTACATGGTGATGATGGGAATTTTAATCATCTTTATTCCACTTCAAATATTGGACGTGGAAAAGGCATTTCACGGTTTCTCGGATCCCGCAATGCTGTCAATAGCAGTGCTTTTCATTGTGGCTAAAGGTATGATATGACGATTGGTTCTCGTTGTTTTCCTAACACCCAAGATAAACTTGTTCCGATCGTGCAGGCATTGAAACGTCTGGAGGACTGGAGTATGTTTCTAAGTTTCTTTTCAGCACCAAAACTGGGAAAAAGTCCAAGTCGTTCCTCGTTAGAGGCAGCGAAAACAGCATCGTCTGGGTCCTTCTGAAGTTCACCGTGCCAGTTGCCCTCTTCAGCGCGTTTCTTGCCAATATTCCTCTTGTCGCTATGATGATACCTCCAATTGTGGAGTTCTCCAAGAAGGTCAGACATGCTTACTGATTGACTTACACTAACACCGACCGTTTGGATTAACCGATGGAACTCCTGATTACAGGTGAACATTTCGCCCTCGAAGATGCTGATTCCGCTGAGCTACGCTGCACTGCTTGGAGGGACCTTGACCTTAATTGGTGCATCAACGAACTTGATGGTCACCTCGATGGCTGCAAAGAAACTCCCGGAGTTGACCATGAACATTTTTGAAATTGGAATTGTGGGAGTTCCCACAACAGTTGCCGGAATATTGTACTTACTAGCATTCTCCGGGAAGTTATTGCCCGACAGGCTGGCCATGCAAGCCACTAACATCAACGCGAGGTATGGACTCTTCAGTCTAGGTAGTCCAGCATTTGAATGTCCAGCCATGCTTCCTGTATTTCTCCTTGTTATTGACACCAACGTTGTCGTGTTTCAGAGAATATACTGTTGTTCTGGTTGTGAAGCCCTCCTCCTCCCTTTGTCGAAAGAGTGTGGAGCAGACAGGCGTGCAAAATCAGCCTGGATTGCAGCTGCTTCATGTGGACCGTGACGGGGTTGTGACTTCAGACCCACCCTCTGACTTCATTGTTCAGGCAAAAGACAAGCTTCATTTCTGTGGCGTCATCGACTCCATTCTCTCGTTGACGCAGCTTGATGGATTAGCGCTGTCCGAGGATGAGGTACACGTGATTTGAGGACGCTTGATCACGGAGGTCTTTGTGACTAACAAGCTTATTGTGTAAGTGCAGGGTCAAGAGCAAGTTGACCTCAACAAACTCCGACCAAATCAATTTTTGGTCGAGGCTGTTGTTGCAAGTAAGTCACCAATGGTGCACAAGAGGGTTGCTGACTTGCAGCTCAGGACGCGGTACAAAGCTGCAATTGTTGCAGTTCATCGGTATGGGACAAGGCTAAACAGGTACGGCCAGTCAGTTTATACTTGTATACATACAATTTCACACATAAGCCTTGCGCTCATAACCGTTTTTGTTGCAGTGCAATTGGCGACATCGTATTGGAGGCAGGCGACTCTTTGCTGTTGGTGGCTGATGGGAGCGAGTTTGTGTGCAAACACCGGAACAATTCTACGTTTGCCCTCGTTTCGAAGGTAAGAACCGGGAAAATGTGTCGCAACATTGCTTGTTGAGCTAAATGCTGACGCCCTGGTTTTTGTTGCAGCTTCCTGGTTTTACACCAGTACAGCGCCAAAAGGCAGGCATAGCGGCAATATTTGTCCTGACCATGGTTGTTGCAAGCGCATTTCCGAGCGTTCCTCTTATAACTGCTGCCCTATTCACATCAGCGGCACTTCTGTTGTCGGGAAGCATGACGTCACGAGATGCAATGGTATGTCGAGCATATTAAGGGTTTGCACACTATGGGCCAAGATGCTATTCATGCTTCATGTACAGGATTCGCTGGAACTTCCGGTTTTGATCATGATTGCTGCTGCATTTGGGATATCGGAAGCTCTGGTTCAAAGTGGTGCAGCAGACCTTGTTGCTCAGGTCTTGATGGGCTTATCCGGTGGAACACAGGTATGGATGGTAATTTTTAAGCAATCGTTGCATCATGTGTTTGGTAATAATCTAATCCACCATTGGCTTTCAGATTGGCCTGCTAACCTGTACTTATGTGGCAACGACGGTTTTCTCTCTGGCTATTACAAACAACGCTGCAGTGACAATTATGTTTCCAGTAGCACTTGCGGCTGCACAACAGCAGGGTCTAGATTTTAGGCCATTTGCCTACATCCTAATGATGGCTTCGTCTGCGGGCCTCATGACTCCCACTGGTTGCGCAACAAACATTATGGTTTACAACCCTGGAGGTTACAAGTTCGTTGATTACATTGCATTTGGAGGACCTCTGCAGGTGAGACAATGCCAAATGCCTAGCAAAGGCAGCTGATTCATGACCTGGCTGACGGGAACATTCTTCCTGCTTGGCAGATTGTGCTTCTGATTGTGACTGTTGGCGTGACCCTCACGTTGAGGTTCTGGTGGATATGGTGGACTGTGCTCATTGGTGGTACTGTCTTGGTTACACCAATTCTTGCGCGCCAGGTGAGTCTTGCAGAGATGGAACCAAGTCGCTTTTTTCTGTCCCTGCCAAACACTGCTAAATTATTGCTATGCTGCAGAGATGGAACCTCCCACACATTTCACGTGTGTTTCATGATGATGCACCTGAAGTTCCACTTTCAAGCATTACGGAACACGAACCTGCTACTATCTCGGTGGCAACGGAGGGAGGTGTGAGGAACTCTGTTGCAGCAGATTCATTATCACCAACTTATAGGCGTTCTTCTGTAGGCATAGAGAAGTCGATCCCCAGCCAATTTATTTAAGTGGAAGAGGAAGTAGACCTGATGTATGCTGAACATTATGTACGCGACACTTTTTTTTACAGTACGTTCACACAATTTTAAATTCTAAACAAGTCACACTAAAACGCGATGACTGCGAGATCGCGAACAACGCCCTTCAAACCGTCACTTCAGCGGTTCGACTGGAAGCCTGACTTATGACCTTTAGATCTAACCGTCGCTCGGAATGGCGGAGTGGCTCTCCAACATCGTACAACAACTCTCACCTCGGGAAGAATCACGCTCCTCATTGGTATCTCCAAACAGTAGTCGCCGGCAACCAGCGCCTGTCTCTAAGGCTCGCGCGAATACCGTGATAAGTTCGAATCAGAGGAACACTTCTGTCACAATGGCCTCCGCCGTGGCCAAGGTTGAAACGTCAGAGACTTCAGTGGCCTCAGAAACGCCTTCGCTTGAAAAGCAATTCCAAGCGCGCAGCAAAGAATTGTTGCAAGAACAACCAAATCTGGTACCTTTGAGCGACGGCGGGCAACCTAACTCGGATGGCGAATATGGGAAAGCGGATGCAGACGCTAAGAGTTCCAGCCCGGTAGCGTTGGTAAAACCAGGAGATTCGGCAGGAGGCTTGGCGTCCGGCGTAGAGGGTGTCAAGGCAACTACGAGCACTTCACCTATTGAAGCAACTGCAGCAGGGACGTTGGCGGGATCTCCTAAATCTGCAGCTGACATGAGCGCCCAGTCCGCAGTTCCTTTTGGGCCTCAAGGCAGCGCCGTCACCAGCAATGGGAACAGCAAGGCTGAGAGCAGCGGGAACAGTGGTGGGAGCAGGGGCACTGAGGACGAGAATACACGAAAGAGCCCTAGGATCACCAGCACGACAGACCGCGTGAAAGGTCCAGCCAGCCCCACAAGGAGGAAAACCCTGCCAGTACTCCCGGTTTCAAAAAATGAGCCGGGTGAAATCAGTGCAGGTTCTAGTCGGCAGGACGAGGACTACAACAAGCAATCCAAGCGAAGCAGCGGTTCAGGTAACAACGGCGGGACGAGTGACACTGGAAATTTGTCAGTGGGGGATTCCCGTACCACTGTTGCAGGTGGTTCAAGCCCAAGGGAGTCTTCACACAGTACCGCTGCTGTTCCTCCTGAAGATGTGCTGGTGCCAGTGGCTGGCATGGTGGGAGGAGAGTTGGCAGCGATGATCAGCAGCACGAGGGCGTGCGTGTATGAGGCCACGGAGTTCTTTGTGGCGTGGCAAGGCGTCCTCACGGTGGCTTATTCAGGAATTCCTCCTGCCCTCTGTGAGGTAAGATGAGGAAGTCGACCTTGACGAATTAGGAGATTCGGGATACAGTGGGAGCTTGCAGGGCCTGAACCTGCTGTCTCTATGGTGTTTTGCTGTCAACGCCTGTGTTGTTTCCATGCCTTTTCCCTCCTCTGCAGCTGAAAGATCGCATGGGAGGAGCATTGCAGAGTATGGTGCCCGAGAATCCTGGGTCGCGATGGCCAAAGACGACCCTGGCGTGTCTGCGGGACGACCAGAGGCTCACACCTGAGCAGCTATCCACCCTGAGGGACATCTGCAGGTCAGTACCTAGGCTTTTTCAGGTTCAAAGATTGAAAGGAACGGTTATGGAATGGAGCTGGGAGTTGTGTCACACAACAGTTGGCCATTTGTTGTGTTGTGCCATGCTACAATCAACCCACCTAGTCGCTCTTGCTGCGTCCTTCTCATCCCGACCCGTTCCAGCACAATGAGCTTTCAGCTGGCACTCGCCCCGCCTGTGGTGGTGGACACCCTCTCTGTGGTGCTCTACGAGAACTGCTGCCTTGAGAAGCTGATCACTGCCACGCACATTCCCTTGCAGCATCCTGTAGACCCCTCACCCCCGTCGCTCGAGCAGCGGCAGTACGTGCGTGGTGTGGTGGACGAATTTGGATCCAAGAACCTTGCAAAATACTGGCTGCATGCTTCAAAAGATGGTGAGACCGGAATGCGGTTTGGAACGGGAACGGTGTTCCAGCAGTGATGGAGAAATGGAAGAGACGGGGAATGGTGTTCTGCTGACATGTCAATGGTAGCCTGTTCTCCTTGCTCTTGCACAAGTCTTTTCCTCAACCACTCTTTGGTATTCCTTTTCCAACTTGCACCCCACCACCAGGCAATCGATCGAGCCACTACCGCAAGCCGAAGATGGGAGCCACGGTGGTTCACTTCCTGGCACCCCACGAGGTGCCTGCAGCTCTTTCTGTCTTCAGGCGTCTGGTGGACACTGCCCTGCCGGGCCTTTACGAGTGGTTCTCAGACGACTCCCTACATATCACTCTCCGTGCCCTTTGTTGAACGGTGGGTGCACACGTGTGTAAAACGCCTGCCTATCTTTGCTTGGTCTCGTACCATCTTTTCGATCCTGCTATCCACCCCTTTCTCTCAACAATCTCATCTCTCCCTCTTTCAGTTTGTCATTTTCTGTGTCATACTTTTGCTTTGTATATGTATGCCCTTACTAGTTGTATGTCGTGCACATGTTCCTTGTATGTTGCTGTGCTGGTGTGGATGAACAGTACCTGTACCTGACACGGTATTCTTACCACTGCAGATCGTTGTACAGAAATCCCTGCTTTAGTCTTGGTGGTGCCGAGACAGTGAGTTACTCAGCTGCAATGAACTCGGCAGCAACCAATAGGAATGGTGGTTATGCTGCTGTCATTGTTTCTTCTCGCTGGTACACGTACTGCTTGTGAATCTCATTATCTGACCATATATAGTAGTACAAATGTTTATTTTCTGCATCATGCAACAAATTCTTTACTGCCATACTGAATTAGGCTTTTCCTTGCCCCTGCCCCGGGCATAACTACAAACAAACTCAACACTAAGACTCTCAACAGACTACAGCCTGATAGGGAGTGATACATGATGATTGACACTGAGATTGCAATCAGTGAAGCAGACCTTGTTCGTGATGGTTACCGTAAGAGGACAATCAACCGAAATAATAGCTGAGCGCAAACTGAGTCGGGTTGAAGCGAGACAGAAGGGCTGGTAGTAGTGAGATGACGATGCATGACAGGACCACGTACCAATGCAGGACAGCATGCCATTGCATCAAGGAAAGGGGTACAGAAGGGAAGAAGAAAAAAAAAAGGTTTGTACATGTGATGCATTTTGCATGTCGTTAAGACAGATGATTGAAGGGGTTGTGGGTATGAATGGCATGTCCTGAGCAACCACTTGGTTGTAATGCAGGGTTTGCCATGTCCCGCTGCGAGTGAGGTGAGTGTGGGGGTGTGTGTTATGAAACAGTGATGCATCAAACTCGTTCAGCACCAGCTGATGCTAATCGTAGCACGAAACTCACAAATAGGGAAGAGAAGCAGCAGCAAGGGCATAGGGTAGAGCAGAACAGTGGTCTTGTCTAGGAAAGGCAGAACTGCAGCCACAGCACGAAAGAAGGGAACAGCCAGGGAGTAAAAAGGGGATTTAAAGGACAGCAAACAGGGACTCAGAGTCAGCACGACAACAGAAAGTCGTTGCCTGGAGTCGGAACAAAAAGATTACATAACACAAGAATGTAAAGGCAACAGCACAGTATCTCAGGCAAGAGGTAACGGACGGCTTACCGTCGTAGCCCAGAAAGTTGAGGTAGTGGTAATAGGAGAAGGCGACCAAGTAGAGGGTGTTGGAGAGCAGGAGAGGGATGAAGCCCGGCGCAAGGAGGAGCGGCGAGAGGAAGTATTGCACCACTGGGGAGACCGACAGGTTAGGTTTGCATTGGAAGTTTTGCGATGGGGTGGGGTGTGGGGAGTGAAGGGAAAGAGGGGAGTGGGGGGAAGGCAGGGTTAGGTTTGATGGGTGTGGGGGTAACACAGATGGAATTTGGCTTAATTCAAATGCTCAAAGAAAGAGCGAGTGAAGCTTGACAGGTGAGGGGCAGATACGGACGGATAACGGGGAATGGGGTAAGGCAATGGAAACGCGGTGAAAGAGTGTCTCGGATAAAGGTCAAGGGGACAAGGTAAGGGGACACTGTAAGAAGTGGAGGAGGGTGACAAGGCTCTCACCGTAGAGCAGGACAAAGAGGGGGAAGTAGGCGTTGCAGTGCACGTCAAATGCATACAGCCTGCATGGCCGTGAGAGGGGCATGGTGCACACAGGTCAAGGCGGAGCGGTGGAGGTGAACAGGTGCGGATGGCTGAACAGCCATGAACTGGCATGGTTTAACATGTATTCGCAGGTATTCGCATGATGCAATGGGAGGGTGTAGCTGCAGAGTAGGATGGCATTCGTGATGATGATATCGTGCATTGCTTGCAGCAGCACAGCGCATGCATGGCTTTGCATGATGCATGCATACCCCAAACCCAATACGCCATAACCCATGCCTCCCACATGTCCCCCACATGTCCCCCCCAAATCCCCTGCCCCCTGCCTCACCACTCCACCTTCTGCTCCACTGCATGTGACGCCACACCCCCAGAGTCTCTGAGATACCGGTTGCACACAAACCTGGTGGCCGGAGGGGTGAGTGGGGGCGGGTGGGAGAAGTGAAGGAGGGATGAGTGATGCAGCAGAAGAGAAGGGGAGGAGAGCACGAGGGGGGGGAAGGAGGATGGGAGGGGATGGGAGGGGGATGGGAGAGGGATGGGAGGGGATGGGAGGGGGATGGACGAGGGATGGGAGGGGATGGGCGAGGGATGGGAGGGGATGGAAGAGGGATGGGAGAGGGATGGACGAGGGATGAGAGAGGGATGGGAGGGGATGGGAGGGGGATGGGAGAGGGATGGGAGGGGATGGGGAGGGATGGGAGGGGATGAGAAGGGATGGGCGAGGGATGAGAGAGAGGCGGGAGAGGACGGGAGATGATGGGGGATGGATGGCATAAGATAAAGAGCAGTGCATCCATACAGTTGGCTATGTGGACGTGTCACGTGTGCATGTGAATGCATGCATATGCATGTATGTTTGACTGTGCGTAAGTGAGGTTGCATGCGTGGATGTAAGGGTGCGTGCACGCATGCAGGTGCATGCAGGCAGGTGCAGTGCATGCAGGTGCGTGCATGTATACACATGTGACAGTACCAGCAAAGAGTGGCGATGGCGGCACCAATGAGTAGGAAGTCAAATACCACCACTGAGAACACTGTCAGACCAGCCTGGGCTATGCCATGCCCATACCTGCATGCACGGACGCATGTGAGCATGTGTGTATGTATGCATAATGCATGTATAAATGCACGAACGAAAGCATACATGCGCACATGGGCACATGCACACATACATGCATGCGGTTCGTTACATAGGGGCATGCATGGGCGCAAGGATACATCATGGATGCAAGCACATCATGCATGCACACACATGAAAGGATGGATGGAGGGACGGACGGAGGAGGGGAGAGCAAGACGGTGAAAGGCAGACAGGCAGGGAGGGAGAGAGAAGGTGAGAGGAGGCTGGTGGATGGATGTGTGAGACAAGCTAGTGGTCATTAGATGTGGAAAGGGAGGGAGAGGAGATGACAGCAGTGCATGAACAAGGTGACTTTTGAGTTGACTCAAAAGTCAACAGGCAGGCAGGGAGAGAGAAGGTGAGACAAGGCTGGCGGATGTGTGAGACAAGCTAGTGGTCATTAGATGTGGAAAGGGCGGGAGAGGAGATGACAGCAGTGCATAAACACATGGGTGATAAACTGCATAGCACACACGTGTGGAATGGCAAGGCATCCCATCTTATCTCACCCCACCCCACCCCACCCCACCCCACCCCACCCCACCCCACCCCACCCTCCCCCTCCCCCACCCCATCCCACCCACCCCACCCGCCCCACCCCACCCCACCGCACCCCACCCCTCCCCACCCCACGTCATACGCAACGCAGTAGGAGCTGGCGGAGATGGCGAGCAGCATGGCGGAGATGACCACAAACGCGGGGTCGTCCCGTGCCCACTGGTTCTTCGTCTCTGCTCCGCGCACAGGGGGCGTGGGGGGAAGGAAGGAAGGGGGTGCAGGGAGCAGCGAAAACGGGGAATGAGGGAGGAGGAGGAGAGAGAAAGGGAGAGCGAGCGGAAGGGAGCATGCAGGTGAGGGAAAAAACCAGGTTGGGAAGTGGAGGGGAGACGAAACGAGGAAAGGGGGGAAGTGCAAGGAGGGGCATAGCGGGAGGGATGGGCGGCATAACGGGGAACAGGGGGGCATGGGGGACACGGGAGGGGCGGTTCACGGATGGGCACGGCGGACATGGGGGGCATAGGGGGAATGCGGACAAATGGAAAGCAGGAGGGTTGAAAGCAAGGGGGGCGGAAGGGCAGGGGGGGCGGAGAGCGGGGGGGGGGGGAAGAGCGGAGGGGCGGAGAGCGAGGGGGCGGAGAGCAGGGGGGCGGGAGAGCAGGAAGGCGGAGAGGAGTGATGGCACTTACGTTTGTGGTACTTGGTGTGTTGATAGCTGGTATTCGATTCACATGGAGCGGGGATGGAGCGAGAATGGAACGGGACCAGGTACAGGAGAAGGGGTAGGGGAAAACGGGGAGGGGTGACGGGAAGGAGATGGTGAGGCCGCAGGTTAGAGTGCACGGTGGGATGAGTAAGTGGACTGGGCGGGCCGGGCATGAGGGTGTGACATGCAGAAACAACACTCTCGTGCCAACACTCGTGTTAATAGTGACCCGAAGGGAGAACGGAAGGGTGTGCGTGCGTGCGTGCGCGCGCGCGTGCGTGCGTGCGTGCGTGCGTGCGTGCGTGCGTGTGCGTGCGTGCGTGTGCGTGCGTGATAGCGGCACGTACACGACGCGCGGCGTGAGGCAGAGGTGCAGCATTTGCCAGAAGCAGTACTCCGCGTCCATCTGCTGCCACTGCGCGCCCGCGAATTACGGCGGTGGGAGCGGCGCGTGAGGTGGGGCCACGACGGCGTGGCGCATGGGGGGGGAGAAGGGGGGAAGGGTGAGTGGGAAGGTGTGGGGGGTTTGGTCGTACGGAGGCCAAGGACAAATTGGAATCACTTATGAGCATTCTTAATTGTGAGAAGCAAACATCCCGACGATGGTAACGCAGGAAGTGGGGGTGGGGGGCCAAGAGAACAAGAGCGGGACGGGGAGTGAGAAGGGTGGCGGGGAGGGAGGAGAGAGAAACGGCACGTAGGGAGGGAGGGTATCCACGTGTACCTTAACAATTCGTCGCAGGTATTGCGGCAGGCTGGACTGCTGCCGAACGGGCCCCGGACGGCTGACCCGACCCATAGTGGGTAACATGGTGACCGCGGCGCGAAGGCGTGTTATGAATCGATTCTAAACACGGAGTGCGAACGCGGGATGGGATGCGACGAGAGGAACTAGAGGAAGCGGAAGGCT